GATTATCTGCTTCCGAGCCAGGATATTTGCCTGCCATAGTTGAAGACTTGGGCAGTGCTGGCACTTTTCATCCCATCCCTTGGCCTTTGTCCCAGAGAGGTTTCAAAACACAAGAGGGTTGTGTTTTGAGGGTTAGATTGCAGCACATCCACTGAGCTCTTTTTGACTCGAGAGTTAGCCAGTGATTTCAGCTTGTTTGAAATGTCTATCTTGTCGAAACAAAGTAGGTTTGGCTCTTCTCAGTGCCTGAACGGGAGACCCACCATGGAAATGTGACTTCCATGATGGGAGTAAAGTGAGCGATAAATCCACTACAGTGGTACCTCAGATTACATACGCTTCAGGTTACATACGCTTCAGGTTACAGACTCTGCTAACCGAGAAATAGTACTTCGGGTTAAGAACTTTGCTTCAGGATGAGAACAGAAATTGTGCTCCGGCGGCGCGGTGGCAGCAGGAGGCCCCATTAGCTTAAGTGGTGTTTCAGGTTAAGAACAGTTTCAGGTTAAGTACGGACCTCCAGAACGAATTAAGTACTTAACCCAAGGTACCACTGTACTAAATTAAAATGAAAGATAAATCCACTACTAAATTAAAATGAAAGTGGGTTTTCTGGAAAACTTTGGATTAGAAAAATATCCACGGTCCTGAACTAAACTGGGATCTGACTTCAGTGGCTTCTGTTTCCACTGTTGGAGGCAAGGCACTTCTCTGCTATCCAATTTCTGGGAATCACAAGAGCACTCTTGCTCTCAGGTCCTGTTTGCTGGCTTCCTATAGACATCGGGTTGGCCACTGATGAGTACAGGATGCCAGACTAGTGCAATTTATTTTTACATTGTTATAGGTTTGGCAGGGGTCAGTCTGGATGATACCTGCGGGTCCCTTTCAGACCTGTGATCCTATGAGTGAGGTTAGAGTCTGCAAGATAAAACAGGGCAAACCAGTCTGATTCTGAAAGCTGGGAAGACAGAGGTATGTTTTGCTCTGTGCTGGACTCAGATGTGTTTTGGGGCTTCCCTTGAACTCTAATGGGGAAGCAAAAACTGCTGGGGTGCTCCTGCTGTGCGCCCCTCCATCCTGTGAGGAGGTTGTAGACATGTGTAAACAAAACCATATATCCCAAGGACATCACATTCTCCATCGATGTTTATTCCAAAGAAACGGAAGCCCTGGGACCACTGGAGTTTCTTGCCACTTGGAGACTGGAGTGGGCACGACAATATGATTGTGCCAATGCTGATGTGTGGTGTTTCTTTTTCCTGTTTTTATTTTTCTTTCTTCCATTTCTGTACTGCCCTTCATCCAAGGATCACGGGGCAGTTGACAATATAAAAACAGTCACAAGCGAAAACAGTACCCCCGTCACGTACACACATGCGCAGCTTAAAAAGCCATAGATTGTTTAATTAGCCAAAGGCCTGGGAGAAGAGGAATGTTTTTGCCAGGCGCCTAAAGATAAGCAACAAAGGTGCCAGCAAGCCTTCCTGGGAAAAGCACCCCCATTGCCAATTTTTAACTGGAACGAATTCATTGTGTAACTAATTAAAATGTTATAGGAAATTGCCGTTCTAAAAATGGGGGGGGGGGGTTCCACTGAAAAATATAGTTGCAAAAAATATTGTGGGGAATTTCCAAATGGGGGGGTGTACCCCACATCACTGGTTTCAGCTGGGGGGGGTGTACCCCACATCACTGGTTTCAGCTGCTATTTGAAATACATTATCAGTCGCCCTGATCCTCAGGTATCGGCCAAAATTTATCCAACAGAAAAGTAAAATATGTATATCTGACAGGTTGGAGTATGTGCAGCCGCAGAGAGATGACGCTGTTTTATTTTGGAGGTGACTGGATTTATATCTGAAACTCATGCATCTCTTATCTGAGGGAACTGCCCTAGCTAATTCACCAGCAATAAATTGGAGGGGAACAAGAAGGCAGAATCGCACTTGGCATCCAGGAACCGCCTTGAAAAGCTTTGGAGGCCGTACGCCCAATTTCCAGGTGAAAGGGGAAGTGGTTGCCTCATCGCTCAGCCTGTGAGCTTCTCAGTCATCTCATCTGCCTATCCTGTGGTTGGAGGAACGAGGACCATGGGTGTTACTGCCGTAGCAATGATAAACTTTCGCTCAGTGCATTAGCTGCCTTACGGAACACCCTGCCACAAGAAAAGGGGACGGCGACAAGTTTAGGAGGTGTTAGAACACAAGATGGATTGGGCAAACTTGTGGAAGGGGATAGAGATCTACAGCTGATGTTCAACCTCAGTAGCAGCAACAGGAGCTGCGGTCCACTTCCAAGTCCTGCTCAGCGGGTTAGGCTGCACATAAGCTGCTTTTGGTGAGCCTGAGGTGTGGCTTCCATAATCTTTTGGTTGCCTTACCTTGATCACATTCTCTGGCTTCTGGTCAGTCGGCACTTCAATCAGGAGGCCGAAGAGAGCGAGCGCCACGGCTTGCACCACCTCCTGCCTCCCTATTTGCTGGAAGCTGCACAGATCAGCTGCAAGAAATGTTTCTGCAGCACTTTCCAGAGGGGTAGCCGTATTAATCTGCTGCAGCCGTTTTGTAGCGCCTTCGGGATTAGCAGTTTCATTAAGCTTTTTTTGTGGAGTGAAAAGCTGCCAGAATTACATTTTGGTGCTGCAAGACTCTCTGTTGGTTTTGCAGCAGTAACTCAAGCCCGACTCTTCCCATGCTAAGCATTTAACTCTGTTAGAATCTTGCTTTTCTGCTTACAGTGTAATCTGAACCCAGGATCCACCTGAATGAGAGTTTGGAGGTCTTGCAAGTGTAACTCCCTCATCCCCACTTAAACTGCCCAAACTTAAGCTGGCCTGTTCCCCAAAAGCAGCATGGCAGGACTGGGCAAGGAGAGATTTACAGCTATGCCAAACCCCTTCCAGCTCAGTCATGGAACTGGCAAGCTGGTATAACTTACACAGAAGTGTGGCATAAGTGAAATTCTCCTTTCAAGGCTTGTTTTCCCTCCAGCTGGCTTGGGATGACTCGTGTAAGCAGTATAGCCTTGCCCCAAATGGAATCTGGAGTAAGGGTAACTTAAACCACAGAGCCTAGGACTTGCCGATCAGAAGGTCGGCGGTTTGAATCCCCACAGCGGAGTGAGGTCCCGTTGCTCAGTCCCTGCTCCTGCCAACCTAGCAGTTCGAAAACACGTCAAAGTGCAAGTAGATAAATAGGTACCGCTCTGGTGGGAAGGTAAATGGTGTTTCCGTGCACTGCTCTGGTTTGCCAGAAGCAGCTTAGTCATGCTGGCTACAAGACCCGGAAGCTGTATGCCAGCTCCCTCGGCCAATAAAGTGAGATGAGCGCCACAACCCCAGTGTTGGTCACGACTGGACCTAATGGTCAGGGGTCCCTTTACCTTTAAACCGGCATTAAGTTCCACCAGCTTCCTGGATTTAGGATTGCTCTGCCTGATGCAGAAACAGACCCAGTAAGGCAACGCCTTTGGAATGGCTTGTGTTTAAAATTCTAGAGCGTTTCCAGGTTACACAGGACTCCTCTGCAGAGTGAAGCAAGAATGCCAAGTTATGTTCCTCTGCCAAGCTAATATTTACACCCTATCCAATTCTTGTACACACCATTTGCATTAGTGGAAGTCACTTGCAGAAGTAGGTCACCAGATGTGGACACTGCCCCTGCCGCTTGCCTTTATCTTAGGTGACAAACAAAAAGACAAATAATTCTGTTTTGTATGAAACACCCCTTATTAGTCAGTGGTTTAATTAAGATTTAATCAGGCATCTATCTATGTTATCAGTTTGTGCAACTTGGCTAATAAATGTAGATGCACCATCAAAGGACTCTTGTTCCAATAATGGGGCGTTCCGGCTTTGCTTCCGGACTGGTGCTCGTTTCAAGTGGGATTTCACCATGCAGCAGGCAATTCGAGCAGCTAAATTAGGAGCTCATTGGAAGGACTTGCACAACGAAAGATTGGGCTTTCTGTTTCAATAAAGGACGGGGGCTGGAAACTGCGAGACAACCCCTTGCTTTTAGGAAATGTTGCTGAGCCGTCCCAGACACAAATCAGGAGCGACGGCTCACGAAGCATCTAAGACTGCCTAACTTCCCAGCAAACGAAGCTCCCTTTGCCCTTTTAAATTTAAACCCAAACTCCTCTTCATAGAAGCTGTTAATTAAAAACTAATCTGGGTGTGGACTTTTTCTCACTGTTTTAAGCCTTGGTATCCCTTTGGGGCTTGTCAGGGTGCCGACTTCGCCAGTAGTATATAGAAATGAAGCCGTGAGAGGGTCTGCACCTTGATGTAGTAGGGGCTGTAACAGGATACAAAACTTTAATCCTCCCGTTTGTTTGTTTAAAAAAACAAATCTTTAAGGTCAGGAGGAAAAACTTTGGTGCTGGTAACACAGTGGTTTGATTTCACCCTCCAGAGGCACACTCCATTATCTCTAAGAGACAAGATGGGGGCCAACAACGCCGTGTAGCACACTCTCCGATGTGCTAGTATTACTAGGGAATATCTGGATTTAGGGGGAAAGTATGGGTCGGCAGCAATTGGAAAATGCCGCATGAATGAGGAGGAATGAGAGGAAGCAGGCGAGATTCACAGGCCACGTTAAGCTGAGGTGTGGGTGGGTCCCTATGCTCAGCTGCAGAGGGTCAACACAACCTCTAGGAGCAAATACAGCATGACTATTAGCCATTGATAGACCTATGCCAGGCATAGGCAAACTTGGCCCTCCAGATGTTTTGTAGCACAATTCCCATCATCCCTGACCACTGGTCCTGTTAGCTAGGGATCATGGGAGTTGTGGTCCCAAAACATCTGGAGGGCCAAGTTTGCCTATGCTTGACCTACTATAAAACTGGTCTTACTTTATTAAAACTGGTCAAACCTCAGCGGTTAAGAAAACAAAGCCATCCTGTTGTCTGAAAACAGATAAACACACACACACACACCCGCCATAAAGAGGCGCTCAAATAATTTATAAGATTTTATTGAAAAAAACCATCATGTACTCATGTGTCAAATCCGTCAATAATTTACTTATTGGCTCGTGTCGTTCTTAACAATGAAGCAACTGGCATGCAGATGGGCTGCTTGGTGAGCTCGGCTACGTGAGCAAGGGGTCAGCTGCCAACTCTGCAGGGGGAAACAATCCGCACTCCCAATTTGTTGGGAGAGCTTTTGGAGTGCACTAGGTTCAGTCCAAGCCAGTTACAATCCCATGAAGCGCTGTGATGACTGTCGACTGAAACGCTCCCATGTTACTGAGCTGAAATGCTTGATAACGTGGAGGCAGCAGAACTGGGGGGGTTCTGCTGCCACAGTACCCAACTCCCTGGAAATCAGTGTTCCTCCTTAAATCCCTGAAAACAACTGCTGCTAACTGCGCAGAGCAGTTTCCGAGGGGTGTTGCTGTTTTTAGGTGCCACTTCCAAGTTGCCAGGGTGGGCCAAATGAGGCCCACCATCCACCACCCCGCCATCCTACACTATTGCTTCTTCAAAATACACAAGTAACCTTTTTGCACTTTGGTGCACCCGTGCAAAGCTTACTGCACTTGCACAACACGGAACACCCTGAGGCCTGCCTTGGTTGCTTTTTGGAGAAGTGCTTGTTCCACCCACCTGAAGACAAACCCATCATCAGCGGTTATGCTACAGCCAATCTTGAGCCCCAATGGCATGCACATCAAGTCAGGATTCACCCCCACCCGGGCTTCTCCGCACTTACCCTGAACAAAACCCATACCGTTTCCCAGCCACCCCATTTAGAAGAGTTCTTGGACAGTTCTATGCAGATTTTACCTTCCTGAATAATCTGGTCCCACCTACAAGGCTGGCATGTGGCACTTTTAAATGCACTTTTCTCATCGCTGTTCAAACAGCACAGCTTGCCACTGCACATTTGGGGTCAGGGGGCAGGGCTTTCAAGACATTTCACACCTGGGACGCCCTTCCCTTTAAAAGCCTGGCCACTGAGTGCAGCTGAAGGCGTTTCTGAGTCAGTGGTTTGACACCCACGCACCTTCCTTCTCCAGCTGTGTTGCACGCTCAGCCTCCTTTTGAAATTATAATCTTTTCCCTGCCGCCAGTTTGGAGTGGCAGGAACAGTAGCAAAATGAGCTTTTGGATTCTGTGCAACCTGCAACCACCTTCTCTTCTGTGTGCCAAGACTCACACCCACGGCCTCCCATCATCGCAGGTGTGCTGTGTTCCAGCTGCAAGCCTTTGCAAATTCCTCCAAACTGCTCCGTAATACACGAGTCTCGGTAATTCAAGCGCTCCCCCCGGATGATATCTAACTGGGAAAGTAGCTGAAAACTGGATCCCTGTGACTGGGAGCTGATACTTGGCGACCTCTTCCTTCCGATCCTCGGAGTGCCTTCTCTTCCTGGCACCATTCTCCTTCATGGCTTTCCAGCCTTGCCCTGTGGTCACTCAGCCTGCGGCCATTAACAGCAGCTGCCCGTGTCCATACAGGGATTGGAAATCGGGATTGACGGACTGCAGCTCGGACCAATCGATATGTGAGTGTTGCTGGGGACTGACCATGCTGGGGGCAGGGAGGAGGGTACCCTGGGCAGTTGCTTCGCTCCCCATCTTGCAGCAAAGCCACCCTACTGCTGCCTGGCACCTCTTAGGTGCAGGGCTCAAGCCTGCCTCAAAGGCATGTCTTTCCCCAACGGAGGCTCTGTTCTTTCGTACCCATTTGCTGATTTACAGGTATTCGGATCAGAGGCGCTCGGCTTCAGGGTCCAGTGCAGAGTGTTAGCGTTGCAGAAAATTGTCCAGGGCTCAACCTGGCAATCTCCATGTCAAATTGAAGCCCTCTCTGCCCCCTCCCCCAGGTTTCTGCGGGACCTTCTGCCTTCCCTGCCTCATGTGCAAGGTGGCCACACAGTATGGCGAGTGCTTCTGCGTCCCCTTCCTGCCGGGGGCTCTTGTGGCCATGCGGACGGGCCTGCGAGAACAGCTGCGCATCAAGGTACCCGTCTCCGGGGGGGACTTCTGGGGAAGTTCCAGCAGGTGATTGCCAGGAGGCACAAAAGCAAGCTCTCCAGTTGGCACATGGGAGTTATAGCCAGGGTGAAGGAGGGAGGTGCAGGCAGGCAGGCAGGGAGAAAATGCAGCGAGCTCTGCAGCCTTTCACACAATGGACGCCAGAGCTCTATCCCACGGCAGCAGCTGTTGCAGCAGCCCAGGAAGTCAAGAGTCTTGTTGCAGAGTCAAGGAATTAGCCCCTGCCACTGGTCAGACGGAGGCTCGCAGCTCTTCCTCTTGGCCGTGACATACAAAAGTCCAATGTGGAGAAAGGGGAGAGGTTGCCGGATTGGTGCACTTTGGCCAGAGGACAGAGTTTGGGGGAGACACAGGCTGCTAGGCAGATCCAGGGGGCCTCATCTTGAGAGCACATCTTATCAGTAGATAGTTCCCATCAGGCCGTCCCTGCTATTCGTGGGAACTGGTTTGAGGTGCTGAGAATTCTGCCGAAAACCCCTCCACAGAACCAAAGATGGAATGGCTGTTAGATTGGGTTTAAAGCAGGCAATCTACACAGGCTATGTTCGGTGTTTAATCTGGGGCAGTGGGGAGGCGCTTGGAGGCAGGAGCAAAGACAAGGCTTTCCCCGACTGATGGTCCTCTCCTCTTCCACAGGGCTGCGTGTGCGGCGACTGGTGCGCTTTCTGCTTCTGCTGCCCCTGCGCTCTGTGCCAGATGGCACGAGAGCTGAAGAGCCCATGTTGTTAGCCTCATCCTGAACTGGACACTCTGGAACCCTCTTGCTGGTCAACCCCGTCCCCTACTGCGTTGGGGGTGCTGTGGGGCTCAGGTGCCTGGAATGAACTGAACCGAACCACTCAGGGAAGCTTTGAAGCTGAGTTGCAAAGCGCTGCCAAGTTGGTTTCCAGCCGACTGATGAAGCGCGGGCATAGGAGAACGGCAAGCTTTGGACTGTCGTGGCTTGTGCCTCTCACTGGACTTCAGGTGTTGCTTCACTAAGGACAGTCGCAACCTGCTCCTCCAGTGTGTGTGGGGGGGAGCCACATCACCCTCTCTCCCCCTGTTAATATTACACTGTGTGCACATAGGAAGTTGCTGGCGTTGTAAATAAATAAGGTGGGGAGGGGGATACAGCTCTCCTCCTGCAGCAAAGCATCTCGATTCTTCAGCTTCCAGGGGTTGGGTCAAGGAGCTGCATACACAAAAGGCAGTTGACTCAGAACTGTGATGCAACATCCCTGGGAAGCGAAGCTGCGGTTCTCAAAATGCTGAGCAAAACAGAAGGGCCAGTTGACTTCAGTCACAGAACTGTAGAGTTGGAAGGGACCCCAAGGGTCATCTAGTCCAACCCCCTGCAATGCAGGAATCGAGGGAATAAAGCTTTTCCTAGGCTGTGCCATTTGAAGCCATGTGACACGTGCGGAAAGACTTGGCACAAGCCCTTCTTCCTGGTGCCCTAAAGTCGTAGGTGCAGCGAGTGTTTCTCAAACCTGAACCCCAACTCCGCCCCCCCCCATAGTCTGAAGTTGTACAATACATGAAAAGCTTCCGTAAGCCATCTCTTTGGCAACCTGATGTGCGGGCTGGGGGCTGATGGGAGCTGTAGTCCAACAACATCCAGGTGGCACCAGGTTTGGCAACGGCCCATTCAGCACTTGATTGTGTTGACTCCACAAAACCACCTCCAGCTCGGCTATTTTGCCAAGGAAGGAAACAGTGTCAGGGAAACTCTATGACCTTCTGAGGGCTTTCGGTGTCTGTGTGCAGGGGGTGGGTGGGCAGGCAGTGGTGGCCAAAGGACTGTAACAAAAGTAGGTGGGAGGGACGGGGTTAAAACGCAAAAAAAGGAAAACAACACTGAGAAAAATCAGAGAGGGGATGTCAAATCCCCTCTGCAAACCAAAACATGGAGTTCCCTTCCGACAAACCTGTCCCTGACTTTTAATGCAGAAGAAGAGTTGGGCTGGCGGCCACTTGCTGCCCACTCCCTCCTGCGCAGCTGCGCAAGGAAAACGGGGAGGGAGCCGGCGCTAGAGAGGACCCCTCCCTCCCCACACCAACACTTTGGAGCTGCAGGAGTACAGCAGCGCCCTCTGGTGGCAAGGTCTGTGTTCCATGACATGATAACGGGAGATGCTTCCCTTGCCTTCCACCCGCAAAGGCGCTTCTCCTGCGCACCCCTTCTCGGCCGCCTCCCCGAGGCGAAGAAGGGCTGCTGAGCGGGCGACGCAGGCAACAAGTCCCATCCCTTCCGAAGCCTGGCAGGGATCCCCCGGCGGCTCAGAGGGACATGCTCGTGAGGTTCTCGTGGCTGAGGAGTCCTTTGCGGGAGCTGCTGACTCCGTGGCTGCTGCTGCAGTAGTCCTGGAGATTGTGGCGCAGGGTGACGAGGGCGGAGCCCAGGCAGGCACGGTTAGGGGCCTGCAGTCCTCCGGGCAGCTGGAAGAGGACCGTGGCCACCCCGGCCATCCCGTCGTCCGTCGGCTCCAGGGTGATGGGTCCCACCCGGAAGCTGGAGTAGGAGTAGCCCATCAGGTGGGAGAGGAAGGGCTCGGAGCGTCGGAAGTGGGCCACAGGGTAGGGTACCTCGTGGTACGGCTTCAGCCGGCTGGGCTGGGCAGCGGTCAGCGCTGGGTGCTTGTGGGGCCGCGCAGGGAGGAAGACCAGCTCAGCTGCAGCCCCCAGCGCATCTGGCTCGAAATAGATGGTCACTTTAGCGAAAGGCCGGCTGGCCATCTTGGTCATCTCCTGCAGGTGGCGCCGCTGCTCATGTCGCAGGTCCAGGAACTGCTTGACCTTCCAGAGCAGGACGCAGACGGAGAGGAAGAGGAAGAAGCAGGAGAAGAAGACGGAGAAGAAGACAAAGAGGTCAATGTGGGCCTGGTCTTGGCGGAAGAAGAGCAGCCCCTGGGACTCAGTGACGTTGGGGCTGGTGCCCCCGATGCCCAGAAGGATGACGTAGAAACGGCTGGATTTCAGGGCGTGGATCTCGTGCGGGTAGGTGATGACCACTCGGTCCCGGACAGCTCGCACGACCAGCACCGCTTGCTGCTCCCGCACAGTGATGTAGGTGATGAGCCCATGGGTCCGCGCCTCTCGCACGGCCGGAGAGGGCTGGCTCCCGTTGCCGAGGCCGCTGCGCCCACCCGCCTCTTCCCCCGGCGGCACGACGCGCACGGAGTGGAAGCCCGTGGCCCGGTCCACGTCCACCACAAACATCTCGTAGGAGGTGGAGATGTAGACGTCCACCCCACCAAAGGTCACGTCGATGGTGATGCGGATGTCCACGTTGGTGAATTTGGGCTGGACGCCGAAGAAGACGGAGCGGCCGAGCAGTAGGTTCTTGATGTTGGGCTCGTGGAAGCAGTTGAGCTGCGACGTCGGGTCAAAGCAGCTCTCTTGGTCCACGATGATCAGCCGGTAGCACTGGTGGCCGCCCACCGGGTTGCCGTGGAAAAACTCGCGGCACTTGGCACACTGTTGGGGACAAGGGGGGAAGGCAGGTCAGTTTAGTGGGATTGGGGGGTCACGCAAGCTGTCTCATGCCCATCCTACCCAAATTCTTCACTCTGTGAAAGGGGCACAAATGAAACGACTCTGCACTGTTGCTTCTTATTCGAAAATCTTTACTACTTTGCTAAATTCACTTTGCTTCTCCCAGTCGAAGGGTGGCACAAGGTGTTCTGCAGGTCCTTGCCCTGACCTAGCCACTGTGATCCACGCAACGGTCACCTCCAGACTGGATTATTGTAACTCACTCTACGTGGGGCTGCCCTTGAGACTGACCCAGAAACTCCAGCGGGTGCAGAATGCCGCGGCGAGACTCCTTACGGGGTCCTCGCTGCGAGATCACATTCACCCGGTGCTATACCAGCTGCACTGGCTCCTGGTGGGGTACAGAATCAGGTTTAAGGTGCTGGTTTTAACCTTTAAAACCCTATATGGTCTAGGACCCTCGTACCTACGGGACCGCCTCTCCTGGTATGTCCCACAGAGGAACTTACGGTCTTCAAATAAAAACATCCTGAAGGTCCCAGGCCACAGAGAGGTTAGGCTGGCCTCAACTAGAGCCAGGGCTTTTTCGGCTGTGGCTCCAATCTGGTGGAACGCTCTGTCACAAGAGACCAGGGCCCTGCGGGACCTGACATCTTTCCGCAGGGCCTGCAAGACGGAGCTGTTCTGCCAGGCCTTTGGTCGGGGTTCAGTCTGACTCCCTCTCCCCTTTCATAAGAACTTGCATGTAAGTGGCCTCCCAATTTTTCTCACAGGCCCATATAAGTTCAGCACAAACAGTTGGGCCTGGTGAGCATTTAAGGACCCCAACCCTAATCTTCCGGTTGCCATCTGACTGGATTTTATTCTGAGCCTGATCTGATTTGAGGACGTATTTTAATTGATTGTCTGATTTTATGTTAATGTGTTATACATTTGATGTTAGCCGCTCTGAGCCCGGCTTCAGCTGGGGAGGGCGGGATATAAATAAAAATTATTATTATTATTATTATTATTATTATTATTAGAAATGCCCCATAACCACCACATTGTGCACTTTTGCTGTCCCTGCACAGATTTACAACACAAAACGGTCCCTATTGGTCTTCCTGCCAAGATTAGTCGTCCAAATACCACAGAGGGGGTGGCAAAAAGGACGTCACCTACACTCTTTTTATCTCCTAGCAGTGGTATGCGATTTCTGAACAGAGAATGATGTTCTGGCTATCACGGCAGGTAACTATCAAGAGGCTACGTAGGTTTATGCAATCACAGCCCAACACAAAAGCATGTGGCAAGGAGCTCCATGGGTTAATTATGTGCTTTGCTCACAAATCTTTGTTTGCCTGGAAGTTCTCCTGCATGGCCTGGAGACAGAGATGTACCTAGAGGTTGGCTGCTGCCAAGGACACAGGCCCAGGGGGCCGCAAAAATTGCCCCTCCCCACTCTGCCTGCCCATCTATGCACTCCCTGGGCTGCTCTGTATGCTGAGCAAGGTATGCAAGCTCCCCTGGGTGCCTTGGCGGAGGAATGTGGTTGCTGGTGTGAGCAATCACAGCAGCCTCAGTTGGCCGATGGCGCTATTAGGAGCATGTGTGGAGAGCCCACTAGGGTTTGGAGAGAAGAAAGATGAAGAAAGCAGGTGAGAGTTGCAGGAGCAGGAGAAAGGGAGGAGCCAGAAGGGAAAGCAGCAAGCAGAGGGAGGGAGGAAGAGGAGGGGAGGCAGAGCAGAGCAGACCCAACCCTGATGGCTGCAGAGGAAGTCGCCGGCAGAGCACGAAAGGTGACAAAAAGCAAACTTTTTCCGTTTCTGCTACAAGATCTCTCGCAGCTGAGGGCAAGGGAGCCTAGATACACCTCTGCCTGGAGACACTGTGCTTGGGAGAGAAATGATTCTGTCTCCTGCCCCATGTATGATCTTGCACGGCTCCCAGTTATCGCAGTGAGGATTGTGCGGGAGAACTTCCGGATGGACTGCGCCTTGTTCCGTAAGCTTCTTTCATCCCTGCCAAGGACCCGCCTCCTGCGGCCGCAGCCCCGCCCCTCACCTGTTGCTTATAGCAGTCCTTTTTGTCTGACTGGGCACTGTTCTGGCAGCCTCCTGTCTCCGTGTTGTTCTGGCAGGGGCAGCCGGTCCCATCCAGCTCGTTGCACGAGTCAGCGTGGCCGTTGCACTGGCACCTGGGAGGAGAGGGGTCACCGGGAGACACAAGAACATGAGCAGGACCCTCCTGGATCAGGGCAACGGCCCAGCCAGTCCGGCATCCTGATCTCACAATAGCCAGATGCCTATTGAAAGCCCCCAGCCACAAGAGCCCCCTCCCCTCCTGTGACTTCCAGAAACCAGTATTCAGAAGCATTACTGCCCCTAGGGAGATACCGTATTTTTCGCTCTATAAGACGCACGTTTTCCCTCCTAAAAAGTAAGTGGAAATGTGTGTGCGTCTTACAGAGCAAATGCAGGCTGTGCAGTTTTCGCTGAAGCCAGAACAGCAAGAGGGATTGCTGCGCAGCAATCCCTCTTGCTGTTCTGGCTTAGGGATAGCCGAGCAAAGCCTCTTCAACAACATTTGATTCAGAATATTATTTTTCTTGTTTTCCTCCGCTAAAAGCAAGGTGCGTCTTATGGTCTTGTAGAGCGAAAAATACAGTATATGCATGGCCCACCCATTCCAAATTGCACTGGTTTTTAAATGGACCCTAAACATAAGGCTACAATGGTACCTCTGGTTATGTACTTAATTCGTTCTGGAGGTCCGTTCTTAACCTGAAACTGTTCTTAACCTGAAACACCACTTTAGTTAATGGGGCCTCCCACTGCTGCCGCCATGCGATTTCTGTTCTTATCCTGAAGCAAAGTTCTTAACCCGAGGTACTATTTCTGGGTTAACGGAGTCTGTAACCTGAAGCGTATGTAACCTGAGGTACCACTGTATAAGAACGGTCATGAAAGGATCCAGCCAGTGGCACATCCGTGCCCGAAATCCCAGCCAACCAGATATTGTGGGAAACCTGTTTCTAAGTGCTTTTAATATGTGGCATTCTCTGTTGTTTTTACTGCTGCCATTGTAGCGTCATGATGTTTCGGTTTGATACTGTGGTTTTATTGATACCGCATATGACGGAAAGAAGCCCTGGGATAGGTTTTGCCCTAGAAAGCAGCATATGTTTGTTTTTTAAAAAAATAAATAAGAACGAGACTCAGCCTTGGCCTCCCGGCTCCTTACTTGGTGCACTTTCCCTCCAGCAGGAAGTAGCCGTGCAGGCAGCTCTCGCATTTCTCCCCAAAGCTGTTGTTCTGACAGTTCACGCACACGGCGGCGTCCTCAGCTGGCCCTTCTGCCACCCATTTGGGGATCTGCGGGGAGGCAGGGAGACGAGCGAAATGTGACTTCCCACTCATGCATTTTCCCTTGGCAGCAGACTAGGCTCACAATCCTCTGACGCAAATGCTGATTCTGTCCGCTCAGGAAACGTGATGCAAACGCATTCTCTCTCTCTGAAAGGCAGCTGGTTATAGCGGAATGGGGCTTCACGTAACCCGCCCATCACTTGCATGTTGCTGTGTTTTCATTAGACCCAGCAGCAAGTGTTTCGTGTATTCGTGGGCGCGAAGGCAACTGGGAAATATATATTTCGAGGGAGGCAAGGAGCCTTAAATCACTGCCTTTTCTCAAGAAAGGCGATTTATTTCTCACACGGAGAAAAGTGCACAGTGTGGGTGGAACTGAACTACCTCGCAGGGTTGCTATGAGGATAAAATGGGGAAGAAGAGAACCCCATAGGTCATCTCGAGTTCCTTGGAGAAAAGGAGGGATAGAAATGCAACAGTTAAAACTATGTTTTACTCAGAGCAGCTCTGCTGAAATAAATGAGCGTGGCTAAATTGGGCCCATTAATTTCAGCAGGTCTTTGCTGAGCAATTTAGTCGAATAGCACCCCATGCGTATGCCGGCACTAGCGACAAGTGCTCATTCGTCTCATTATTACAAAAAAAGTAATAATAATAATAATTTATTATCTATACCCCACCCATCTGGCTGGATTTCCCCAGCCACTCTGGGCGGCTTCCAACAGAATATTAAAATACAATAACCTATTAAACATTAAAAGCTTCCCTAAACAGGGCTGCCTCAGATGTCTTCTAAAAGTCTGGTAGTTGTTTTTCTCTGACATCTGGTGGGAGGGCGTTCCACAGGGCGGGTGCCACTACCAAGAAGGCCCTCTGCCTGGTTCCCTGTAACCTCACTTCTCTCAGGGAGGGAACCGCCAGAAGGTCCTTGGCACTGGACCTCAGTTTCCGGGCTGAACGATGAGGGTGGAGACGCTCCTTCTGATATACTGGACCGAGGCTGTTTAGGGCTTTAAAGGTCAGTTATATGGTCTCGGCGGCCGCTCCCAATCACCAGTCTAGCTGCCACATTCTGGATTAGTTGTAGTTTCCGGGTCACCTTCAAATGTAGCCCCACATAGAGCACACTGAGATAACCAGAGCATGCACCACTCAGGCAAGTACCTGTTCAAAGGTGTGGCTATGATGCAGTAAGCACAGGAGTTCTACAGACGATGGCACACAACAAAGGTGCCAATATGCACTGGATTCTCTGAAGAATATGGACGCACCCTTTTGACCTGGCAGGTCTCCTTCCACCAAAAGAGCCACTACCAGTTGTCCCAGCAAGCCAGGCCCGGCTCCCCCGCCACCCACCGCTGGCACTCACCAAGGCCGGCTCCAGAGGGAAGCGGGCAGGATCCCGGCGGGCTCTCTCGTACTCCTCCCGCGTGATGCAGACGTTGCTGTTTCCCCGGCAGAAAGTGTTGCAGGGGCGACAGGAGCCGCCGCTCAGCGCCGACCCCACAAAGAGCGGCTGGCATTTTTCACAGTGCTGCCCCTGAGGGGAAAAGAGGCGAGGGGGCAGAGTTGGGCGCGGGCACGCACAGAGAGCGGCGGTTTGCCTTTTTGGCCTCCCGGGAGGCCTTTAGAGGGAGGCAAGTCCGTGCAAGAATACAGGAGCACGGGGATTTGGGAAGCTGCTTTCTACTGAGTCTGACCATTGGTCCATCTAACTCAGTCTTGTCTACACTGACTGGCAGCAGCTCCCCAGGCTGCTTTCTACTGAGTCCGACCACTGGTCCATCTAACTCAGCCTTGTCTACACTGGCTGGCAGCAGCTCCCCAGGCTGCTTTCTACTGAGTCCGACCACTGGTCCATCTAACTCAGCCTTGTCTACACTGACTGGCAGCAGCTCCCCAGACTAGCTTTCTACTGAGTCCGACCACTGGTCCACCTAACTCAGCCTTGACTACACTGACTGGCAGCAGCTCCCCAGACTAGCTTTCTACTGAGTCCGACCATTGGTCCACCTAACTCAGCCTTGACTACACTGACTGGCAGCAGCTCCCCAGGCTGCTTTCTACTGAGTCCGACCACTGGTCCATCTAACTCAGCCTTGTCTACACTGGCTGGCAGCAGCTCCCCAGGCTGCTTTCTACTGAGTCCGACCACTGGTCCATCTAACTCAGTTTTGTCTACACTGACTGGCAGCAGCTCCCCAGGGTGTCTCCCAGCTCTGCCTGCAGATTAAACCTGGGTGCTTCTGCATTCAGGGCAGATGCTCTCCCATCACCGCCCAGTGTGAACCCAGCTGCAGATCTTCTCTTCCAACCGGCCTCCGCTTGCGCCCCCAGCTCCTGCCCTCTCCCTGCGCCCCTCGGGCCCTCTCAGCCGCCCGCTGCCCTCACCATGGTGTTGTTGAAGCACTGCAAACACTGGTCCTGGGCCTCCACCCCCTGGCAGTTGCTGTGCTTGTTGCACTGGCACTCCACGGAGCAGTTCTGCCCCACGTAGCCAAAGTGGCACTGGCAGGCGTTGGGCTCCACGCAGGTCCCGTTCACGCAGCCCTGCTCACACACCGGCTTGCACAGCCCCGTCACGCTGCAAGGGAGAAAGGAGGAGGCGCAGAACAATTGGTACGCAGCGTGTGCGAGCCCCACCCCCGGTGGAAATTCTGCAAAGGTTTTCCCACACGCTGGTGTTGCTCGGCTAAAAAGAGTGGCTAGGAATTGCTCTGCCTAATAGCAAACTTGAGTGGTTTACTGTGCATTACTATGGAAGTGAAAGACAGCCACAAAAAATTATGGGAGTGGGAGACGGAGGTACACAGAATTATATGAAAAGGATTTTTAAACTAATGAGATGTTTTTTAAAACCCACGAAACCTGCCCAACAAGAACCTGTGAGTTTATAGCAGGGGTCAGCTAACATTTTCAGCTGGGGGCCGGTCCACTGTTCCTCAGACCTTGTAGGGGGCCGGACTATATTTTTTTTGGGGGGGGATGAACAAATTCCTATGCCCCACAAATAACCCAGAGATGCATTTTAAATAAAAGCAAACATTCTACTCATGTAAAAACACCAGGCAGGCCCCACAAATAACCCAGAGATGCATTTTAAATAAAAGGGCACATTCTACTCATGTAAAAACACGCTGATTCCCGGACCATCAGCGGGCCAGATTTAGAAGGCGATTGGGCAGGATTTGCCCCCCGGGCCTTAGTTTGCCTACCCATAGTTTATAGGATGTTGATAGCCTTAGGAAGCCTTTCTCAGGCCTGAGTCCCCAGATGTGCTCAAACCACAACTCCCATCATCCCTGAGCTCTGGCCAGGCTGGCTAGGAATGATGGGAGTTGTAGTCCAACCACAGGTGGGGACCCAAAGTTGAGGTTCTGAGAGGGACAAACCTTAGCTTTACATGTTGGTTTGCTTGGGCAAAACAAACCATAAGCACTGTAGCTCAGGCTTAACAGGAAGCAGAGATTGTGCTTGCTTTGTTGCTTATGCAGGGAGAAGAGTGAAGCAAGGATCTCTGCATTCTCAGGACGCCATCAACAAAAGTCTGTTGTGATGTACAGACATAACCTACGTGCGTTTACCCTGGAGGAGGAAGGGGTGCTGAAGGGACAAGGGTTCCCCTAAATTTGGGAGGGTGAAGCTGCAGCAAATGCCACCCTCCATCAATGGAGAAAAGCGGCCGGTTCGTGCGCAATATCTAAAGAGACCAGGGTAGACAGAAGGGATTTCGCAGCTCAGTTGTCTGAAATGCAATGGTTCTTAGTGAAGGTGAGGCAGCTACCGCCGAGAGCACAGGCTTACAGTTCCCTGCTTCATCTCCGCCCCCCTCCCACGGCACTCACTTGTCCAGCGTGTAGCCGTTCTTGCAGGTGCACTTGTAGCCGTGGGGCAGGTCGTTGCAGTTCTGGGTCTCGTTGCAGTCGTGGTGCCCGTTCAGGCACTCGTTCTCGGGAGGGCAGGCCATGAAGGCCCAGTCTGCTTTCAGGCCACACGACTCGACCAGTCCTGCAGGGAGGCAAGAGGGACAGGAGCTGCTGGCAATCCTTAAGAGCAGCGGCCCCCAACCTGGTGCCCTCAAGCTCTTCTGGGCTGCATCTTGCAACCGGCTTGTATCAGGCTCTCCAGGAGCAACCACTTAATCCTGGGCAAAGGGCTTCCCCAGACCACAAATAAAAGGAAATATTTCTGATAAACGCTATTATTATTATTATTATTATTATTAACCGCCCTATACCCGGGGGTCTCAGGGCGGTTCACAGAATATAATCAAGATATAAAATCACAAAATACCTAATAAAAATAAAAACAACCCAATAGCCCCCACAAAAGAACACATTTTAAAAGGGCCTAATAATAATAATAATTTATTATTTATACCCCGCCCATCTGGCCACTCCAACAGAAGATTAAAAATACATTAAAACATCTGTCATTAAAACTTCCCTGCACAGGGATGTAAATGGGATCAACCAAAGGCTTAAAAAGGAACGTTTCTGCCTGGCGCCTAAAGATGTATAATGAAGGCACCAGGCAAACTTCCCTGGAGAGAGCATTCCACAGACAGGGCGCCACTGCAGAGAAGGCCCCGTTCTCGTGTTGCCACCCTCCAAACCTCGCGGAGAAATACCTTGTTTGCAACAAGGATTTGTGAGCATTACTGCCGGGCCGCCACTTTCCACTTTCCACACTCCTCCCTGAGAAGGTGTCATTGACCCCCCACCCCACCCCCCTGGTTCTGCTCAGTACATACCGTGGTGAGGACCGCTCCTCCCTCCCTCCATGCACCGCCCTTTGCCGTTCTCGCCACGGAGGCCGCACCAGCCGCACCGGGGCTGCTGGATGCAGAGGGCGCACTGCTGGAAACGGGAGCAGGACGGGGTGCAGCTCTCGGCTCCGCTCAGCACTCGGCCGCACATCCCGGCCGCACAGCGCATGGGCAGGTACGTGGGGCTCATGCACTGCGGGGAGACAGGGGCGGAAGAGGGTGCCTGTTAGAGCTCACGTGGGCGCACTTTTCCCGAACGAAATCCTGCACCGTGAATAAATGATGCAGAGGAATTTAGCAGAATTTCTGCAATCACAAGCTCCCCTGCTCCCCCCAGGGATTACCTGCTGCAAGCTGACGCTCCAGACACACTGTTGCCAGCCCCCGTCGGCCCCCTTGGAGCTCAGGCACTCCCCACAGGTGCTGTGGTTGTGGCACGGCGTGGGGCAGGCCAGCGGAGGCGACGACTCCACCGGCATGGGGGACACGTTGAGGAGAGAGTGGCTGAAGCAGGTCCAGTCGTAGGTGGGCTGCACGCTCAGGATGCGCCTTGTCTCCCCTGGGCCAGAAGCGGGAGGAGGAGGAGGTGGAGAAGAGGAGTCAGAGATGGCGGCCTTTGTGGTGTCCGAAACGCCTCTTCCCTTTCCTCACATACCAGGAGGAGCGTCAGCTGTTTCTTGGATGATTCCCAAGGGCCATTTAAGCACCCAGGGGCCTGACTTGTGGGACGTGTGCACAGCCCCCCACAGAAATAAAGAGGAGCTCCATGCAGCTGGGGCAGGAGAAATCTTTGGTGAAGTGTGCAACCTGCTGCTGTCAGGAAAGCTGCTTGGATTCCTTCGCCTCGGGGATCCCCCCCACAAGTCAGGTAACTACCAATTAAGCTTGCTCTTTTCATCAGCTCCCCGCAAACGCTTCCGTTCACCCTTCATTCCACCAGTGGCAGATCTTGGGGTCTCAAATTTGGCCTCTCACCTTCCATTCTACATCGTAGTCACAGCATCCCTGAACCTCTGCGGCTGAACCGCTCCCCTAAATCTGCCTTTGATTCGCTAGTGGCTGTCTGACCACTATCTGACTTAATGTGGTGTTCTACCCTGAAGAACCCAATAACATAAGATCAGGCCATTGGGCCTCCTAATCCAGAACCTCTTGTTCTCACAGTGGCCAACCAGAGGCCCCTGGCAAACCCTCAGGCAGGTCCCATGCCCAAGAGCAGTCTCCCATCCTGGGGCTTCCAGCCACAAAATCCCCATTTGCCTCCCCCTTGCACTCCCGTGCAGCCCCTTCCCCGCGGCTCTTCCTCCCTCCGCCTGCAAGGCCCATCAATGGCTCCCTCCCCGCCCCCACCGGCCCCCACCTCTTGCCCCTCACCTGTGCGCTTGAACTGCCGCGTCCACATGCACTTCCCAGAAGCCGTGCACTTGGCGCAGTCCGAGGCCTCGCACGAGATCTCCGAACAGTTGCTGGCGACAAAGATCTCGCGCTGGTTAATGCGGCAGTCGTTCTCCGAGGTGCAGCTGCCGGTGCTGCCGATGCAGGCGCCCTCGGGGCAGTTGGTGCACCACTTGCACTGGGGTAAGGCCTGGGGGGGGGGTCAGAATACAAGGTCAAAGCCTCCATGACTGGGGAACGGTCACTACAAACCAAAGGCTGGCGACAATGCTTCCCCCCCCAACCCCGTATAACCCCTTGGCTTATAAAGTGGCACCTCTGGATGCAAACGGGAGCCCCGTTCGCATCCTGAAGAGAACGCAACCCGCGTCTGAGTGTCTGCGGGCCACGATTCGCCGCTTCTGCGCATGACGTCATTTTGAGCGCCTGCGCATGCGCGAGCGGCGAAACCCGGAAGTAACATGTCCCGTTACTTCCGGGTTGCCGTGGAGCGCAACCCGAAAACGCTCAATCTGAAACAACTTTAACCCGAGGTATGACTGCATAAGCCTATTTCACAAATTTACATTTTCATATGGTTTTTATTGTATGGCTGTCATAAACCACTTTGATTTTTTAAAGTAAGATAGCAGTATGCAAATGTTTTAATAAATTGGCACTGTAACCTTTCTGGCGCTCAGTGTGCTCTGAGTAGCATTGATGCTGATCTGCAGGTGGAAATTAGGGGTTGCAATCAGATCACTTTCCATCATAAGAGTTGGAAGGAACCCTGAGTGTCACTGAGTCCAACCCCCAGCAATGCAGGAATCTCAACTAGATCATACACGGCAGGTGGCTATCCAACCTCTGGTTAAAAACCTCCAAGGAAGGAAAGTCCACCACCTTCCAAGGAAGTCCGTTCCACTTTCGAACAGCTCTTACTGTTAGAAAGGGCTTCCTGATGTTTGGTCAGAATCTCCTTTCAGTGGTTTGGGTCGTAGTCTCCAGAGCAGAAGAAAACAAGTTTGCTCCATCCTCCAAGTGACAGCCCTTTAGATATCTGAAGATGGCTATCCAATCTCCTCTCAGTCTCCCCTTTCCCAGGCTACACATACCCAATTCCTACAACCGTTCCTCATAAGGCTTGGTTTCCAGATCCTTGACCATCTTTGTCGCCCTCCTCTGCACACATTCCAGCTTGTCAATATCCATCTTAAATTGTGGTACCCAGAACTGGACACAGTACTCCAGGTGTGGTATGACCAAGGCAGTGCTATGACTTCCCTTGATCTGGACACTATACTTCTGTTGATGCAGCCTAGAAGAGCATTAGCCTTTTCCCCCTGCTACATCATACCGTTGACTCATGTTCATCTTGTGGTCCACCAAGACCCCTAGATCCTTTTCACGTGTACTGTTAGTAAGCCAGGTGTTCCCCATCCTATATTTGTGCAGCTAGTTCTTGCTGCTTAAGTGCAGAACCTCCCATTTGTCCCTACTCAAGTTCATTTTGGGCCTAGTTCTCCAATCTGGTAGGGTCATCTTGGACCCCAATTCTGTCCTCAATCCTTTTTGCCATTTCCCCCTCCCTGTTCTCCCTTGGGACATGCTGGAATACCTGGCCACGCTTCGAATTCCGCACTTCCCTATCATTCCCCTGCACCCAATTCGGGGAGCGTCGGGAACTGGAGAGGTGGGGATTACGTGCTACTACAGTGTGATCCAAAGGCCACCACCTGCCTTCAGTGCTCCCTGAAAAGTGAATGCAGAAGTGCAGAGTTTGGAAGCCCCGCAACCTCCAACACGGAAGGAAGAAGAGGGTGCTCCCCAGGCAGTGGGCCAGCTGCTAGAAAGAGGGATGGGGGCTACTCACTGGAATGCCCAGGCTGTGGGCCATGGCACGAGGGTGCTGGGCAAGGCACTCGCTGCAGGTCCTCAGCCGGCGGCACTCATCTGCGGACCTTGGGGTGGGGAAGCAGGAGGTCCCACCAGAACAGCCCTGCCTGCAGGAAGGAAGGGAGAGCAACCAGGAAGCTCAGTGGGGGAAAAGCTCTTCCAGACTCTCCTCCTATACCTATAGGGTCAACCCTATTTGCTCAACCTTCTCAACGCGTGATCTGCACCCCCCAGATTTATTTGTTTTTTAAAAGGGAGTGAAATTATCTAAAATGAGAGGCTATCATGATGAATCACATTGTTAAAGGAGGTCACATCCATCTTCCTGTAGGCCTCCAGAGGACTACAACTCCCATCATCCCTCACCTGCTGGCTGGGGCTGATGGGAATTAGAGATCAACTACATCTGGAGGGCTACAGGCTCCCCATCCCTGCTCTAAACAAATGGAGGAAGGGGATGAAAAAAAGTTTATGGGATGAGAGCAAACAAAATTGGCTTGCGTGGAAACAATGAGAGGAAAATAAAGATGGAAGAGGACAACCAAATTAAGGGTCTTAAAGCAATTTTCACAATGAAAGAATTAAGAACAGGTGGTACGATGTTCCCAATAAACGATTCAACCATCTATTAGCTGAGATTCAAAAGTTAATCGGTTTGGTTATGGAATTTGGTGTATCTATGGCAGTGCAAAGGGTCGGTAAGGCTCAAGAGAGTTTTCGGCAAAGTTGAAGAGCCTGGAAAACAAATTAGCAAGGGAGCAACAGGAAGGGGAGCACTCGTCTGTACTTTATGGGAAATTATGGATCTAGGAGTACAATGTGATTTTTTGGGTAGAGGATTCAGTGTCTCTTCTGTATAAAACTTTATGGAACTACGCAGCACGAATGTGAAATCCGTTCGCTAACCATTGTGCACTCCCTAGAATGGCTATATTACAATAACCTGAAGGCACCTGATGGAGCTTTGGCAATGCCTCATTTTAACTCCCGTGACTACTTGTGCATCTCCTGCCACCAATGAGCTCCTCCCAAACAGCTCCAGCCCCCAGTTCTCCTCTCTGCTTTTGCCTAGTCCCACCCCAACCGCTAACCACCCCGTCCTGTTTCCTAACAAGAGGCACGGTCTGACCACTCTCATCTTTGCCGCTTGCCCAGACTCTGCCCCTCCTCACCTCTCGGCAGCATCCGCAGAGAGGCAGCTGGCGTGGCACCAGGTGCAGCTGGCGTTGGACCTGTTGCAGGCTTCTGGACTGCTGAAGATGAGGCAAGGATCGGAGGGCACGGAGAGAGCCACCATGCGCCCCAGCGCCACCCCGTTGAAGCCCCCGGAGAGGTAGATGCGCCCTCCGACAGCGGCCACGGCGTGGGCAATGGACTCCATGATGGGCTCTCCCACGACTGCTTCTGCTGCAGAGGGGAAAAGGAAACACACAGATGAGCAAAACTGGAGAGAGAACACAAAGGGCTAAGGACAGCGGCCGGAAGCACATAAATGCACCTATGCAGCCAAATCGAACAACTGAAGGTGTTCTTTCAGAAATGTATGGAAGGAAACGATTTGCAAGGCAAACAGAGAAGATGAGGAAGCACTAGGGAACTTATGAAGCAGCAGATGGGAAGGGGATCTCATCCTCCAGCTTGGCCAGTGAACAGGAATGATGTGAACTGAAATCTGCTGACGTCCGGAGGGCCAGAGGTTCCCCATTGCTTCACTAGATAAATGAATATAATTTCTACAAGGGCCCTGCGCAGACGTAACACTGGGCAGTCTTCTAGACAACTGAAAGCACCTTGCAGGCCACACTCTCTGCCCTCCACTCATAAAGGTGCCCTTTTCGAGTTCAGAGCTAACCATGGTTAGCTTTCTGTCTACAGTGAACAGCTAACCATGCTTGATGCCAAGTGAGAGCGTGAAAGCAGCTTCAGAAATGGATTTGGCAGTAGCTTTGTTTGGCAAAAACTCTGGTATCAACGTAATGCTAAGTACAGGTAGCTGAAATGGAGGGATAGAGAAATACCCACACTAGGCAGCAGGAACTCCTTACGGGGTGCCCTCCGCTACCTAACCATGGATAACAGGTGGGCACATGTCTACAGTCAGTCCACATTGTGGGAGGCTAACCCGCTCTCCTTTATCACATGTACAAACATGGAGGACTTGAAGCCCTAGGGATCTGTGGCAATCAAATCAAATTCTGAACCAATAAGGTAATGTTTCGTTGCAGATTAAAATGACTTGCATCATTTTTTCTGCATGTCAAATAGGGACCAGGGAGTATTATTTGTAAGGAAGCTCAGATCGCTGGGCCACAGGCTGATGTGCCTGGGATGCCAAATCCTATACAGTCATATCTCTTGTTACATCTGCTTCATGTTACGTTCTTTCAGGTTACGTCCCGCAGTGACCTGGAAATACCGGAAAGGGTTACTTCCAGGTTTCGCAACTTGCACATGCGCAGACGTGCAAAATGACATCACACGCATGCACAGAAGCGACGAATCGCAACCCACGTGTGCGCAGACGCGCCACTGCGGGTTGCATTCTTTTCATGTTGCGAATGGGCCTCCGGAATGGATCCCGTTCGCAACCAGACGTACCACTGTACCTCTGATCTTACCAAAAAATCCATCCCAGCCCTGACCTGTGCTGTTGGGTAGGATCCAGGTGTTGCAGTTTAGCTGGTAGAAGAAAAGGTGGTTGGTGAAATTCTCGCGTTCTGTGCGCCCTCCGATCACCACCATGGTGTCCTTCAGTACTGCTGCGACATGGAAGAAGTGAGCCAGCGGCTGGTGAGGGTAGTAGGGAACAAGGGATTCAGGAAAGAGCCATTTAGTAATAGCATATCACAATTCCCCCCAATATGAGCCTCGTACTCCACGGGGCCCCTTCTCAAGCCCATTCTTCCCACCGGATTCTACGCTCACCCGAAAGACAGAGATGGCTAAGCTCTGACTCTCCAGGACAGACTATATTATAACAATATATAGTCTTCATTGGCTCCCAGTACGTTTCCGAGCACAATTCAAAGTGTTGGTGCTGACCTTTAAAGCCCTAAAGAGCCTCAGCCCAGTATACCTGAAGGAGCGTCTCCACCCCCATTGTTCTGCCCGGACACTGAGGTCCAGCACCGAGGGCCTTCTGGCAGTTCCCTCCCTGTGAGAAGTGAGGTTTACAGGGAACCAGGCAGAGGGCCTTCTCGGTAGTGGCACCCGACCTGTGGAACGCCCTCCCATCAGATGTCAAAGCAATAAACAACTATTTTACTTTTAAAAGACAACTTTAGGGAAGTTTTTAATCTCTGATGCTGTATTGTTTTTAATATTCAGTGGAAGGCGCCCAGAGTGGCTGGGGAAACTCAGCCAGATGGGCGGGGTATAAATAATAAGTTATGATTATAATTATAACAATTCTGTTCCAAATATACTGGCTGCCTGCACTGACCATCCAAAGGAACAGCACTGGTTTTCACCTTTAAAGCTCTTCACGGCTTAGGACACCAATATCAAAACCCTTGTGGTTAATGCAAGAAAGAGCTGGAGTGGGTGGGTTTGGACTCCCATCCCACAGTAAGTGCAAGGGAAGGAGGGAAAGAAAAAAAATGCTAAATTGTTCCATCACTGAAATTGCAAGGAGGCAAAGCACCCTCCCTGGGGAAATGGCGGCTCTGTCAAGTGTTTACAGGATCATGTGCTCATCATGGCCAACCTATACCAGACAGCAGATAACTCACTCGGGCAGGAGGAACAACGAAATCCTCTGCAGGAAAGGGAAGACAAATTGCCGAGAGTGATTTAAGGCTTCAGCTGATGTCCTTATCAGGCTGACTCACACCCAGGGGATGACAAGGCTAAGCGTGCATTACATTGTTCTGTGCAAAGGTTTCGCTCAAGGCAGCTCGCTCCTCCTCCCATATCGGGGGGAGGGGGGAGATCCTGGCCTTGAAATCACTGGGGAAGGGCAGTAGATCGGGGGCTGAAGATCTGCTTTTCATGCTGAAGATCCCAGGCTCAGTCCTGGACCAACTTCAGATAGGATTTGGAAAGACCTCTGCCAGAAACCCTGGAGATCTACTGCCAGTCAGTGTAGACAGTATTGAACTAGATAGCTCTAATTCTGCATAAGGCAGCTTCCTAGAGTCCGATCTTCTGATCTCCACGCCACGTATTTAAACTTCCTGCTTAATTGTGCTTTGTGTGAAGCAACAGAGTCATTGGGATTGTCTACCTCAAACACCCAAACTTCTTGCACTGAGCTTGCCTACGTTCTACGTGATCTCGCCTCTCCTGGCATGTATATGCAAAAGAGGGCACACATGATACAGGTGCAGGCACACACACACCATGCATGCACACACACACACCATTTTCTCATTCCCTCAACCTGATCTGTGTTTGAAAATGAATCTTTTCTCGCTTACACTATCCTACATTTCCCTGCAACACATGGACTTGTAGAGCTGGAAGAGACCAAGAGGGTCATCTCCCAATGCAGGAATCTCACAGACAGTGCTAAACAGACCTCATAATTCATTCTGGGCCTCAGGGCTGTTCAATAGCGGCACCAAAGATGGGCAGAGTCTTCACACTGGGAAACTCTCTGGTGGTTTCTCCATACCAGAAGCCCTGTGTCTTTTTGGGGAAGCTAGTACTTAACAGCACCCTGGCCGCAACTGTTACATTTCTGCCCTGACAGCATCTCACCTTTGGCCCCTGAGACGGAGCCAGCAAGCTCCAGGTCAGGTTGGGATAATAAAGGCTGTAGAGCTCAGGGGAAGCAGAAACCATCTCCACGTGGAAGCGATGGCCGCCAAAGACATAGATGGCATCCGTGCCCTCGTGGTACACAGCCGAGTGTCCGTACAGACCTGAAAAGTAAATTCAATACCAGGTGTTTGTTTGCTGGGTGGGACTGGGGGCTGGGTCTGTGTTTGATCTCACTAGTGGAAATACGGAGTCAGGCACTGTGGGACATTTGTAATGTTTCCCAGCCTGCACGCCTTGCAACTGTGGCACGAAGGGTTTCTGGGATTCCCTGTCTTAGAGCTTTTCAGAAGAGGCGACTGTCTCAGATCAAGGCAACCTTGCCTTCTCAAGAGGAGCATTTTTTGGCTCCGTAACCACCTAGTTAATCTCAGGGCCCCACAGCGGGTCAAAAGGATCCCCTACCTGTAGGGGGCGTTCCAGCCTGGCTCCCGGCACGCCAGCTCTCCGACACGACGTTATATTCCAGCAGTTTCTTGTTGAAGCCGTTCTCAGGGGAGTAGCCGCCGATCAGGAGCAGGGAAGAGCCACGGCGAGCCGTGAGTGTGTGACCGGCCACGGCTGGGATGAGAGGGTCCTGGAGAAGTCGGGAAGGGAACAGGGAACCTGTCAGGATCCAGGGCGTATAAAAGAGAAGGGCACAGGGTGTGGGGCACAGCATTCCTTCCTCTTTCCACCAATGTGGATTTATCTGCAGCAACACTAGTGGAATGTGAGGGGGCCATTTATAGGCTAAATTGAATTCTTTCCCCTCCACCATGGGATGGCCGAGAAGAAACCAGTAGGCTGCATTGTGGAAACAGAGGAGCATATGCTTTGTGCATTAACCCCAGGCCTTTGCCCTGAGACCTCCCGCACTCAGGTGCTCTCCTCATTCCTCAATCGGTCATGTAATAATCTGCTGCCAACACCCACAGTTTCGGATCAGGAGAAGGTACACGCCCAGCTTGGGAGTGTCCTGGAAGCATCTGGTTGCCTGCTGTTGGAAGTGGACTGGCCTGATCCAGTTAACAGGGACCTGCCAACCGCTCGCAGTCTAAATGAGGGGGGTTACCTGCACGAGCCTCCATTGCAAAGTGGTGAGGTTGAGCAGCCAGAAGTCGTTGGCCACCCCGTCGGTCGTCAGTCCACCAAGCACATACATTGCCTTGCAGGAGGGGATGTAGGCGGCCGCGTGAAAGTACCGAGGGTTGGGTCCTGGGCCTCTGTCCTCCGTCCCTGCCAGCATCTGGGTCCAGCGGCGCTCGGCAATGGAGTATCTGCAGAGACACAGTGCCCTCTATGGCCAGGATGGGAAAGGCAGGGGCGGCCCATTGGAATAAGCCTGGCGGGGGGAGGGTCTCTTACCTGTACACGTTGCCCAGCATCCCCTCTCGCAGAGACATGCCCCCAAACATCCAAAGCGTGGTGTCCGGCCCCTCCACCATGGTGTGGCCCAGGCGGTGAAGAAACCGGCTGGCTGTGTCCTTGGAAAATGCACAGGTGAGGGTTAGATTATAGTGCTGGAGTCAACTCCAGAGGACCCCTTTGTCCTGGGTCTTTCTGCATCTATGTCCACTTAGTGGCCAGTCAGGCTGCTACAGAGACCCTGAGTGCATAAAATCACAGAATTGTAGAGCTCAAAGGACCCCAGGGGTCATCTAGTCCAACCCCCTGCAATGCAGGAATCTCAGCTAAAACATCCATGGCAGATGGCCATCCAACAACCTCTGCTTAAAAACCTCCAAGGAAGGAAAGTCTACAACCTCCTGAGGGAGAGCATTCCACCGTCAAACGACTCTTACAGTCAGAAAGTTCTTCCTGATGTTTAGTCGAAATATCTTTTGTTGTAACTTGAAGCCATTGGTTTGAGTCCTACCCTCCAGAGCAGGAAAAAACAAACTCGTTCCCTCTTCCATGTGACAGCCCTTGAGACAGCTGAAGATGGCTATCATATCTCCTCTCCCTCTCTTCTTTACCAGGCTAAACAAACCCAACTCCTTCAACCGTTCCTCATAAGGCTTGGTTTCCAGATCCTTGATCATGTCAGTTGCCCTCCTCCTCCTCAGATAGAGGACAAACTGATTAGATGCCCTGAGTGTGTAATAAGCCCAAAGCACAGCTATTTTCAAGAGTGACATTGCTCAGAGCAGCAAAACTCTTATTTATTTAATGCAGTATGCTCTCAGTGATAAATTGCCCGTTCTCATGGCTCAAAGAGGCCCCAGGCCGGATGACAGATAAAATGAACCGAAAAGCTAATGTCAGAGGGAGCCTTCAAGGGATGTGGGGGTTCACTTACAGCTGTCAGCTGGGTGTCGATCAAGGTCTCCCAAATGACCTTGCCAGCATCTAGAGGGATGGAACAATCTTTGCCGGCAAACCGATCGCTGCAAACACACAGACCGAGGCTCTAGGGAAGAGATGGGGAGGGGAGGAGACAGAGAGACAGAGAAGGGTGGGGAAACAATGAGACTCGCAGGAGGAAGCATATGCACGGCGCGCACAAAATTTGGAAACTGGAACAGGCTCTGCACTGCCATCACAATACTCAAAGGCCACCGTCAAACCACCTGAGGCTCAGGGGAGACAGCTTTAGATGCAATGGCTTGCACAAGCAATGTACCCAGGTAACTCCTGTACTTTCTGGAGATTTTCATATGTCAATGAGCAACTAAATATGACTCCTGCACTTCTACCCACAGTCTGCTTGCCTGCTTTTTCCTAAGGTGTAGACTCAAGACCACCTCACCTATGTTCAGTTACCCACCCTGCCACCATTCTGCTCAGCAGAATGCAGCCAACCCTACCTGTATCCAAGCACTGCTTTTGTCATGCTGTCGTGCAAGGCCCTTTGGACATACCCGTATCACTGCAGACCAGGCCTGGAACTTAATGCCTTCCAAGCTCGGGATTGCTTTTTGACTGGGCACCCATGTCAGCTCCTAAACTCCCTGGGCTGAAACCAAAACTGGAGAGCCAGTGTGGTGTAGTGGTTAAGAGCAGTAGACTCGTAATCTGATGAACTGGGTTTGCTTCCCCGCTCCTCCATATGCAGCTGCTGGGTGACCTTGGGCCAGTCACACTTCTCTGAAGTCTCTCAGCCCCACTCCCCTCACAGAGTGTTTGTTGTGGGGGAGGAAGGGAAAGGAGATTGTTAGCCGCTTTGAGACTCCTTAGGGTAGTGATAAAGCGGGATATCAAATCGAAACTCTTCTTCTTCTTCCCCCTTGTCCGAGGCCACCCTTGTCCCTTGACCCTTCTGAAATATTTCTTCCCTTCATGCACACACACAAACCAAACCCCCAGGGCTCACCCTGTTGCAAACCCCCTGCCCCACATGAGCGCTGCAGTTGCCTGGGCAGATCTGAAACTGGCAGCTGGGTCCTGTGTAGCCGTTTCTGCAGATACAGCTCCCCTCCTGGCACTCCTGGTTGGGGTGGCAACTGGGGCGGCAGCGGTGCACCGTGTAGGTAGCGTTGAAGCCCGAAGCCTCGGTGGAGTTGGCCTCGTAGTAGATGACCAGAAGGCCTGCAAGTACAGGGAGGGAGAGAATCAGAGGAGCAGCATTCCTAGATTGTGGAACTACCGAGTTGGAAGGGACCCCGAGGGTCATCTATCCCAACCCCCAGGAATGCAGGAACATGCAGTTGTCCCATACGGAGATTGAACCTGTAATGTTATCAGCACCACAAGTCTAGGCAAAAAGGTAAAGGTAAAGGACTCCTGAAAAGTTAAGTCCAGTGAAAGGCGACTAGGGGGTTGCAGTGCTCATCTCGCTTTCAGGCTGAGGGAGCCGGCGTTTGTCCACAAAGCAGCTTTCTGGGTCATGTGGCCAACATGGCTAAACAGCTTCTGGTGCAAGGGACACTGACGGAAACCAGAGCACACGGAAACGCCGTTTACCTTCCCACCACAGCGGTACCTATTTATCTACTTGCACTGGCGTTCTTTCATACTGCTAGGTTGGCAGGAGCTGGGACAGAGCAACGGGAGCTCACTCTGTTGTGCGGATTTGAACTGCCGACCTTCTGATCAGCAAGCCCAAGAGACTCAGTGGTTTACACCACAGCACCACCCATGTCCCTATACCAGAAGTCTAACCAACTGAACTATTCAGCATTGCATAGAAGGATTCAAATTTCCTTTATCAGGGCGAGAGTGTGGAGGAACAAAACAGGAATTTATATTGTGTTCTTCTAGGGACATCCTGAGGGTCCTCAGAAGACTCGCAGGAGTTCTTCAGTGCAAAGCTTGCAGATGGTTTTTCGTGAGAGTAAGCTTGCCTGTCATTAGAGGGGCTGCTCCACAACACACAGCCAAAGAGATGCCTTTCGTAAGCTTTCATTGCCTCTCACTAATGGGAAAGGAATTGAACCCTGTCTTTCACATAAAGGTATGCGATTCGCCATAGTCAAGACATAACGTGGAGCTAAGTAGACCACTGATCTGACTAGCAAACAAATTCATTAAGTTCACACCCTGCATCAAAACTCTTGAATCCAACCTCCTTCCTCCTTCCTACCTGATACGGCCTCCACAGTGATGGGACGGGGACGGCCCTGGCCGCAGAAAGCCCCAATGAGAGTGCGATCCAATTGGATCAGGCCCGTGTCCAGGAAGTCAGGAAGTCCATCAAAGGCATAGACATAGTTATTCTAAGGAGAAAGTGAAGGGGAAGCAAGCATGAGTTATCAGCATTGGATCAAACTTGCTTCAAAGAGATGCTAAGTTTTTTAAATACAGCCCTCTGGTTTCTGTTCTGTGACTTCCAACAGGGGCTCTGGATCAGGGTTTCCCAGACTTGGGTCCCCAGCTCTTGTTGGATTATAACTCCCTTCATCCTTAGCTAGCAGGACCCCGTGGTCAGGGATGATGGGAACTGTAGTCCAAAAGCAGCTGGAGACCCAAACTTGGGAAACCCTGATCTAGATGAAGTTCTCAAGTGATTTTTCATACCCATTTCCTGCAATTAGTGTGGTAAAAAGCGAGTTCACAACAAACACATGCTTAGAGAAATACACATACATTTTTGGGACGAGATTTTGTGGGTGATTCAGCGGCAAGAAATGTGGGGGGGGGGAGGTATTTGCCCAGTATGGATTTTGTTTCATTCACGACTGGGCTCCATTAAATAAACTGGGAGAGATAAAGGAGGGTGGTGAAAATTCTTACAATGCCACTCTAATCTTTTGCGCCAATATCTCATTGTAAGAGATGGGGAAAGATTTCAAACTTCCAGCGCCCCAAGAAACTGCCTCCCCCTTAAAAAAAAACAAGGCTTCATGCTTCTAGACATGCTTTTGAGAGACAGCAGTATGTTTTTAGGCAAAATATGCCAAATGCCATAGAAAACAAAAGAATGAGGAAGCTTTAGTCATGTCCATCTCCTCCTGCTGATTTCTGACATTACTAATGTATTAAATGACAAGCATCTGCCTCTGGAAGATATCACTTGCCTACAGAATCAGCCCCCTGGCCCCCACTGTGCCCACCCCCTGTGCTCACCATACAGAGGGTATCGGGTTGGATAGTAAGGGTGATCGTAGGGCAGATCTGCTCAGGCCGACAGGGCTGCATGTCCTCAGTGGTCGACAAGACCCAGACGCAGTAGGAGAGCCCACCCTGCGGGGGGCCCCCAGCCCGCTGAGAGCTCAACGACGAAGAGGAAGAGAGGTTGGCAAGCAAGGAGCGCCCCACACACTCCTGGTAGCAAACGCCCTCGTTTCTGGTGGATAAAAATAAAGCAGACAATAATAGCGCAGCAATCTTTTTGGTTTTGTCATGAAGGGCTGCGCGAAGTCACCCTGCCCTTTAAAGAACTGCTAAGTCTGGCCCAACCTAACAGAAATTCTGAAAATGGCAGCATGGCCACTTGGCATCGCCTTGGTCTTTTGAGGAATCGGCCGGGAGGCTTAAACAGCGCTTTGTTTTGGTGATTTTGCAGCGTGTTTATTTTTAAAAACCACCAACTCTCTTCCCACCCTGCTAACTTAGGACGGGGAAGGAAAAGATAGCCCATAATTAGCTTCCGCAGGAGCCAGTCTGTCTTGGAGGTAAGCAGAAGCAGAAAAAAACAGAGATGGCAATTACCGTATTTTTCGCCCTATAGGACACACCGTCCCATAAGGCGCACCTAGTTTTGGGGGGGGGAAATAAAGGGGAAAAAAATTTATTTCCCCCCCAGGCGCGGGGCTGGGGTGGGGGAAGCCCGAGCTTCCCCCGACCCCAGCCCCCAGAACAGGCAACTCTCCGCAAGGCGCGGGAGCCCGGCACGGGCTCCCACGGCTTGCGGAGATCTGCACGAAGCCTGGAGAGCGAGAGGGGTCGGTGCGCACCAACCCCTCTCGCTCTCCAGGCTTCAGCGAAAGCCTGCATTCACCCCATAGGACGCACACACACTTCCCCTTCATTTTTGGAGGGGGAAAAGTGTGTCCCATGGGGCGAAAAGTACGGTACTCCTCCAAATGTCAGGGATGAAGATTGTAAAGCTAATTTGCCTAACCCTCCCTATTGGAGTAAGAGTTTCTCACTGCAGGACAGCATTCTCCATGACAAAGAATTCTGCAGAATTCTATGCAAAAGTGTATAACCTATGCAATTATGCACAAGTTTTCCTTTATAACTTATTCTGGTTTCGCAAGTAAGTGAGAGAGGCAAGCGGGCATGGAAGGTACTAAAACCAGCAGTGGCAGCAGGGGCAGCACCCTTTCAGGTATACCATTACACAATCGTAATGACCAGAAAGCTTCTGTTACTTTTCCTCTTAAAGGAGGCTGAATTCTGCTCCCAGTCATATTCTGTGAGCTTTCCCTTTTGCAATGGACCCAAGCCATGCACACAGCCCTACATTCCAGGAAACTGGAAGCATGTGTGTGTATGTCAGTCTTTGTTTTTTTGCTTGTACACGGCACACATCAGGGAGCAGTTCGATCCATTTTGCACCTCTTTAATGACGTGCGAGAGTTTTGCATTAAAAATATGAAGTTTGGGCCCAAATGAAAGGCAGCCAGAAACAAAAGAACTTTAAAATAAAGAATATAATGACACTAAACATTAATAGAAAGTTTGATGATTCCCATAGCATGTATGTTGGAAGAGCTCTATGTTTCTTTGTTTTTCAGGAGGCGAGTCTTTGGAAAATCGGGGAACTGCAGGCTGTGGAAAAAGTAGTTCAACATGACCACTTTTATTGTGAGCTTGGCAAGTGCCCCGGTAATCCTCAGCAACCACCAGGCGAAATTTCAAAAAGTGGGAGAACTAGAAAAGGTGGGCAAAGTTTTGCACAGACCAAATGAAGAACTGCTTTGCTGTGTCAGACAACAGCTGCTGGCCAGAGGTGCATAAATGACTGTAAGCAGCCAATCCTACTGCTTGTATCCAGCAGCTGGTAGTCAGTAATATAGACAGCTCCTGAACATGGCAGCTCAACTTAGCTCTTCAGGTTAATAGCCTTCAATAGAAGTTGCTTATTTGTGCAACTTAGGTAGTATTGCTGTAATACAGGGGATGCAACCACAGTCAAATCAACCAGCTTCTCTCACCTGGGGTCCCCATAGTAGCCGGGGGCACAGCGCTCGCAGTGAAGCCCTTCGGTGGGTGGGGCGCAGTAACAGGCTCCTGTGGCCCCGTGGCAATAGCCCATCTCTTCCAGGCCATGCCCATTGCAGGCACACTCCTGGCAGCCGCTCTGATTTGTGGCGTTTCCGTAGCTGCCGGGCCGGCAAAGGTGGCAGCGCTCACCATGGGTCCAGTCTGCAGAGGAGGAGAAAAAAGAGGATGAGACCGAAGAGGACAAGGAACAGAGGAAACTGCATTCAGTCACAGACTGGCTGGACGCAGAGGAATGGTGGGGAATCCACAAAGGAAGAAGGCTCAGAGCCTGGGAAGTGGAGGTGGGATGACGAGTGATCAGAGGGAGAAGGAGAAGACTGGGAGGTGGTGTCGGAAGCTGAAGAAGCAACAGGGTTTAGTGAGCAGGGAGAATCTGTGGCAGAGAAAAGTCCAGGACCAGAGGCCGAAGCAGAAGGGCAGGAGGCGAGAGGCCAGGGGGCAGAGATGAGTCAGTCTGGTGAAGAGTCAGGGGTGTCTGCGACAAGCTCCCCTCCCCACTTGTCTCCCAGAACCAGAAGAGGCATGAAAAGGGCAGGGCACAGGGCAGAGGTTGGCTGCAGGAAAACACCCTGGAAAGGAGGGGACTTAGAGGGTTGTGGGGAGGTGGGGATCTCCAGTCTCAGGAATGGCTTCATGGGGTCAAGACCTGCCAGAGATGAGTTCGGCACGACACCTCTCTATCAAGCGTGCTTTCGCTAATAAAGAGTTAACCCCAACTTGCACGGTGTGATTTACTGCTGGCTCGCTCCTGACAATTACACTGAGTCAGTCAGTTGGGTCCGTCTAGCTCAGTACAGTGCTACCTCAGGTTAAGAACTTAATTCGTTCTGGAGGTCCGTTCTTAACCTGAAACTGTTCTTAGCCTGAAGCACCAGTTTAGCTAATGGGGCCTCCTGCTGCTGCCATGCCGCTGCTGCGCGATTTCTGTTCTCATTCTGAAGCAAAGTTCTTAACCCGAGGTACTCTTTCTGAGTTAGCGGAGTCTGTAACCTGAAGTGTCTGTAACCCGAGGTACCACTGTATTGACTGCAAGGACTGGCAGTGGCTCTCCAGGGCTTCTGACAGGAAATCTCTCCCAGCCCTTCCTGCGGTGGGCAGGGGTTGTATCTGGGAGCGTCTGCATGCAAGGCAGATGTGTGCCTCTTGACCTATGGCCCTTTCCTAGAAGGAGGAGGCAAGAACTGAAGACCTGTCCTCTTATACCAAACCATCACCAACCTCAGGCCCTCCACAGGTTTTGGACTACAACTTCCATCAGCCCTAACCAGCACAGCTGATGGGAGTTGTAGTCCGAAAACTGTCTTATACTCTCCGAGGTGCACACTGACGGTGCTTTACTGGCCAAAGAACAGCGATGCAACAAAACTGTAAATTAGAAAAGCAGGAGACAAGAAGCATCCGGCTCACTCTGGCATTCGTCGCAAACGCCGGGCCCGCTGAGGCCACAGCTGCTGTGGAAGTGGCACCCGCAGTCCACATTGCACTGCACCCCACTTGGCGGCGGGGTGGCTCCCATGATGGTCTCGGAGGTCCAGCCCAAGTCGCACACGCAGGTGAAGTTGGGGGCCCCGCTGCATTCGCCGTGTGCGCATTCGTCGTAGCAGCTGTGTGAAAACACAGAGGGGGAGATGGAGAAAGTCCTGGAGAAAGCTCTTCCCAGAGCTACAGGGCCCATGCCCTCAACAAAGTGCAGTTCCCAGGATTCTGTGGGGGGACCCACAAGTTTGAAATGCGTGTTGAAAGCGCTTTCAATGTATGGTACAGATCCTTCAGAGGGACTGGATTAATAGAGAAGGTGCAGCCAAACTAACGCAGAAGTTTCAGAAAGATGAGAGTCTGGGGTCACAGACAACCCCATCAGACAACCAAGGCTCACAAACGCGTCCTGCCAGGGGGTTTCCTGGCATCATAAGGTCGCCAGAAAAAGCTCTGCAAGATCTTGCCACAGACCCATCTAATCCTGTTCTCACAGTGGCCAAACAGATGCCTATGGGAAGTCCACACCTGAGCATTCTTCCCTGCTCAGGATACGCAACATAGTGCCTCTGGCAGTGGAGGGAATTACGGAATCACAGAATCATAGAAGGTATCTCCAAAGATCCTCTGGTCCAACCTCCTGCAAAAAAGGAATCTCAACTAAAGCATCCATGGCAGATGGCCATCCTGGTTCGTAGCCACTGAGAGCTGTACTCTCCATGAATCGGTGTAATCTTCTAAAGCCAGGCTGGTGGCCACCACTAAATCTTGTGGGAGCAGATTTCATTGTTTGTGAACACTGGGGAGAAATCTCTGCCTGCTTGCCGACAGTCTCTGGTTCCTGTAACCAGAACCAAGTTCAAGGAACACCCCCCACCTCACCCCAAACCTGCCAAAAGCGTTTTGCCCGCCCCTCGTGCCCACCCTACTCACGTCTGGTTGCAGTACGCCACCCCGTCCCCCGCATAGCCTCGGTTGCAGTGGCATTCGAAGGAGTCAGGTGTGTTCTTGCAGCTGGCAAAGGGATGGCAGTTAGCCAGGCCCAGGCGGCACTCGTCCACATCTGGGCACTGCCCGTAGGACCACTGAGCCGGGTGGGTGGGAAGCAGCCCGTGAGATTCCCAGAGGGCCACCGAGCAGTTCAGGAAGGTGTTCAGGCCTGAGAAATCCCCGGGGAGGCACCTGAAGAGGGAAAAAGGAAGAAGTTATTGCAGGGCAGATTCGAGGGTAAACCATATGTGGAATGAGTCTGCCCCTGTGGCTTGATGGGGGTAGAAACTGTCTCTCATGTCTTGTTAGCCAAAATGCTGAGTTGCTGAGGTCTGTTACGAAAGCTGCAAAGACTCTGCGGATTCCTAAGTGTGCCAGTGTCTGTTGGCGTCGGTCACTGTGATATTCAGGCTGAAGAAAGCTTATGAAGCTCCCAAACGAAAGACCAGGGGGGAGGGAAGCTGCCAGTCGGGCATGTGTCTCTGCCAGGGTCCTACTCAAGTGTAGGATGAGCTCCTGACAAGAAGAACCATTGTAAACATGAGTCTTACCTGCCCAAGGTGGGGTTGTCTGAGTTGCCGCACCAACCGCATTCAAAGTTCTGCAGGCATTCCCGGCAGGTGTTGAACCGGGTGCAGTCCAGGCACTGGGGCACAGAGTGCACGCTGGAGGGGGGAGGAGAGGAGGGGGGAGAAAGAGGTTGGTGAGCAGCTCCTGCATGCACTGGGTTCGAGATAGAAGGAAAAGAGGGAAGAGGGTCCCGGGGGCTAGTAACCTGATGCCTAGCAACTTAATTTCTCAATTGGGTGACTCTGATTTTGATATAAATAAATTGTCTTAAAATTTAAGTATTCACGCTACTTCTTTCCCTCTTTCTCAGGAACTGGGAACCAGCTACAAAAATATTTTTCAGGGGTATTTGCAGGCTCTCTCAATGGTGTTTCAAATATACACAATTTCACTGAGGGGTGTGGTGCCTCGGAGCGTAACTCCAGCATAAATGGGATGCCAGTATGCATCTTGTGGAACAAATGAATGAATACAGTGGTACTTCAGCTTACAGACACTTCAGGTTACAGACTCCGCTAACCCAGAAATAGTACCTCGGGTTAAGAACTTTGCTTCAGGATGAGAACAGAAATCGTGCTCCGGCGGCACGGCAGCAGCGGAAGGCCCCATTAGCTAAAGTGGTACCTCAGGTTAAGAACCGTTTCAGGTTAAGAACGGACCTCCAGAACAAATTAAGTTCTTAACCAAAGGTACCACTGTAAATCGCCATCTCCTTTTCCACTACCACTTCCCCTCATGCGGTACATAACTTGGGCTGCGGCTCGCCCGTATTTGTTTAATTCCTTGTGGAAACCGGAGATTTCCCTATTACAGTGGTACCTCGGGTTACGAACTTAATTCGTTCTGGAGGTCTGTTCTTAACCTGAAACCGTTCTTAACCTGAGGTGCACTTTCGCTAATGGGGCCTCCCGCTGCCGCCGGAGCGCAATTTCCATTCTCATCCTGGGGCAAAGTTCTGAAACCCGAGGTACTACTTCCGGGTAAGCAGAGTTTGTAACCTGAAGTGTTTGTAACCCGAGGTACCACTGTACTAGCATTTTTATGAGCCAGGAGTGTTGCTCTTCCAAACTGCGGCCTGCTAGTAGAGGGAAGCTCCTCTGAGCCTGTGCAGATTCTGCCTTTCTTCTTTCCGCCGAACAACCACGAAGGAGACCGTGACTTCCTCACGCCCCGAGTCTTCCTGCTGCATGCCCAACATACCTGTCATACCAACCGCGGCAGTCTCCATAGGGGTATTTGGCCAGGTAGGCAGCGAAGAAGAAGCAGCTACGTGTGGACTGGCACCAAGCACACTGGCTGGAGTTGGAGAGGCACTCGGAGCAGGTATTGCGCCTGGAAGATGAGAGGAGAAACCAATGCTTTCAAGACCCGCTCTCAGAGCTACTTTGCCCCTTCTACACCTTCCAGGGCCGGATTAAGACCTTTAGAGGCCCTAAACACTTAAAAAGACTTTGGTGCCCCCATATATATCTAATTCAAACTATAAACAACAATAAACCATAAAACTCAAAATGAAACAAAACCTACGGTACGATGGAAAATGAATGTTTATTTTTGTATACTTCTGCTTTATATCTGATTTTTCCCCTCCTGCTTTTTTCTAATTGCATAGTCTTGCATAGTTTTTCTAATTGCATAGTCAGATCCTCAAAACTAATCTTACATAACATATCTGCCTCTATACTTGGCAGAGATAAGGAATCCAGCCTGTCTTGTTGCATAGTTGTTCAGTTGGGATTTTTAATATGCTCCAACTGAGAAAACGAGCAATTTGAGACCATTAATGTTAGAAATCCAACAATGGAAAATTTCTGTGGTGTCCCCTTGATGCCCTAAGCATTACTTTGCGTAATGGTTAATCCAGCCCTGGGGCGCCCACTTCCTGATTTTTTCCCCTGGTTCTGCCGCTGCTTGAACCAGGGCTTCCCAGGTCCAGGCTGTGCTAGGAATCCAGCATCTTTGATTCCTGCACTGCAAGGGGTCAGACTAGATGACCATCAGGATCCCTTCCACTTCTACAATTCCATGATCTCAGGCTTCTTGAAGATAAGACAGGGCTGCTGCTTCCCCACTGGTGAAGAGCGGGCATTAGATGCTGGATCAGAGCGAGCTTTCTGACCTGAGCAACCAGTAAAGGTAAAGGTAAAGGGACCCCTGACCATTAGGTCCAGTCGTGGCCGACTCTGGGGTTGTGGCGCTCATCTCGCTTTATTGGCCGAGAGAGCCGGCGTACAGCTTCCGGGTCATGTGGCCAGCATGACTAAGCTGCTTCTGGCGAACCAGAGCAGCGCACGGAAATGCCGTTTACCTTCCCGCCGGAGTGGTACCTATTTATCTACTTGCACTTTGACGTGCTTTCGAACTGCTAGGATGGCAGGAGCAGGGACCGAGGAACGGGAGCTCACCCCGTCGCGGGGGTTTGAACCGCCAACCTTCTGATTGGCAAGTCCTAGGCTCTGTGGTTTAACCCACAGCACCACCCACGTCCCAGAGGACTCCCCAAATACTTCCAAGCTTCCCTTTTCTAGTTTTCCCTGCTGCCTTCTTCCCTGCAAGGCTACATGTCTCCCATCTGCTGGCTGGCACCTCAGCCCCAGCCACGGACTGCCCCTTGCTCTCTTGACCTAGCTCTCGTCCACTTCTGTTTGTGGCCTTCGTGCTCGGGAAGGCAGAGTCTGACCAAGGTTCCTTTCTACTGCGGCCTTATCCCAAACCTTCCCGCTGCCCCCATGGCTCACTCACTGGTTGCAGAGTTTGGGGCAGTCCTTCGGAGAGCGGATCGCACTGGGGAGGCGGCCCCGGCGGCTGCAGAGGAAGTCCCCCTTCTTGCTGCTGTTCACTTGCCACTCGCAGAACGGGTCCTGGAGCAGGGGAACGAAAGAGGAAGCGTGGGGCTCACATCCAAATGAGTGCCAAGTCTCTCGTTCCGTAAGTGCAAGGATTTACACTCATGCAAGAGAACTCTCCCCCATTTATCCACAGGATGGATAAAAATCAATGATTTTAAAAAAAAAATTAGAAAGGCTTTTTAAAATTTTAAAATAAAATGCTTTTGGAGGAAGAATCTTTCTAAAGATAGTTTTCAGTTTAAGTTACATTATAGTCCAAAGGCTATTCATCAGGAACTAAGGATTTGTTTTAAGTTTTTCATGTGTGCTGAAACTCACTCTAAGGTTTTGGCTTGTTTCCCACATCAGTTAACAAACATGCTATAATGTTATTGTTTTATTTAAATAAATTATCTAAATTGTTATTAAGGAAATGATTGTTTTTCTCCTTCCAATAAAGTACAGCAGAAAAGTTGTCCAAATATAAACAGTTAACTTATTAAACCTCACAATAATTTCATAATTATCTGTTTATGTATTTCTAATAGTGTAACCAAATCAGTAATTTTTGATAAAACTGCAAAAACTAATCTGAAAATTCATTATTCCAAAAATGAAACCTTTATCTGGTTGTAAATATTAAAGATTATACCAGAAAGAATGAGTCTGACTAGTGATTTAAATCAAATCCACCCTGTTTGAATTATGAGCAACAGAAGGAATTAAGAGATTGTCATTGTGATATAAGAGAGAGAAGATAGGGAGCAGGAACAGCGGAGGATAACAAAAACACCATGGAAAATGGAGTGGGAAGTCAACAAAAGAAAAGATAGATTTTTATGTATTGGGGTGTATATGTGAAATTTAATAAAATATAAATGGGGGGGGGAGAGAAAGAAAGAAAGAAAGAAAGAAAGAAAGAAAGAAAGAAAGAAAGAAAGAAAGGGTATCGGATGTAACCGCTGTAATGCAGAGTCAACAATCCATCTCCATTGCTCCTATGCCTTTAAGATTTTATCCCTCAGCAGAGAAATGGGTTTCATTGACAACAACTTACCCTAGACAGATCAGACCCATCGTTCTCCGTGCACAGATATTGTTGAAAATACAATGGTCCTCCCTGCTGCACTGAACTGCACCTGCCTCCCCCTCTCCAAAAAAGGCTCTGCCCCAAGAAACACACAAACCCGCAAGCCATATCCCTCTCACCTTGCTGCAAGCGTGGCAGTCTCGGTAGTCCTCGCACAGGATGCAGTTGCCGGGGGCCAGGATGAGGCGCACGCTGCCAGCGCCACAGCCGCCGGCATCGTCCTTATGCGCCAGCCGCCGGTGGCAGGTGGCACTGACCGGGCACCAGCCGCAACCCTGGTCGGCCAGGCAAGCCAGGCAGGAGCGGTAGGTGGCGCACAGCTCTGAGCGATAAGGCTCCAGGAAGAAGTAAGAGATCTCCTGGCAGGAGAAGAGAAACGAAGATAAGCATCACCTGGTATAAACATCGCCACATCTCTCTGTATCGGAGGGGATGCAGCGAGCGAGGTTTTCTTCCTTTATTTCTATTTCATTTCTTAAAATTTATATACCACTTGATTGTTTAAGAAACAAACCAACCTCAAAGCAGCTTACAAGAAGAACGCATGGAAATAACCAGTAAAAAACAACAATTGTAAAACTTCAAAAAATCATTAACATCTTGATGTTAGCATTAAGATAAATTCAACAGGGTAAATAAGTTCTGATGGATGTAATAATGGAATGCTGAATGGTTTAGTTTATACAAAATATGCAGGGATTTATATTACGCAAAATGAACCATGGAAAGAGAAGAAGGGAAGTCACTGATATTTTAAGGTTGTTTAAATGAATATTTTAAAACGTAAAACAGAAAATTTAATAAAAATTATAGAAAAAATAATAATTAACATCTTCTTTTTCGGACAATTTAAAGAAATATTCTTATATGATGAATACGTTAGCAGGATTTGAACTGTGAGCAACAGAAGAACTTGAAGATTATAGCAGTGTTGTTATATGATAAAAGAGACACAAGACAGGGCGCAACAGAGGGAGAGTAATAAAAACACAGTGGAAAAGGGGGTGGGAAGTTGACAAAAAAATAACAAAGAAAAATGTTATACTATGTACTGAAATGTATGTGTTCAATTTTTGGAAAACTTAATAAAAAATATGATAAAAATTCATTAATATCAGCGATATACTAAAAACACATGTCAACATTCTACATGTCTACATAGAGAAAAATGTTTTGGCAGGCGCAGGAAAGAGTACAGCTGGTGTCAACTGGCAGGGAGTTCCAAAGTGCCACACTAAAAAAAAAGCCCATGGGAAGCCCAAAAGCACAAGAACCCTCTCCCCTCCTCCTGTTCCTCCCGGATCCTGAATATTCCTAAAAAGCTGCCGAACCTCCTCCCTTGTCAACGGCAGCAGTCTGAGCTCGTGGCAACATGAACCAGAAAGCAGTGGGTTCTGCGCTCGAAGTCCCTGAAGACGAGCGAGGCTGTGAACCTCTCCCCACGCAGAGGGCAAAATACTCACGCTGCCCCCGGGCACTCCTGTGCGATCCCACGTGAGGGTCAGCTCGCTCGTCTGCCCGTTGCCAGAGTTGTTGAGGTGGCCTTCGACCAGGACGGTGTACTTATTGCCCCTCTCGGTGCTGGGGAAGAGGCGCTCAGCCCCGGGGCGCTGCAGCAGCCGCTTCTCTTTCTCCTGCTGCACTGCCCAGCGGCCCACCTCCTCCTGAAAGGGAAGGCGGGAGGGATAGGAAGAGCAAGTTCTGCAGCCTAGAGTGGCTTTCAAAGCCAGTCAGAAGTTGGGGAAGCTTTACAAAGATGCACTTACTTACTTACTTGCTTGCTTGCTTGCTTGCTTGCTCACCTGCCTTTAAGTGTAAGAGTCTCCTGCAGGCGAGCTGGTCTCCCCCACCAGCCCCCCATTACTCTCCTTTTAAAAAAGGGGGTTTCTGGTGACTGGGCCGCTGCCTATGTTTGATTATGGTCACCAAATGCTATGAATCGGAACCATTTTAACACTACAGTGGACGCTCGGGTTGCAAACGTGATCCGTGTGGGATGCACGTTTGCAACCCGCAGTGTTCACAACCTGCAGCGGTGCATCTGCGCACGCGCGGGTTGCGATTCGGCGCTTCTGCACATGCACAAAGCGCGATTTAACGCTTCTGTGCATGCGCGACCGTCAAAACCTGGAAGTAACCCGTTCTAGTACTTCCGGGTTTCGGCGGTCCGCAACCCGAAAAAACGCAACCTGAAACGTCTGTAACCCGAGGTATGACCGTACTTAAAACGGCATCATGTAGCAGTGGTTAAAGTGTGGTACTAAGGCCTGGGAAACAAGGGTTCAAATCCCCAGTTGGCCATGAAGTTTGCTGGGTGACAATGGAGTGCACTTCTGAGGGTGAAGTCAAGCCACTGTGTTAGCAGTGCCAAAGTAATCTCCTTGGGAGTCCAAGCTTGGGCAGTGTGGAGGTTCTGGGCTGCCCAGGTGATGAGACCCCCCTCTCAGACTCACTGATGTAGTCCAAAGGAAAGCAGAGCAAGACATTTGGCACCGGCTGGGCGGCAGGTGTTGCCGGAAGGAGGCGCACAAGACTCTATCCAACCGTCTTAGGGACTGAACTCCGGGTTTTTGCAGGGATCTCTCCTGAAGATATCCCACAAGGCAGCAGAGGTTTAGGGTCAAAGTTTGCCTTCTCCTAGATGGGCCACCTTCCCAGGTGGACAAGCCCCATCTGCCCCTCACTTCCCTCTACAGCAGGTGTAGAAACCACCTTCTTGACGGTTGGACCCAATCTTGGTCCCGTCTGCTCAATCCACCAGAGTCTGTCTCTGCATGCCAGGAAAGTCCCTAGCTCACCACGGGTTTGAGATCCATTGGCTACTCTCACCTGGTTCAGACTCTTCCTTAGCTCTTAAGGCCCCCCACATTCTCTCTCATAGGCCCCATGGGGAGTACAACTCTGATCTCTGACCACCGGCCATGATGGATGGGGAAGAGGAAGGCTGCCCCAGAACCTTTCAAGCAGACAGTGGTACCTTAGGTTACATACGCTTCAGGTTATATACGCTTCAGGTTACAGACTCCGCTAACCCAGAAATAGTGCTTCAGGTTAAGAACTTTGCTTCAGGATGAGAACAGAAATTGTGCTCTGGCAGCGTGGCGGCAGCAGGAGGCCCCATTAGCTAAAGTGGTGCTTCAGGTTAAGAACAGTTTCAGGCTAAGTACAGACCTCTGGAACAAATTAAGTACTTAACCCGAGGTACCACTGTACTCTGAGGAGATGGAGTCTCTGTTGGGCTTTCTTAACCACCTGGGTTATATTGATTTTCCAAGTAAGGTCTTCACTGAGATAAACTCCTAGGAATTTAAAGGAAGAGACTCTTTCCACACAGCCCTCCCTGATGTACAGCGGGGCTAGTTCTCCTCTCTTCCTCCGAAAGTCCAACACCATCTCCTTTGTCTTGCTGACATTAAGGTATATATATTCCATACCCTGCGGCACCTTATCTCCCTGTCGTATGCTTCAAACCCCAGTTCTGCCCCCGGACTGTTGTATCCTTACCAGCTCCGACGCGCCAGGGACCCGGGCCAGCTTGGCAATCACAAAGAGGCGCTGGATGCGTGCCCAGATTGAGATGTCTTCGCCAGGTCCGGAGCTGCTGACCAGCGGGTGAATGAAGCCCTTGTAGACCAGGGAGACGTCCATCTCCGTGCTGGGGTTGAGGGTGATCGTGGTGCTGCGGACGATGGAGACCTAGGCAGAGGGACAGTTGTCACAGGCTGATCTCCTGCAGAGTCCAGGGCGGGGTAAGACCACCTTGATAGGGCTGGTCTCCCTACCGCTTCTCTTCATTGCCCAGAGCTGGGTGGCATCGCCCACCTGGCACCACTCAGGCCATCAGTTCAATAGCCACTGCATACTCAGAGAAAGTTGGGGGAAATGGCAAATTAGGTGGTTATTAAATTACTGTTTCGGGGAAAGAAATAAGAGGGTTTGCTCTTCAGATAGGGCAAGAGAAAAGGCAAAACAGTACCCCAGAGTCCCATCCAGACCAGGCAGTCAAGAAGGATTACTGTAGTCGATGTTATCGAAAGCTGCTGAGAGGTACGGCGGAACCAGCACTGTCCCTGCCCAGCTCCCAGCTTTATGTTATCTGCCAGAGACTTAATGGCATTAAAAGACTTAGCATGATGGTTAAGAGCGTTGGACTAGGACCCGGGAGACCAGGGTTCAAATCCTCCCTCAGCCGTGATGTTCATTGGGTAACCTTGGGCCTGCTGTCGCCTCTCAGCCTCACCTACCTAGCAGGGTTGTGTGGAGGATAAAATGGGGAGGGGGTGAACCATATCTGCCACCTTGATCTCCTTGAAGGAAAGAGGGGATATAAACGCAGTCATAAATGAAAAATAAAATATCTGTGGCATCCAACTTCCTGAAGAATTGTGGGGAAAGATGTGTAAATCAATCAATCAACAAATTGGACATTATTTTATTTCATATTTTTTCTTCCCAAGTGTATCGTAATATTTTTTTAATTAAAAAAACCCCATATTTTGAATAGGTTACTTTTCTGAATGTTTTAATTACAGATAACCTATTATGGAGCCGAGTTAAATTAAATTGCACTGTATTCAGATCACGGCCCTCCCGTGTGATGGATGCGTGTGTCTTTTAATGAACACAGCAGAGTGAAAAATTATGAGTCATTGCAGGGAGGGAATGTGTTGTGTTGTGTATGAATTTAATAGCGTTTAGCTTACTTTTTAGTTGCTATCTTGTTAATATCGTTTTACAGATTATAAATGCCTTATTGATTTGTTAATCGCATGGTACGACTAACGCTGTAATTGTGATGTTTAGCTTATATTCTAATTGCCTGTTTGTTAATTGTGTTTTATAGACTGCAATTGGTTTACAGACGATTTGTTAATTATATTATATGATTTATGCTGTACTTGTGATGTTATGCTTTTTGTTATTTATTGCTTGCAACCTGCTTTGGGATTCATTTGACTGGAAAGCGGCAAAGAAATGCAACCGATAAATCAATCAGTCAATCAATCAATCAATCAATCAATCTGCTGACTGTGTATATAAATCGGAAGACCCCCCTCTCGCCATTACCTTATCAGGCTGGGAATCGTTGCGTGGCTGCTGGTAGGTGATGAGGTGGAGGCCGGGGAGGAAGTTTTCATGCTGACATTGAGCCAAGGAAGTGACAAAGAAGGGCTGAGGACCCCACCAGCCATAGGTCCCAGAGATTTTCCCCACCTGGCACCTGCCCTGCTCTGCGGAGGAAAAGGAAACAGGAGTGTCGGACAGTGGATTTCTTCAGCACACGGTTTCTGTTGAAATATGAAAGGTGCCGGCTCCTTACGACACACCTGTTTGGACAAGCATTCTCCTGATCTGAATCTCCTGTTTTTATTTTTGATTTTCACTGCTATGCTGCTTTAATGGGCTTGTTTATTATGCATTTAAATTACAGTGGTGCCTCACAAGACTAGAAATTAATTCGTTCCGCGAGTTTTGTCGTCTTGCGATTTTTTTCGTCTTGCGAAGCACGGTGTCAGGAAAGTTTTGGAAAAGCTTCAAAAATCACCAAAGTCTTTAAAAACCTCAGAAAAGGCTACCACACCGCGTTCTATGAGTTGCTCCTCGAAGTCAAGTCGCAACTGTATTAACAGTGTTAAGAAAAAGGAAACAAACTTGCAAGACGTTTCCGTCTTGCGAAGCAAGCCCATAGTGAAAATCGTCTTGCGAAGCAGCTCAAAAAACAAAAAACCCTTTCGTCTAGCGAGTTTTTTGTCTTGCGAGGCATTCGTCTTGCGAGGTACCACTGTACAGACGTTTCAGCGTTTTGAATAAATTGCTTCAGGGTGTCTTTAAATATTATTATTAAGAGCATTTGCAACCCATTCTTCAGCCAAAAAGAGTCTCAAAGTGTCTCACATGCACTCAGTTAAGAGAAGGCGGTTCCTGCCTGCAAGCTTACAGTCCTTTAAAGAAAGGCACACAAGGGGAAAAGAAATGGAGGGAAGAGGAAAAAATAAAACTCAAGCATCCCAGCTCTTAAACAGAGGTTCTTATAATGCCCAGCTGCAGCAGTTCAGAGGTAGGTGGTGCCTGCCTAATGGAGTTTCCGTCAGCAAAGTAGATGAAGTGAGTCCCTGCTTCCCATTCTCCCTCACTGAGGCAGTGAACTGCCTTGGTTTTCCTTCTTGAAATCAAAGGCGATATACAACTTCTATTATTTATCATTATTTTTAATCTCTTTAAAAACAACAATGAGGAATACAGTGTTCATTCCTGTCAACTTGCTCCCAAGCTTGTGGCAAGCCTGTGGCCCCAAAAGAGCATTATTTGTAATGTCACTTTAAGAAGTGTGCCTCGTAAACTCGGGTTTGTGGCAACAGGCAGAATGGCCCGGCTTGGCTCACTTACCTGAGAGAGGCATGCAGGTCTCGTTCTGCACACACCAGCCAAAGGGTCCCGGGGCACGAGGCAGAGAAGCGTTGGTGCCGCCGAAAGCCAGGCAGGACTGGCAGTCAACTAAGAGGCGGGCCAAGCCCAGGCAGCCAGTATTGGGGCACTGAGGAGAAGGAGGGGGAAGACACTAATGAGCCCTAAAAGCTTGCACTCCCAGTAGCCAGCACAGTGCGCTACAGATGTTGCCAAATTACAACTCCCACCATCTCACAGTGGACAACCAGTGAGATTTCCATTTCTGTCCATGCACAGCTACTCATCTCCAGATTGTCACGCACCCCACACCCCCAGAGTTAAAGGTAAAAAAAGGTAAAGGACCCCTGGACGGTTAAGTCCAGACAAAGGTGACTATGAGGTTGTGATGCTCATCTCGCTTTCAGGCCGAGGGAGCCGGTGTTTGTCCACAGACAGCTTTCTGTGTCATGTGGCCAGCAGGACTAAACCGCTTCTGGTGCAACGGAACACCGTGCCGGAAACCAGAGCGCACGGAAACGCCGTTTACCGTATTTTTCGTTCTATAGGACGCACCGGCCCATAGGACGCACCTCATTTTTTTGGGGGGGAACAAAAAATTGCCCCCCTCCAGCTGCCGCCCCAAGCCCGCGTGCTTCCGGGCTGCAGCTACCGCCCAGCTCCCGCGCCGCGACCTCCACCGGCGCGAGGCTAGTAGGACACTGCCGGCACGGGAGTCCTCCGGAGGCTCCCGTGCTCGGGCGCACAGGCTGCCGCCCCAGCTCCTGCGCGCGGGACCTCCTGCCGGGCGCGCAAGGCTTGCAGAACAACCGCCCGGGGAAGCACGGGAGCCCCTCCGGAGGGCTCCTGTGCTCGGGCGACACGCCGCCGCCCCGGCGCCGGCGGGACCTCCTGCCGGGCGCGCAAGGCCAGAGACCCGCCCAGCACGGGAGCCTCCGGAGGGCCTCGTGCCGGGGCACAGGCTGCCGCCCCGCAGCCTGCGCGCCGGCGGGACCTCCTGCCGGGCCCCCAAGGCTTGTGTGTGTGGCACTCGCCGGCACCGGGGAGCCCAGTGGCCCCCGTGCCGGGCGACAGGCTGCTGCCCCAAGCCCCGCGCGCCGGCGGGACCTCCTGCCGGGCGCGCAGACACGCTGGGCACGGGGAGCCCGGAGGGCCCCCGTGCTTCGGGCGGCTGAGCCCGCGGGGCCCGCCGGCGGGACTCCTGCCGGCGCGCGCGTCTGCAGACACCGCCGGCTGCTGCCTGCAGCCTTGGTGAGCCCGCTGGAACTCCCACCGGGCTTGCAAGGCTTGCGGATAGTTTCCTGAGTCCCGAGAGCGAGAGGTCGGTGCGCACCGATGCCTCTCCGCCCTCCAAGGCTTCAGCGGAAGCCTGCACTCCGGCTCCATAGGACACACACATTTCCCTTCATTTTTGGGGAGGAAAGTGGTCCCATAGAGCGAAAAAATACGGTACCCTTCACCGAGCGGTACCTATTTATCTACTTGCACTGGCGTGCTTTCGAACTGCTAGGTTGGCAGGAGCTGGGACAGAGCAACGGGAGCTCACTCCGTCATGGGGATTTGAACCGCCGACCTTCCGATCGGAAAGTCCAAGAGACGCGAGTGGTGCTGTGGTCTAAACTGCTGACCCCCCCCCCAAATTACTCACAGTGCTGTGGGGCTGGGTACTCTGGCAGCCTCTCATACACCAGGCACATTCTGGGTCCTTGGCACACGTGGTTTTTTCAGTGTAAATGGAGCAGTAGTCCAAGTGGTACTGAAGCCGTGGGGGAAGAAGCAAAGGTGTGGGTCAGTGACCCCTCAGGTCAGTCCTGCATCCAGTAAGGCACTCGGCGATGCTGCCTTACAAAGTGCCCCACACAAAGGGAGGGTGTGCAGCTCCTGCCCCCCACACCCTGCCCTCCAGCAGAATGCAAAGACTGACTCTGCAACAACACACATTCTTTATTTTTTAATGTATCTATTTTAAGGTGTTACAGACAGCTTGATATAGAATAATGTGACAATGATAAGCACATCTCCAGTTTGGCATGGGAGTTTCCAACGTGGGGGCTAGCAGACTCTGTTGATGTTTGGGGCACCAGGCACCATTTTGAATCAAGATGGCGGACTAACACTTTTGGTGTGACTTCACCTGATTTTTGGGAAGCGGGTCCAAAATCACAAACTGTGCTGTCCATTTTAAAAGCACAGTTTTTTGTTTGTTTGTTTCCACAAATCACCAGACACCCCTGGTGGTTATAAATAAAGCAATAAATAAAATAAAATAAAATAATCTTAAGCGGTGAATAAGAGTACTGAGGGAGGGGAACATAACACGTAAATCATAAAACAAAATTTCAAAGCCTAATTAGAATTCCTCCATTGCATAGACTATCAGTTGCAAACTAAAACAACAGTTCATCTGGAGAAAGCTTGGAGGAAAATAAGGGTTTTCAACAGGTGTATAAAGCACAGAACAGAGGGAAGAAAGGAATTGCGTACATGAACACCTCAGGAGAGACCATTACTTCCTGGAGCAAGTTAACCAGCCTAATTCTCTAATGAACCCCAAGTCTCATGCATTTATTTGTAAAATTTCCCAGTTTTACGATTTTACAGTTAAAAGTATACATCTGAGAGGCCCTAACTGGGGTGTATGTGGTTGGCCTGGTTAAGACCAGAAGGCCCTCTCCTTGAGCACAGGGGACAGGCCAGCTCTTAGGATGCTGAGGTTTCGATGGGCCCACGGTCAAGCAAGCCCATCGGAAGCAGGGGAAGGGAAGGGGTTAAGGGAGGCAGAGTCACTTACCATCTGAGAAGGCACCTGGAAGACAAAAGTGGGCACCTTGTACGCTAGGAGGTCTCCCCGCGGCACCCCGCTGTAGCCGCCAGCCACAACCAGCACGTTCCCGTTCATGACTGCGGCCACATGGGAGTAGCGGCCTCGCGCCTGGGCCTGAGTCTTGGCCTCGTGTTCTGAGGGAAGGAAAAAGAGACCAGGTCAAGGGCAGCCTATTGCGGTGTCACAACAAGGCGCTGGAATTGGGGCCCGGGAAATATAGGGTGCCATATAAAACTATACATTTTGGGAAATGGTTTGTCTGTCTATCTCTTCCCCGTGGGTTTAGCCACTTCTCGAGATATCGTTGCCAAACTTGGCCTGAGTGTTCTGAGGTGGGGGCAGCAGTCTTCGTCACCAACTGGTCACTAGGTTACAAGTTGGTGGACCAAAATGTGACTTTGGCATGACCTTGCCCGTTTTTTTTGGCGTAAGTTCGTCCATCTCTTGAGATATCATCACCAAACAGAGCATGAGAGTTCCTGAGGTGGGCTGGAGGGGGGTCTTCATCAATATTTGGGAGCCATTTTGAATCAAGATGGCAGACGAAAATTTAACTTTGGCTTGATTTTTGGTGTGACAGATCAAAAGTCACCGATTACACTATCCGTTTAAAAAAAAACCACCAATTTTTTTTTTTTGTTCCTTTGCAAGAGGAATGAGCAATCTGTGATCTGGTTCAGCTGTTGCTGGACTACAACTCCCATCAGTCCCGACCACTGGCAGGGCTGGATGAGGCTGATGGGAGCTGGAGAACGAGGAGAGATATAAGAGGGATACGGGCTCCTGCTTTACGAGCTCTGTGGCAAAAGGATGCTCACCAAGCTCAGGTGCCCGCTTTCCTTTCAACGCTGCGATGAGAGAAGCTGGACCTGTGGAACTTCTCTCCTCCCCAGAGTACTTGATACAGAAGTGCTCTTTCTATAGGGAAGTTGACCACTAAAAATTCTGTGGCACCATCACGACCCTGCAGCAAACTAAGAGGGCGAGTGCAATTTCCTAGAATCAGAACCTTCCCTCACCGTGGGAGAGTGGAGGCGCCAGATCATGACTGGAGACCCACTGATGGCAGCCCAGGTGGTAGAAGAAGATTTCGTCCTCGTAACATTTCTCCTCGTGGTAGTGGATGTGGACGTTTCCCCCTGGATAGGAAGGGGAAGAGAAGCAAAAATATATATTATAATAAAAACTAGGTTGTGGGACATTGAACGCCAGGAACTAACAGCAGCAGCAGAGAAAACATGTTCCCCTCTTAACTTTCAACTTTCTTGGGCATATGAAATTAACCACAATTATCTTGAATTTTTAATCCTCAAGAAAGAAGGGCATTTTCGCTGGCCAGGTTTAATTCAAATCCTTCAAACCTCCTATGGGGAAGGTTCTTGGGAATGGTGGATGGAGAAAGAATTTGCCCATGTGAAGACCATCAGGTGGAAACTCTTACACATATGGTTCTGAAATGTAAACTATATGGTGATCTCCACCAGCAGTTCCTAGATCAACTCTGCATCCCCAAATGGAAACCAGAGCTAGAGGTCATACATTTTCTATTACTGGGGAATAATCAGGAGCTCACCAAGTTAATGGCTAAATATCTTTATCTGGTTTTTTGTCGTCAAAACACACTGCAGATGTCTGATCTCCCTGGTAACTTAGAGATGTAATGTTAGACTGCTTTGTGTCACTGGGAAGGAAGGAATTCTGTATTGATTTGCTATGGATGTTTGTATGTGATGCCAATAAAAGGTTTGATGATGATGATGAAAAATATATATGTATGTACAATGGTGCAGTAAAATGTCCAGCTATTTCCAGTGCCTAAGAAGACAAGGAAAGCCTGCTGGATCAGGCCAAAGGCCCATCTAGTCCTCTTCTCCAACCAGATGTCTGTGGGAAATGGGCAAGCAGGATTCGTGCCCATGAGCCCTCTCCCTTCCTGTGGTTTCCAGGAACTGGCATTCAAAAGCATTGCCGCCTGATTGCAGAGGCAGTACATAGCCATTATGGCTAGTAGCCACTGATAGCAACTGATAGGGGATATGGGGACGGGGGGACGGGGGGCAATACAGTCGTACCTCGGAAGTCAAATGGAATCCATTCCGGAAGTACGTTCGACTTCCAAAACGTTCTGAAACCAAAGCGCGGCTTCTGATTGGCTGCAGGAAGCTCATGCAGAAAATTGGAAGCCACGGAAGCCCCGTCGGTCATTCGACTTCCAAAAATAGTTCACAAACCGCAACACTCACTTCCTGGTTTGTGGCATTCGGGAGCCACAGTGTTCAAGAACTAAGCTGTTCGAAAACCAAGGTACGACTGTACTTATTCCCTTCCTTCAATACAGGCTTTTCCCTTACTGAGACAACAGAAATTTTACAGGAAATGGAAGCTTTGGCGATGTTAATTTAACAATACCGTACTAAACTTGGTAACAGGGTCGCCAGTTCTTTTTCCTGGCTCTGCTCCTGTGCCTTTAGCACCAACCTGGATATGCAGCAATTTAGCACATGAAACTTTGCCTGGCATGCAAATAAAACGGCCTGGGGAGCCAAGTTTCTGTGTCTCAGGCTGTCGGAGGAAAAGGGTCAATGCGAGGAGGGCAGGGGTTTGGGGAATGGTGGAAAACTGGTTTGTATTATCTGCACCAAAAATGATTAGGAACAGAGGAAGATACTGAGTCAGAGCATGAATCCATTTAGCTCAATAGAGTCTACACAGATCGGCAGCGGCTCTCAAGGATTTCAGACAGGATTGTCTGCCGGCCTTACCTGGAGATGTTGATGGGGACTGAACCTGAGAACTTCGGCATGTTATGCCACCAAGCTACGGCCCTTCCCCAAATTCCCAAATATTCAGTATTGGAAGAGGAAGGAAAGATCTGACCCCCACCCCAATTCTCACATTCCTCCACACACCCCTACCCTCTGGCTGGAGAGGCCATACTCACCATACACAACCATGTAGTTGCCAATGACTGTGGCAGAGTGAAAGGCCCGCTCTCGAGGTCCCCGGTGCGAGTCCTTCGCGCGCAACGTGCTCCAATAGCGCAGGTCCACATGGAAGAGGTCGGTGGTGTTCACACGCACGCTGAAGCTGAGGGCAGGAGAGTTTCAGGTAAGCTTTTCTTCCTGCCTTGGTCAGACCACACCTGTGGGGCTACCTTTGAAGGTGACCTGGAAACTACAACTAATCCAGAATGCGGCAGCTAGACTGGTGACTGGGACCAGCCGCCGAGACCACATAACAACAGTCTTGAAAGACCTACACTGGCTCCCAATACGTTTCTGAGCACAATTCAAAGTGTAGCTGCTGACTTTTAAAACCTTAAATGGCCTCGGTCCAGTATACCTGAAGGAGCGTCTTCACCCCCATCATTCAGCCCGGACACTAAGGTCCAGCTCCGAGGGCCTTCTGGTGGTTCCCTCGCTGCAAGAAGCCAAGTTACAGGGAACCAGGCAGAGGGCCTTCTCGGTAGTGGCACCCGCCCTGTGGAACGCCTTCCCACCAGATGTCAAAGAGAAAAACAACTACCAGGCTTTTAGAAGACATTGTTTAGGGAAGCTTTTAATGTTTAATAGGTTACTGTATTTTAATATTCTGTTGGAAGCTGCCCAGAGTGGCTGGGGAAACCCAGCCAGATGGGCGGGGTATAAATAATAAATTGTTATTATATTATTATTATGGAATCCTGTGTCCAGTTCTGGGCACCACAAATGAAGGAGGATAGTGACAAGCAGAAACGTGTGCAGAGGAGGACAACCAAGGTGATCAAGGGTCTGGAAACCAAGCCTTATGAGGAACGGTTGAGGGAGCTGGGTATGTTTAGCCTGGAGGCTGAGAGGAGATACGATAGGCACCTTCAAACATCTAAAGAGTTGTCACACAGAGGATGGAGCAAACTTGGTTTCTCCGGCTCCAGAGGCTAGGACTCAAACCAATGGACTTCAGAGGCTCCAGAGGCTAGGACCCAAACCAACGGACTGAAGGTACAGAAGGTACAGACTAAACATCAGGAAGATCTTTCTGACAGTAAGAGCTGTTTGACAGTAGAACGGACTCCATTGGAATGTTGTAGACTCTCCTTCACGGGAGGTTTTTAAGCTGAGGTTAGGTGGCCATCTGCCATGGATGCTTGAGTTGACATTCCAACTATACAATTCCAGCTCTACAAATCCTATGATTCTATGATTCATATCACCCCCTTCATGTTTCCATCATCTCAAGTCTGCCCACAGCATAAGCATCAATCTCATTTTGCCCAGAGGGACTGTTTATTTTAACACATATGTTTAAATTAGAATTGCTGGGTTTTTCTTATAGTTAACGTGAGTTGATATGGTCTCTTCCTTTTTCCTTCCTGTTATATTTGCAATAAAAATAGATTTTAAAGGAAGCAATTGCACCCACAAGCATTGACTCAATAACCTGAGAAGAAGGTGGGAACTTAGCCTCTATCAGGGATGGGGAAAATATGGCTCTCCCAGGGTTACTGGACTACAACTCCCATCAACCCCAGCCAGCATGGCCAACAGCTAGGGCTGATGGGAGTCGTAGTCCAGTGCCACCTGTAGGGCCACAGGTTCCCCATCCCTTGTCTATATGCCAGCTGTACCAACCAAGGCAACTTCCTGCATCAATAGGGCAGAGGAAGTTGTAAATCAAACCCCCAAAGGCCTTTTGCTCCAGTTTTCCTTGATGATCTGATCAAATAAAAGATCTACTTCTGCTATATACATATCTTCCTATATACATAAAATTGTAAGGCTGCCGTCATGCTGCAGTCTGAATGGCCACCAATAGAAAGCTACGACTGGGTAGCAGGCAGCCAAGGGAAGCTGTTCAAAGGAGCAGGATGCGGGACGTTTCACAGAGGAGTGTGCAGGGGTGGGTGAGGTGTAAAGGGAGGAGGGTTTGGCCAGTTGTAGGGCAGATAGGTGGGGTTGGTTGGTGGAGTGAGCAGGGGTGGCAGCCCCTGGTATGTATGCCCACAGTACTCCCAGTTTTCTCTTTACCGAGCAGTTGAGGGTCGGTGCCCGCCGTAAACCAGGAGAGTGCGGGAGGCTGCGTGGAACACCATGGAGTGGCCTGCGGCTGCGGGAGCCTTGCCGCCTGAGGGCACCACCAACTCCCAGCGCCACATCCTCAGATGGAAGCGGTACATCTGTGAGGAAAAGACATCCACCGAGGTGCGGCCTGCGTAAAGGAAGGGAAACAAGTTAGCAGGGCTAAGAGCGCCTATTTCCAGCTCTGGCTGGTTCACTGGCTAAAGCCCCCTTTCGGAAAGAAGTGACTCGGCAACCATGCTCCACGCTCATGTGACTGCTGGGCTGGACTGCTGCAATGTGCACCGCTTGGGGCTGCCCTTGAAGACATCTCAGAAACATCCACAGGTCCGAAACGCAGCAGCCAGGCTACTTGACTGGGGTTCCATACAGAATTCACACAGCAATCTGCTCTAAAACAGCTGAACCGGTCACCAGTTTGTGTCCAGGTCCAATTCAGGGGGTTCACGTGAGTGGTTAGAGCCCTGAATGACTTAGCACGTGAATATCTGGGCAATCAGCTCCTTTCCTACATACCCTCTCGGGTGTTAAGATTGGCAGAGGGGGCCCTCCTGGTAGGTTTGCTGCCCTCAGAAGCTCAGGGGGTGGCCGCCCAGGAGAGGGCCATCTCTGTAACAGCCCCATAACCAGTCACAGGCAAACTTCAGCCCTCCAGATGTTTGGGACTACCATTCCCATCATCCCTAGCTAACAGGACCAATGCTCAGGGGTGATGGGGATTGTAGTCCCAGACAACTGGAGGGCCGGAGTTTGCCTATGCCTGCCCTAAACTATGAAAGTCCCTCCCCACAAGCCGTAACAGGCACTTCCATTGTACCATTTCTGTCACGTGTTGAAGCTGCACTTATTTACCTCTGGCTTCTGACAACCCAGATAGATACTTTCAGGACCCACCCTAGTCTTCTGGTTTTAGATTATTTTGACTGATTTTAATCCTGTGTTTTTATACTGTTGCCACCCACCTGGAAATTTACGGTGACAGGCAGCTAAGGAATCCTATTATTATTAGTAGTAGTAGTAGTAGTAGTAGTGGGTGAGGCAAAGTATTCCAGTACTCTACTTTTTCACGTCCCGTTCAAGTCGCTGCACTTCAGGTTATTGGAGGCTTTTAGGCAGAGGCTGGATGACTATGGATGCTTTAGTTGAGATTTTTGCATTGCAGGGGGGTTGGACTAAGATTCTGTAATTCTTGCTCTCACCTCCAAATATGTAAAGCCATTCATTCACTACGGCAGAGGCGTGGCCGGCCAGCCCAGGAGGTGGAGGAAACCAGGTGGTGTTGAGGGGCACCAGCTCCTGCCAACGGCCTTCCCAGGGCAGGTACATCCAGACGTCGTTTGTAAGAAAGCCGCTGGCCAGCTCGCCCCCAAAGAGGACCAGGAATCCCTCCCATGCCACGGCGACGTGGGAGTGGCGGGCCGACTGTAAAAGGGGGAGGACAAAGGAGTTAGGCAAGTGGGAGGTATGGGATCAAGGCACAGTGGGGCAGATTTCCCCCCAGGGCCATTTCACACATGAAACAGCTGCAAGGAAGGCTCAAGGGGCAGCCTCCTGGCTCTGAGATAATAATAAAAATACATTTTTATTTATACCATGCCCTTACCGGGCTCAGGGCGGCTAACAACAAATTTAAAACACTTAACTGATGCAACAAAAAACTACATAAAATACAGTATAAAACGTGAATAACAATAAATTCAGAATTCAAAAATCAATTTAGGGGGGAAATCCATCCAATAAAAATTAGATGATCGCCAGGGCTAGCTGTCTAAATTAGTCCTATTTGGGCCAGCGAGGAGACCAGGTGAGAGTTAGCTGTGGGTGGGTAATCTTCATAAAAAGGGGAGGGGGAGGAAAGGAAGGAAGGGGAATAAAAGATCGGGCTAAGTTCAAATTGAAAGGCAGGCGGAATAGCTCTGTCTTACAGGCCCTGCAGAAGGAAGTTAAATCCTGAAGGGCCCTGGTCTCATGGGACAGAGCATTCCACCAAGTCGGATGTGTGCAGACACACATTAATGATGATGCAGTCACACATTACATTTTTATGAGGATGCTATAAAAATCTCAGGTTCATGGGGCCTAAAGGGCCTTCTTTAGATTTTTTTAATCTATACTTATTTTTAATAGTTTTTTTAAAAAAAAAAACTTCATATTTTAAAAAGAATGATGCCAATTTTATATATACAGTGGTACCTCTGGTTACGAACTTAATTTGTTCTGGAGGTCCGTTCTTAAGCCAAAACCATTCTTAACATGAGGCACACTTTCGCTAATGGAGCGTCCCGCTGCTGCCGTGCCACCGGCACACGACTTCCTCTCACATCCTGGGGCAAGTCACAACTACGGGAATCTACTTCCGGCTAAGCAGAGCACGTTACCCAAAGCATCCATAAGGGGGGTGATACGTAGCACGAGGTTCCACTGTACTGTACTTGTTTTTAATTGGTTTATGGGTTTTAGTCATGTTTTAGTTATCATTTCATTTATACACTGCTTGATATTTTCCCCCCTAACCAAGTGGTTTATATATTTTCTAAATAAACAGAATTTTAAAGTGCCGCATAAATCGCTGCTGGGCGACAAAGGAAAGAAGACGCTTACCGGAGAGGGGCTGAGCACTCGCCGATGCCAGACGTTGGTGGTGAAGTTATAGAAGACGAGGTCCCCCAGGGCCGTGTTCAGATCCAAACCTGGAGAGGAAGAAGAAAAGCCATGGGGCTACAGAATAGGAAGGAAGCGCCCCTTGGGACTGCAGGAGGGAAAGGAAGCACCCCAGGACTGCAGACCCCAAATGCCCAGAGCGGCTCCCTTCCTTCCACCCCACAGGAGTGGATAACTGGCTTAATTTCTGACCTCCAAAGATGTACAGTCCTCCAGTGGAGGGCAAGAAGGCACCAGCCGCTGCCGTGCGGGGCCGGAAACTAGGATCCCGGGCGCTGACGTTGTACCACTTGCCGGCTCCTTGGTTCTCGCTCAGGGCTAAGTCACAGGCCCGGCCCACAAAGCCCGGTTCGCACCGGCAATGATCTGAGCCCTGTGGAGAAGCAGTACACCCTGTCAGGACAACAAAACGTAAGGCTCCCTGCAAAGCGCCACTGGCCCGCAGGCAGGGAGGAGAAACTCATCTCAAGGGGGGAAAGGTAGCCCTTGTGCCTAGGAGTCTAGGCTTGAAAGCAAAACTGCAGGTATCCGAGAGACATCCGAATGAGATTTCCAAGATTAGAGACACGGAGCAGGCCAAGATCTGGTGCTTGCAAAGAGTTCCCCAAGAGAAGCAAAAACCAGGGAAAAAATGAGGCAAAATAACAAAAACTGCAGAATAAGATTACACAAAGTAGCAGAGATTAGGCAATGTTATTATTATTATTATTATTTCCCGCTCATCTGGCTGGGTTTCCTCAGCCACTCTGGGCGGCTTCCAGCAAAATATTAAAATACAATAAAACATCAAATATTAAAAGCTTCCCTAAACAAGTCTGCCTTCAGATGTCTTCTAAAAGTCAGATAGTTGTTTTTTAACATCTGGTAGGAGGGCATTCCACAGGGCGGGCGCCACTGCCGAGGAGGCCCTCTGCCTGGTTCCCTGTAACTTCGCTTCTCACAGTGAGGGAACCACCAGAAGGCCCTTGGAGCTGGACCTCAGCGTCCGGGCTGAACAATGGAGGTGGAGACGCTCCTTCAGGTATACTGGACCGAGGCCGTCTAGGGCTTTAAAGGTCAACACCAACACTTTGAACTGTGCTCGGAAACATACTGGGAGCCAATGTAGATCTTTCAGGACTGGTGTTATATGGTCTCGGCAGCTACTCTCAGTCACCAGTCTAGCTGCCGCATACTGGATTAGTTGTAGTTTCCAGGTCACCTTCAAAGGTAGCCCCACGCAGAGCGCATTGAAGTCCAAGCGGGAGATAACCAGAGCATGCACCACTCTGGCGAGACACTCCAGAACAGAGAGCTGGGCAGAACTCAGTTGTTCCTGGAACTGAATTCGGATTGTCTCTCCGTTTTTTTATTTTGCAAAAAGTGTGCCCCCACTCGAGAAATACAAGATGGAGGCTACCGGAGAAAGACAGGAGAAAGCTGTGTCTAGGGCAAGAAGTTTGGGGTGACCACCCCCCACCACACACACACACTTGGCTGGTACAAATACTCTTTATGGGGCAAGCACGGTGAGATCCGGAAAGTCTCAAGTCTTTTTTTTTTTTAATGATATTTATTAAAGTTACAAAAAATAGAAGAAATACAAAATACAGAAAAAAAGAGTAAAAATTTTTAAAATATAACAAAAAAGTAAAGAGTAAAAAAGAAACATACAAAATAAAACAGTTAAAAAGACATTAATTTTCCAAACCTATCTTCTCTAGACTTATTTCCCCGGACCTCCTCATACCTCCCTTTTTTGTATTCCAGTTCAGTTTATTAGTTCAGCAAATCCTTACCATTAAACTTTTGCCCAATTGTAAGCCTTTTTTCATATCTCTTAAAGCATTACAGCTAAAAAGCTCTTAGTTTCTATCCAACATCCTTCTAAAATTCCTTGGAAAGTCTCAAGTCTTACCTGGCTGCAGCTGCCGTGGCTCTGGCAGTAGGTGACGCAGTCAGGCATGGAGCAGCCCTCGCCACCCCAACCTTGGAAGCATGTGCAGTGCCCGTCGTTGTTGCAGATCCCGTGTCCCGAGCAGCCCATTGGGCACAGCGAGACCGTGTAGGTGGCATTGAAGCCCAGGAGGTTGTAGTTGGCATCACTGAAGAGGTGCAGGAGCATCTGCCAAGGAGTTAAGAGGGCGGGCTGGTGCCAAGATCGCAGCTACATGCCCCACATGTAACCCAAGATCACAATTACACGACTCGCGTGTCCCTTAAGAGACCACAGCTACGTGCCCCGTGTGCCCCTCAGAGTCTCCACTCCTCTCCCCGGGATGCAGCAATCTCCAACCTCATCTCAACAAAAACTCATGAACGGCCACCTCCCGAACCCCAGAGCAAAACCTACAGGCCACGGAGCCCTTCCATGCCCATGGGTCCAGGCCTATGTCTATTGGTTGCAACTTGAGCCCATCCAACCTCCGGGGTCAGTACCTTGCCAGAGGTGGCCTCGATGGTGGGGGGCAGGGTGCTGCCGCTGAGGCTGGCCAGCAAAGGGCTGCTGGGAGAATCTCCATCGTAGATGAACAGGTAGTCATAGGTGCATTCAGTGTCCATGAACATGAACGTCAAGAGGATGCGGTAGCTGCTGCTGGGAGCTGAACAGGGTGGAAAAGTGGGGCGGGAGGGTTAGAATACCAGGCACAGGACCAAGAATGGGCTTTCATCATTTCCTGACTCCTGTAAGGCAGGGGGTACCAACATGGTTCCCATGAGCCCTGGAGGGTCTTCCCCTAGAGCCCACTAAGCTTCTTAGCCCCCTTGGTCCAAGAGGCACTGAGTGGGGTCACCTTTTGTCCTGTGAAAAGTGCACAGAACTGAAGGAGGAAGTTTGAGGAAGGGCGCTCTTTCTCACTTCCTCTTTCACCTCTATGGGAACAAGGTTCTGCGCCGCCAACAGCTGTGTGATAGGCAGGCATTCAAGAAGGGGCCATTCCCATTTCTGCAGCAGGAAAAGTGGGGACTTGCAGGATTTCTGTGCACCATGTAACTGCTGGGAGGCACAGAACCCCACCATCACCCTTCTTCAGATCACACGACTGATATATTTGGTAGGACTTCTCAAATGTATCATTAACCGGCTGATTTATATTTAAAGGTAGAAACAAATGGGTGGGGAAAACGTTTTTTTATTATTATCTTTATTTAGTTATTAGATTTATATACCACCCTTCATCGTAAAATCTCAAGGAAGTTCACTGAATAAAATGCAAGATAAAAACAAGTAAATACAGTCATACCTCGGGTTAAATATGCTTCAGGTTGAGCGTTTTCAGGTTACGCTCCGTGGCAACCCGGAAGTAATGAAACGTGTTACTTCTGGGTTTCACCGCTCGCGCATGTGCAGACTCTCAAAATGACGTCATGCGCATGCGCGGCAGCAGCGAATCGAGACCCGCGCACACGCGGGTTGCGTTCACTTCAGGATGTGAACGGGGCTCCGGAACGGATCCCGTTCGCATCCAGAGGTACCACTGTAAGTAAAACAGAACAGCAAAATAAAAACCCCTTCTTCCCACAGACACATTTAAAAGGCTATAGAATATTAATCAGCTAAAGGCCTAGTTGAAGAGGAATGTTTTTGCTTGGTGCCTAATGGTGTTCAATGAAGGCGCCAGGCAAACCTCCCTGGGGAGAGCATTCCACAAACGGGGAGCCACTGCAGAAAAGTCCCTGTTCTCATGTTGCCACCCTCCAGGCTCTCGTGGAGGAGGCACAAGAAGAAGGGCCTCTGAAGATGATCTCATAGAATCATAGAGTTGGAAGAGACCACAAGGGCCATCAAGTCCAACCCCCTGCCAAGCAGGAAACACCATCAGAGCACTCCTGACATATGGTTGTCAAGCCTCTGCTTAAAGACCTCCAAAGAAGGAGACTCCACCACACTCCTTGGCAGCAAATTCCACTGTCGAACAGCTCTTACTGTCAGGAAGTTCTTCCTAATGTTTAGGTGGAATCTTCTTTCTTGTAGTTTGGATCCATTGCTCCATGTCTGCTTCTCTGGAGCAGCAGAAAACAACCTTTCTCCCTCCTCTATGTGACATCCTTTTATATATTTGAACATGGCTATCATATCACCCCTTAACCTCCTCTTCTCCAGGCTAAACATGCCCAGCTCCCTTAGCCGTTCCTCATAAGGCATCGTTTCCAGGCCTTTGATCATTTTGGTTGCCCTCCTCTGGACACGTTCCAGTTTGTCGGTGTCCTTCTTGAACTGTGGTGCCCAGAACTGGACACAGTACTCCAGGTGAGGTCTGACCAGAGCAGAATACAGTGGCACTATTACCTCCCTTGATCTAGATGCTATACTCCTATTGATGCAGCCCAGATTTGCATTGGCTTTTTTAGCTGCCGCGTCACACTGTTGGCTCATGATCTCAGGGTCCAGGACTTTGGTTGCTGGTTTTGTTTGTAATTAAAGTCTCTGTTCTATCCTACTTTTTATTTTTAGTTGTTGCAGACAGCCACCATAGGACTTTCAGATAAAGGAGGTAGATTTATATACAGTGGTGCCCCGCAAGATGAATGCCTCGCAAGACGGAAAAACCGCTAGACGAAAGGGTTTTCCGTTTTGAAGTTGCTTCGCAGGACGAATTCCCCTATGGGCTTGCTTCGCAAGACGAAAATACCTTGCGAGTCTTGAGATTTTTTTTCGCTTTTCCCCCCCCTTTATCTAATCTGCTAAGCCTTTAATAGCCTTTAATAGCCTTTTAGCAGCTAATCCCCTAAGCCTTTAAGCCTTTAATAGCCGCTAAACCGCTAATAGCGCTAATAGCGCTAATCCGTCAATGGGCTTGCTTCGCAAGACGAAAAAACCGCTAGACGAAGACTCTCGCGGAACGGATTAATTTCGTCTTGCGAGGCACCACTGTACTTCCAATAATAAATAAAGAAGCCTCCCCAAATTCCTACCTTCCACTAGCCACTCGCAGTTGCCGTTGACAGAATAGTTGCCCGGCCCGTCCGTCACATAGCCTGACGCACTGCGCAGGACCTGGCGGTGCCCCTTACAGTCGCCACCGCTGGCCCAGCGGATCCCACACAGGGCTAAAAGCAGCGTTACCAGCAACCTCAGGTAGCCGTCCAATAAGGAGTCCATGATGGGGTTTGGATCTCCCCACAATTCGGAGGCTGCTCAGCACAGTCCAAAAGGAGAAGGGAATGCCATAACCCAGCCTGAAAGAGCAGAGAAGAACTTCGGAGGTCAGGCAGAGTATACTGTCTATTTTCATTTTCATCATCGCCATCATCCGCACTGCCCGTTGCAACTTAAAATCACAAAAAATTAGGTGCATCCTAAAAACATACATCTTGAGTGCCAAAATAATAATAAAAATAAATATAATTGTATTATTTATACCCTGCCCATCTGACTGGGTGTCAGGTGCATCTCTTTGGGGAGTTAGGGGCTGCTGGAGAAAACGCCCTCTCCCGAAACGCCATCCCACCAAAGCTTTTGAGGGCAGTAGAACAGCCAAGACGGCCCAGAGAGATTTTGGGGCACAAGGAGAAAGGCAAGGAGTTGTTTAGCACAATAGAACAGCCTTCACCAACCCATTTCTCTCCAGATGTTTTTTGGACTACAACTCCCATCAGCCCCAGCTCCAGCATCTGGAAGGCACCAAGTCAGCGAAAGGTAACTTTTGACAAACTTCCCATTCCCGGAACGTAGACAGGGCTCAGATCCACAACTTGTTACAAATGCTGAATTCGAGTAATAGGTATAGGACAGGACAGGATGTAGACAGAATAAAGAAAGATGTGGTGTAAAGGGGACTGTGCCTCCAAACTGCAGTCAGGGCTTTCCAATCCTTTCTCACAAGCAGCTTAAATTTCAGACCTTAAAGCAGCCATTGCCAAGCAGGTGCCCTCCAGATGTTTCGGACAACTCCCACGGAGGGCACCGGCTTGGCGAAGGCTACCTTACACCAATAACAAACCCACTCCCCGTAAAGCAAACCGGGTGTGTACATGCAGTGCTGTTTTTCGGGGGGGGGTGCGCGCAGGGGTACGTAAACCCCTAAACATTTTGTGACTCTTTGTACTTCTGTCCATTTACTGTATATATTTTCCCCAATTTGAATTATAAAATGGTGATTTTCTTGCGTCAAAATGACAGTACCCCTAAACATTTTTTTTTAGAAAAAAGCACTGTATACGTGTCACATGTGTGTTTAGTATCCCCCACCCACCCCAAAAAAGGCTTTATGGGAAAAGTAAGAGAAACCCATACACAGAAGGGAAGAAATTCCCTGGAACTGGTCCCAGCTGGAGAATCAAAACAAGTTTCCTAGGAGGAAACTTAGGTCCAGAGCAGGATTTTTCCCCTTTTTCCTTTTAAGCATTACTTCTGGAGTTACAGGTCCTTGAAAAGGAGGAGACCCTAAAGTGGGGTGGGGGGGAGTCCCTGCTAAGTCTTTGGGGTTGTGAGAATCATACCTTAGAGATGCCCAAAAGGGCTGCAGCGTGCAACATAAATGCGCCTACACTGTGTGTATATATATTGAAAGGGAGGTTCATGAGGAGAGTCCAGGAGGCGACGTGTGCTTGTGGGAGAGGAGAGGGTTTATTGTTTTTGTTTTGTCCTTCCTTTTATTGTGAATTTCGTGGTTATTTTATCTTGTATTTCTATACTGTCACCCTTCACCAGTAAATCTCAGGGCGGTATACATAATTAATAATAACAATAACAAATGATGAGTGGGGCGAACGTGGGGGCCGGGAAAGGGATAAATCCTGCAAACGGGTGACTTTGCAGCCAGGGGACTCTCTGGAGGAGGAAGGTGAGGGTCAAGGGGGGGTTTCTATCAGGTGAGGTCTATTAGGGGGGGCCTACAAAGGGGGGGCATGCGGAGGCGTGCAATGAGGGGGGAATGCGGGAAAAGAGAAGACCCCCCCCCCACGCGAAGACCCACCTGCCGCCGACTCCGCTGCCCCCGCGGCCCATAGAGAGGCTCAGCCCGGGACCGATGAGGCGCAGCGAGACGACGGGGCCAGAGCGGCCCGCGGGAGGAGCGCGGCGCATAGAGAATGGAGGAGAGGGGATAGAGGGGAACCGGAACGCGGACGTTCCCTGATTTCTATGGAAAGGCAACGGGCGATTGAAGAACCATAGAGGCCGCAGGGGGAAGCGAGAGGCTAGAGCGGCAAGTTCTAGGCCGGCGTGAGTGTGTAGAGGCCGCCGAGGACCGTTGTCATGGCAACTGGAGGGACCGGAGGCGGGATGTTTATTTATTACCATGAAATTTAATACACCCGCTCATTTGATTATGTGTAGCGATTAATAATTGTTATTTTTATAATAGTTGTTTTTAATAATGAAAAAAATACCGTTTACAATGAAAATAGCGAGTTGGGATTGCTGCTGTTGTTAGATTCAGGCAGCCCTGTCTTCCGAGAGCAGCAGCACCAAGCATGTGCAGAGTGCCGTTGTCCTGAATTTGGGTAGGAGGGGTGGATTTTGTAGGTTTTTCACACGCACCCGCAAAGGCTTGTGAAGCTCATTATTTAGCGGGTGGACAGCGTAGGCGCAAGGTGTTGCAGGAAACCCCCTCCCCAATCATTCAGTTTGTACCAACTCGACACACTCACACACAGCGTACAAGACGCTTCTGTTATAAATTCATAGAAAATCACCCGTACATCGGATCTGTACCGTTCCACTTTTATTTTACACCATGAAGGAAGGACTATCAAAGGGGAGAGACTTGACACAAGGCAGCCAACACGTCCGCAGGGAGCCCTACCCAGTTAGCATGCCAACCTTGATGGTCCTAGACAGAAAATCATTACACTCACAAAGCACCTGCATATGAAAGTGGATTCAGTACGGACTGAAACAAAGGACAGTGACCAGCTCTTCCCTCTGGGGGCAGGAAACAGTGAACTCCTCTTTGTCCTCAGGAATGTAATCATGGGGAGAGGGGAAGGAGGAACGGGACAGGTGACAAGACACTCAGGTTACCACCACAACTCCTCCCTGAACCCCTCCTTTTTGTGATGTGTCAATGATGTAGTTATGATGTAGTCTTAGGGGTGTAGCATGAGGGATTAGTAGCTAATAAAAGTTGGGGTCTTCTTTTGTTCAGGGCTTCCATCTTGCTTCATCCTGTGGTGAGTTGGAGTCCTGTTGCAACAGTCTCAATAAAGACCAAGCCTACTGGCTGCTGTTTTGCTCCAACTGTCCTGGTTGGTGTCTTTGCTTTTTGTCCAAGGGAGCCCTCGGATTTCTCTGTTAACAAAGGCATGGCCAAACTTGGCCCTCCAGCTGTTTTGGGACTACAATTCCCATCATCCCTGACCACTGGTCCTGTTAGCTAGGGATGATGGGAGTTGTAGTCCCAAAACAGCTGGAAGGCCAAGTTTGGCCATACTGTAGGGGGAAGATCCCCAAGGGGGATCAGAAGCCGCAAGGACAGTGGCAGACGCACAGACGCCGGCACAGACTTTTGCGAAGGCAGCGAGGAGGCTCCTCCCGAAGCCTACGCGGAAGGGATGGAGAAACCCACCCACCCACCCTACCAAACGGCTGTGGGGCAGCGGGACACAATATTTGCTAATCCTTTGGTTGGAAGGAGCTTACCAAGAATGCCTCTCTCTCTCCTCAAAGATTGTGCATCCCACACTACCAATGCAAAAATGGAACATGAACATGTGCAAAATTATTTTTTTGTGATCTAAGTTCACATCCAGATTGAATGCCCACGTGAGCGTGTGTGTGTGTGTGTGTGTGTGTGTGTGTACGGTGCTAAACCATGAGAAGGGAACCTTTGGCCCCCTGGATGTTGCTGAGCTACAACTCCCAACAGCCCCAGCAAGCATGGCCAATAGCCAGAGATGGTTGGGAGTTGTAGTTCAGCAATGCACTCTTGCGCTAGACTGTTGATCCACAAATGTATTGTTAGTTATTGGTCATTGTACTGCTATTTATTAATGGCTGAATGAAATAGACTGATATTAACAGGCTTGTGGGTTGTTATGCTTCTGAATGCCCTCCAGGAATTCAGGAATCTGGGGATACTTATTTTTGGAAATAGAGGAAACAACAACCCTTTATTTTGAACAGGTGTCTCCACCCATCACAAGAAAAACTGTATGGTTGATTAATGCAACGGACAAGCTGATGGGCTTGGCACATATATGGAACGGAGTAACTCTGGAAGGTAGAAAGGTGAGAATCCATTGTCCAGTATCGGAACGTCTATTGCAAAATGCCTTCTCCTAGGAATGACTGTTTTCTCTATTTAGCCATTCTTATTGACAATTATATAAGCTGTCTCTTGGTATCTGTTTTGTTACTATTGTTGTTTCATATTTATATATGAATAATATTTCAAAAATATGTTTCCATTCACCATCCTTTGTCTATGAGGTGTGGGTGGGTGGGTGACTCTGGAATGCACTGCTAGTCATGTGCAGTGCACTCATTACAAATATGGTACTCTTCAGACGTTGGCTACCACAACATTAAAACTATTCCTCTGCTATCCAAGTCAGTATAAACTGCAGGGATTTAACAAGCAAACTCTCTGCTACTCAACCCTCCCAATGCTTTTCACCCCCATCCCACCCAACTATGAAAGAACACACAAATCTGACTTACACCAAGTCAGAACACTGGTCAACCTATCACAGAATTGTTACTGGAATAAAACTTTCAAATATCCAGATAGTAGTTGAGCCATTTCCACCTCAACTACTCAAGATCTTTCTAGGTGAAGATGTGGGAAATTGAACCTAGGACCTGACCTTCTACAAGCAAAACATGAGTTGTACCACTAAGAGGACCATTCCTTGCCTTCATGCAATCACCGCAGAGCTCCCTGCAACATTCAACCCACAAGCACAGTGCTTGACAAAAGTTGCGAGAATCCAAGTGTGGATAACGAATCGAACAGATGCAATAAAAAGCAGCTCAACTTGAGAAGGGGAGCTATTTGGGCCCAAGTCTCAACAGATACATTTCTATTTATTGCTGCAAATCAGCTCCCAGGGGATTTCCCCAACAACAGATTTGCCAATAGCAGTGGTAACCGCCTCCTGTTCAAGATGCTGTTCAGTTGCAAGCAATGCAGAACCACGGGTCTTGTTGAAGTTTGAAGGAGTTTGTTCTAGACCTGGATGCTTCAATGCATTTTCAACAAGGACGACGGAAACTATGTGTGCTATCTGCAGAAATCTGGCTTCTTCTGCATCTTCCACACCCAAGAGGAGGCACTCACAAGAATTGGGACAAGCACAGTCACACTTGAGATTGTGAGGAGTCCCAGAGCTTACAAGGTTAATAGCTCAAGGGAAATGACGTCCTGTCCTGGGTGTGTTTCACGTAGGAATGTGAACTTACTTTTACTTTCTGTTTTGGCTTCAAAGGAGAGGCAACATATCGTTGCTCTCTCATGGCTGATTTATTGTTTTGCTGCTGTACATTAAAGCTTCGTAGAACAGAAGAAGCTGTGTATGAGAGTTTTACTGCAGTGCTGATAAATCCTTACACACAGGCACACTGCTGCTGAAGAAACTCTGCTGTAGCCGGGAGAAGCGGAGTGACTCCGCACCGTGCCGCGAAAGCATTGGGCGCCATTGCATTTTCTGAAGAAGATGGGTCCGACAGTCAAAACAGACAAGTCAGTTCCCGTTTCACTCAACAGAGATCCACGCCATTGTGACTCACCAAGATGAATGAAGGTCACCAGTCACACACAGTGGCTGCCACCCAAGTGATTGACGCACCACTCCCTGCATTTTGTCGGCCTGGAAAGTCACCCCAAAGAGGAGGAGGTTTCACAGACAAGTGCTTCTGGTGGAACCATCACTAGTGGTTGGCAGGATGTGTTCAGCTTGGTGGGTCTCTTAGAATCATAGAATCATAGAGTTGGAAGAGACCACAAGGGCCATCGAGTCCAACCCCCTGCCAAGCAGGAAACACCATCAGAGCACTCCTGACATATGGTTGTCAAGCCTCTGCTTAAAGACCTCCAAAGAAGGAGACTCCACCACACTCCTTGGCAGCAAATTCCACTGTCGAACAGCTCTTACTGTCAGGAAGTTCTTCCTAATGTTTAGGTGGAATCTTCTTTCTTGTAGTTTGGATCCATTGCTCCGTGTCCGCTTCTCTGGAGCAGCAGAAAACAACCTTTCTCCCTCCTCTATGTGACATCCTTTTATATATTTGAACATGGCTATCATATCACCCCTTAACCTCCTCTTCTCCAGGCTAAACATGCCCAGCTCCCTTAGCCGTTCCTCATAAGGCATCGTTTCCAGGCCTTTGACCATTTTGGTTGCCCTCCTCTGGACACGTTCCAGTTTGTCAGTGTCCTTCTTGAACTGTGGTGCCCAGAACTGGACACAGTACTCCAGGTGAGGTCTGACCAGAGCAGAATACAGTGGCACTATTACTTCCCTTGATCTAGATGCTATACTCCTATTGATGCAGCCCAGAATTGCATTGGCTTTTTTAGCTGCCGCATCACACTGTTGGCTCATGTCAAGTTTGTGGTCAACCAAGACTCCTAGATCCTTTTCACATGTACTGCTCTCAAGCCAGGTGTCACCCATCTTGTATTTGTGCCTCTCATTTTTTTTGGCCCAAGTGCAGTACTTTACATTTCTCCCTGTTAAAATTCATCTTGTTTGTTTTTGCCCAGTTCTCTAATCTGTCAAGGTCGTTTTGAAGTGTGATCCTGTCCTCTGGGGTGTTAGCCACCCCTCCCAGTTTGGTGTCATCTGCATTAACTCCTCCCCACCCCAGCCTGTGTTAGATTTTGCTCATAATGAAGTGGAAGGATGAAGCTAACACCATGGAGATTAGATGGTGGTCAAGCCACTTTGGGATGGCAATGTTTGCCCAGCCACAAATACAGGGTGTGGAAGAACCTTCATACAATCATGGACATCGTTGCAACCAAGGGCAGAGAAAAATAAGCAAATGTGGAACTGGCCATCAGTGGAAGGTTACTGTGGAAGGATGTGTGGTTCCAGAATTGGCCTCCACAGTCACTTACGGACTCATTGTTAAAACCGTGTTTATGGAAGACAATCTTACTCGGCTACGAGTGATCGCCAAAGAAAGAAAGAGAAAGATTGCTGTGTTGAATTTTGAGGGAACCCTGAAGAAAAGAGTTAAATACATCCTATCCCTGTCCCCCACTAGGCATAGCTATGGATCATATACAGTTGCCAGCCGACCAGGAAAAAAATAGTTTGGCTGCTCATGCATCTTTAAAAGCAGCTTGATATGCAGAAGCCTTTCACAGCACGGGGATAAGCAGAATCTGTTCTTGTTGAAGGATCAGCTACAAGGGATATGTTGTGAATGCGCTGTATCTTTAAAGCACCTTCGAAGCACCTTCTTTCCCTCAACAAATTTTGGGCACTCTAGTTTACTTCTCAGAGAGTTACAATCTTTAGCAATCCTTAACAGACTACAGTGCCCAGGATTCTTCAAGGGGGAAAAGGTGCATCAGGTGTACTTTAAAGGTATAGTTTGTTTCCACAACCTAGTTCCAAAGTTAGCTGCCCCACGATGAAAAAAGCGCTGTAGATGCAGTCTAAACAGCATATCTAAGCCACAAATTCCAACCTACTTTAAACCAACATGAACTGTATTCCCCAATCCTTTCAAAGAGCTCGAGTTCATAGGGTTCCTTCTTCGGAAGCTGTGTCACTTAAAAAAAACATGTTTGGGACTGGCAGTACTGCAGATGTGTCCTGAGAGAGCAAAGAGTTTAATGTGACCATCAGCCTTTTTGTATACACGGCAATGATTAAAGTCTTCCATGCCCAGTTTCCTCTTCCTCCTTTCGTGGCCACCTGTTTCCCCCAAAAGAGCCACATGCCTTCACAGTGAGATAAAAACACAAGAATCCTCTTTATTTTGGCAAAAAAAGCCCACTCTGGTGGATTTCAGAAATTCACCGTCATCAGGGAGCAGAACCCACAGCACCGTCACGGGGAAGGGGAGGAGGGCAAACACCGCCACCCGGGGGCGGGGTGTCAAGGAAACGGGGAAAAGGGAATGCCTGCTACCACTGTACAGTAGCAGGAAAAGGGTAGCATCGGAAGGGAGCAATAATACAGGAGAACATTGTTACAAGGCCAGCCTGAGCCGGGATGTCTGCAGTCCCTCCCATCTGCATCCAGGCAGGAGAGTTGTTCAACCACAATGGCGGCTGTGAGAAGGCTATGGTGACCTCCCTTTGAGGTCAAACTGTCTACAGGGGAGAAGGCAGCCAGAGATTGGCCTGTCGCTCTGAGAGAAATAGGGGTGGAAGAAAATCACGTGCTTGTCACGTTAATCCAGTTCCTGGCTTCCCCCAGTGGCAGGCAGCGTACAACCATAGCTTGGGGAAGGACAGGGATGTATCGTACAGATAGATGTCTTTTAGGCAATTAATTAGGCGAGGAAGGGAGTCACGCCCCCTCTGTTGTACCGAGTGGGGGGGGCAGGAAGATGGGGGGAGTGGGGGGAACCCCAATTCTACCCCATGCCAAGCATCTAGTGTCCCCGTACTCTCACTAAACTCTGGCATTCCAGGGAAACAGGATAAAATAGCCCTCTGCTATGGTAGGACACAAATTGGAATAGAAGATGGCAGAAGATGGAGCGTGGAGGAGGGGGCCCAGAGGAGAAACCGGGGTTGGGGGTTGAGGCAGGGCCCCCCCCCCCACCCAGAAAAATGTTGAGAAAGGAAGCGGAGGAAGCCACAAAGGATCAGGACAGTCAAGGAGAAGCCTAGACGGGCCGGGCACCCGTCGTGTGCATGCTAAAATACTCAGTGTAGCCATTGTGCTGGTGGAGTTGGGGCGCATGGAGCTGATAGGGGGGCGGTTGGCTCTCGCCCCCCAGGGACGGTTTCAACAGCACAGGGGCACCGCTGAGCTCCGAGGTGGTGACCACGCAGCTGGGGGTCAGGTTACGGTCGGCAGATGACGTCTCCTCCACCTGTTTGCGGGGCTGGATGGGAAAAGGCAGAAGGAGAGCCATGTGAGAGCGGACGGGGCGGACAACAGAAATAAAGGACCCTGAACAAACCAGAAGCAACTGAATCACGAGGGCAAGGAGGGATTCAGGGTTTACAAGACTTAGCGCAGGCACATGCAAAGGGATTGGCAAACAAGTTGATTCTGATTTCTCAGTTTTCTCATCTGAAGTTCACCTCTCATCATTTCCACATCAGTTTGCGCATATATATATACACATATATATAAAAGTACTCCTGAAAATTCATCCGCATATTAGTTTGAATTTCTTCCAATATACTCATTTTTGGCAAAACAATTCCCCCTAATATAATGTCTTCTTGTATTTCCCCTCCTAAATACAGTCATACCTCTTGTTACGTTCGGTTCAGGTTACATCTTTTCAGGTTGCGTCCCGCAGCGACCCAGAAATACCGGAAAGGGTTACTTCCAGGTTTTGCCGCTCGCGCATGCACAGACGCGCAAAATGACATCATGCACAGAAGCGGTGAATCGCGACCCACGCACGCGTGGGTTGCGTTTTCAGGTTGCGAACGGGGCTCCGGGATGGATCCCATTCACAACCAGAGGTACCACTGTAGGTGCATTTTTATGTATGCATTACAGTAGTACGCATTTTTAGATATGCTACTTGGCTGGAGAACAGCACTGCAGAATTAGGAGACGTGTGGATTTTGAAGAATGGCTGCATTTATGTTTGTGTACTGTGGCCTGAGAGTGAGAATTCGATAAATTCGCCTTTACGTGCAAAAACAATCCAATTCCTCTCCCTTCCTTAACTGTACAGCAACTCACAAATGCACCCAAGCCACATAAAGCAGCCCACGGTGAGATTTAGAAGCCTCCTGTTTTTTCGCCACTTCTCTGGTACAGCAAATAAAAGGGGGGGGGGGGGAGAGAATCAGGATGGGCAAGTTCTTGGCCAGCCACAATGCACAGCTGGGGAGCTGCAGTCAGCATGGCGGTTCATGAGTAGCACAGACCTAGCCTCGTGCAAGAGGAAGGGAGTAAACCTGATCTGCCTGCTTGGTAGCAACCCACAAATCTGTCAGCTGGAAGCCTTTGTAAACCGGGTGCATGGAGGAAGTACGGAGGCCAGGTAGTTTAAGGCTGTGAAGTAGGGTGGGCAGGATTTTAGGACCATCATCTGATGGGAAATTTGGGGGCTGTAACTGGGGGCAAAATGCTTTGAAGCAGAGGCAACAGGGAGGCTGCTCCATCAGGTGGCAAGCTTGGGATTTCTTGTGCAGTGAGACAGGCTTCTTTGCCCGAGGCCTGGTGCCCCAGCTGGGCAGGGGCCTGTAGAGGAGAAAACAGCAGGAGAACCTTCCTGGAGCCCCTCACCAGATGGGTGGTTGCTGGGATTCAAAGAGGAGGGGGAAATCCATGCACTTTCCCTGGGCTCCTTGGAGGAAAAAAGCAGTGTGGGATATAAGAGCAATGTGCAGAGCCCAGGGAAGCAGAGCCTGCACTTCCCAAAGGAGTGGGTGGGTTTCTAGGGAGACTGAGTGACCTCTGCCTCCAGAATCCAGCTGCCATGCAGAGGGGCATAGCTGTCAACTCTCAGATATGAAAATAAGGGATCGGCAGCCTCGAAAATAAGGGATCAGCAGCCTCACCTGTCCCGGGGACAGTCTATGGGATATCTAACAATCCGGGATAGCAGCGGGAAGCAGCAGCAAACGGCGCTGGAATAAGGGAATTTCCCGCAAAAAAAAGGGGAAGGTTGACAGCTATGTCACAGGGGAGATGCTTCCTCTTCCAGTGATTCCATGGAGGACATTAGCAGAAGCGCTGGAAGGGAAAACCGGGGAGACCAAGGGAAGGTTAGGAAGCGGGGACCCTCCTTAGCACTCACGTTGCTTGAGCTGCTCCCGGTACTCTGTGGGATGGAAAAGAGTTCCGTGAAGTTGGGCACCGAGTCGCTGATGAACGTCACGTTGCCGTAGACGTGGTGCGGGAACTTGGCCCCGGACGCCACCTCCTCCACAATCCCGATCTGCGATGTCCGCACGTGGTACGGGAAGTTCTTATTGGCTGCCGAGGGCCGGGTCATGATCTGAGGAAGCAATGAGAGTGGAGGACCAACGCCTGGATGGACCCACAAGCTCAACTGCATGCATTTCCTCTAGGCAAAACATGTCTGCTTCCTCTTTTAATTTCTCTAACATTGCTCACTTTTTTTAAAAAAGAGAGAGAGAGAGAGAGAAGCAAGCTTCTAGTCCTCACACTTGTAGATACATTATGAGTAGCTGAGAGGTAGAGTTCAGCAGGGATACTCATCTCCATCTCCACCCACACTTAACGTAGGAGGATACCTCCAAAAAACTGGTCCATGAAAGAGGCTCCATCAAGAATTGACACCCAAATGGAAGCATTCTATAACAGAAGGCAGAATTGACTGCTGATGCTATCAGAGCAGGGATGGGGAACCCGTGGGCACGCTCCAGAGGTTGTTAGACTCCAGCTCCCATCATCCCTGGCGGTTGGCCATATTGGCTGGGACTGATGGGAGTTGTAGTCCAAAAGGTATGGAGGGCACCAACCTGACGAAGGCTGTACTAATAGATATTGTGAGTACATGTTACGCAAGGGAGTTACAACTGGTTTCTGAACCTAAAACAAACACACACAAAACAGAACGCATCAATGCATGCCAAGAGGCCTGCAACCACGGAGAAAAATGTATGAGGGGTGGGTCCCTGTATTTTTCCATCTGCAGGCAGCAAATCAGCTTGCAGGGGGTGGCTTCAATGGGGGAAAAGGGCTCACAAACAGGATCAGATTCACCCCCAGATTGCATTTCAGTATATCAAAGTAAGAAGTCAGGAGACCCGGTCAATGGTGTCTTAATGCGTTGTTTGGCCCCAAGAGTTTAGTGGCTGCCAGGATAATGGGGGAATCCTCTAGGCTGCTGGCAGTTTCTTACCAGAAATACGGCATGGGCATAAAGGTGGATGCCCAACTGGATCCCGTTGACTATCTTCTCCCGTGCCCACTTGGGGATGCCAAAGTTGGCAATAAGCGCAGTGACTGGGACAGCAAAGAACCTGCGAGAGACAAAGAGGGCTGCTCAGGACGTGCTCCCCACACATTTTCTCCCCACTGCCTCCAACAATACTCTGTTTAACAGTAGCTTCTGCAGAGCTTTTCTTACCCCTTGGAAAAGCAGCCTCTGTTGTGCCAGACATTTGCATTGTGCCCTGCATACCCCCTTGTCTTCCTTTGTCAAATCTCACCTATCTAGCATGGCGGCCCACTCATTGGACGAGGGGCAAACATCTGTCCTGACTTTGGCCAGCTGAGAGTAAGGGAACATTCGGGGTGATCAGTTACATTCCCTTAGACCGGGGTGGGAAACTTCAAACCCAGGGGTTGAATCTGGCCCTCAAGACCTCTTTATGTGGCTCTCTGAACTCTTCCCTGGCCACACCCCTCACTGTCCCTGCCCTGAGTGTCTTTGCCTGGCTAGAATGTTCCCATGAACTCCAAGAATGCCTCTTGTTTGTCTGGGCACAAGATAAGAGATGGGTGTTGTGAGTGTATTTAGGAACCACCCAAATGTAGAAATGTAAAATTTCCATCCATTGCTCCTCCCTCTTTAGCCTCTGACCCCACCCACCAATAGCAGGTGGCCCTTGGAACGCTGTCCAAAAGGGGAAGTGGCCCTCGGGTTGAAAAGGAGGTCCAGGCCCCCCACCCAAGTTAGATTCCTTCCTCCTTAACATCCTCTACATCTACTCACCAGAGGGTGTAAGCGGCGAAAAATGGCACATAGAAGGGCTGTTTCTCTGGGAACTGCTTGAGGGTGATCAGGATAGCATAGCAGAACCAGATGTAAGCCACAAACTGCAAGGCGATCAGGCCGTATCCAGCCGGCGACTCGTAAGTGTACAGCACCTGCGCTTGATCAAAGAACTGGGGCCGAAAAGGAAGGAAGCGGTTGAGAGATGTGATTGCTAGAGCTGCACAAGCCGCAACAAAATTCACAGCTGGGGACGTGAACCACACGCCTCTAAGCACACGGAGGCCTGCAACGCCCTCTTCTCTAGGCCTGGGCGAGATATCGATACATCATCCAAAACTGGTTTGAAGTCCATATTGTGATACCGGTTTTGTAATTTTGACCTGCCAATATATTGATGCAGTCATACCTCATGCTACGTTTGCTTCATGTTATGTTTTTTCAGGTTGCGTCCCACGGTGACCCGGAAGTACCGGAAAGGGTTACTTCCGGGTTTCGCTGCTCGCGCATGCTCGCACTTTGCGCATGCGCACAAGCACCAAATCACACTGTGCACCTGCGCAGATACGGCGCTTCAGGTTGCGGGCTTTTCATGTTGCAAACGGGTCTCCGGAATGGATCCGGTTCGCAACCAGAGGTACCACTGTATTGCTAATCTCTCTCTCTCTCTCTCTCTCTCTCTCTGTGTGTGTGTGTGTGTGTTCACAATGCAAAAATCATGATGCAGGAAAAACCATGAAGCCAGCCAATGCCTCTACGTAGCTCCACCCTTATTTCAGACATTGTGATATATCGGTATATCATGATTAGCTGGGGATAGATCTTGATGTTGAAAACCAGATATCGCCCAGCCCAACTCTTTTCGTCATTACACCTGCGACCTATTTTGGGAAGGTGTTTGGATGTGGACACCTCTGAAGGTATCGTAACAGGAGGGTTGTATTCAACTAATTCCCAGAGGTCCCAATGGAGAGGGATTGACTGTTAAACCACTCTGGGAACTATAGCTCTGTGAGGGGAATTGGGGCAGCACGTTTAACAAACTACAGCACCCAGGATCCTTTGGGGGAAGAAGCCATGACTGTTTAAAGTGGCATCATAGCGCTCTAAATACATGGTGTGGATGTGGCCTAGATAAGTGAGGTTCTCAAATAGATAAGCCGGTACAAGAGTAAACAGACACTCACCTCAGCCTCGTAGATGAAGAGCACGACATGAGTGATAGTGTAGAGTGTCATGTACACAGAAAGCTTGATAGAGCCGGTGTGGCTGATCCGACCCCTGCAAAACAGGGAGCCATGAGCCAGGCTTTGGGGGGAGAAGGAGTGACTGCCCCACACCCCAAATCTCCCAATACCCTTTATCCATCTGGTACGCAGGCTGAGACCCTACCTGCCCACGAACTGTCTCGCCAGAGTGGTGCATGCTCTAGTTATCTCCCGTTTGGACTACTGCAACGTGCTCTGTGTTGAAGGTGACGCAGAAACTACAACTAATCCAGAATGCGGCAGCTAGACTGGTGACTGGGAGCGACCACCAAGACCACATAACACCAGTCCTGAAAGACCTACATTGGCTCCCAGGACGTTTCTGAGCACAATTCAAAGTGTTGGTGCTGACCTTTAAAGCCCTAAATGACCTCGGCCCAGTATACCTGAAGGAGCATCTCCACCCCCGTCGTTCGGCCCGGACACTGAGGTCCAGCTCCAAGGGTGTTCTGGCGGTTCCCTCACTGCAAGAAGCGATGTTATAGGGAACCAGGCAGAGGGCCTTCTCGGTAGTGGCACCCACCCTGTGGAACACCCTCCCATCAGATGTCAAAGAAATAAACAACTATCTGACTTTAGAAGACATCTGAAGGCAACCCTGCTTAGGGAAGTTTTTAATGACTGATGTTTTAATGTACTTTTAAACTTTTGTTGGAAGCAGCCCAGCGTGGCTGGGGAAACCCAGCCAGATGGGTGGGGTATAAATAATAAATTATTATCATCATCATCATCAATCTCCCCTGTAAATGTTATCCGCACTAAATGTACTCTTCTCATTCCTAAAGTTTCAACTGCAAATCTTTTGACTGCTCAGTTTCCCAACATTCCTCTTTCTTCCCCCAGTCAACAAACCCATGTCACTTATAAGCCAAGTGCAATGCCAATGATTCTCCAACCAGCATTGCAATTTGTCCAGATGCAAATTTGTGTCACAGGCCTGGACTGTTTTAGACCTGCCTGTCCTGCCCTCTCTGCGCCTCAAAATACCCCTTGGGCTCTAAATGGGCAAGGCACATCAAAATAGTTTGCTTCTCTTTCTCTGTGTCCCATTGCAACCTCTATTGCCTGTCGAGAATGCCTTCCCTTTGAACATCACGTCACGACGTGGGCACAAACAGAAGCATTCGCCGTTTCTGACCTTAGCGGGGACAAGGTCCCTTGGACTAGAGAGACTCAGTAAGGCACAAGACAAGATACATGTGCTTTGTGCATTGCTGCTAAGATGGTGTGTACATCGCTTCCCTGACCAGCAGCAGGAGCACTTTGAACGCAGAGCGTACAGGAGGTGTGTACACAGAACTTAGCTTGTCATTTCAAGGGCTTTACCAGTAGGGGGCATGTGTAGCCTGCAGAAATCTAGCGCTGTCTCTATGGTGCAGTCTGTATTTGATTTTGTTTTTAATGTTCTGGGGCACTTGCAGACAAGCTGTTTAACTGAGCTTTCATCCTGATTTGTTTGCAGAGAGATTAGATGACACCAGCTATTTAACGTACATTTAAAGCACCCTGATACCACTTTTAACAGCCATGCTCCCTCCAAAGAATTCTGGGAGCTGTAGTTTGTTAAGGGTGCTGAGGATTTCTGGGAGACCCTCCGTCCCCCTTGCAAGGCTACAATTCTCAGAGAGATCAATCTCAGAGAGACATCAATCCCTCTTCTCGGGGAACTCTGGGAACTGTAGCTCTGGGAAGAGAACAGGAGTCTCCTAACAACACCCAGCACCCTTAACCAACTACAGCTCCCAGAATTATTTGCTTAAAGTGGTATTATGACACCTTAAATGTATGAAATGAATGGGACCTCTGGTTTGCTTGCTGGGGGGTTAGGCAATGTTGTGTCAAAGAAGTGTTGTCCCAGTGCACTTTTCCATCAGCGGCCATCAGTAGTTTGGGGAAGTGGGTTTGTAACGCAAGACCTCCTAATCCACTATAACTTTGCAACCAGAGTTTGTCTTCCTGTCTGTCTGTCTGTCTGTCTGTCTGTCTGTCTGTTGGTTGGTTGATTGATTGAATTTATATACCACCCTATACCCGGAGGTTTCAAACCCGGAGTTTGCCAATGTGTGACTGAACTGCATCTGAATTTGGGATCCAAGAACAAATAGGAACTGGGATAGCTCAGTTGGCAGAGCACAAGACTCTTGCTCTTGGAGTCATGGGTTCGAGTCCCATGTGTGGCGAAAGATACCTGCATTGGACCTTCATGGTCTTCTAATTCTACAATTCTATGACTAGAAGCATCTTGCCGGCAGGATGCTTCTCCACACCAAATGACCCTCTCACAAAGTTGCTTTTCATTTTTTGGAAGACATGGCACCGAGTCTCAGTTATTCGTGTTTGCAAGTGAAGCAACTCACCCGTCAATCACAGCCTTTATGGATCCCCACACCCTCCCACCAATTATTCACCACTAGGCAATACAGCCCCATCCCACCCTGACTCATTGGAAGGTCTGTCCCCCTTTAGTCATGCTGGTACCTGGTGACAGTGAATCCTTTCCCCAGCAGGATAAGCATCAGGAGGAAGATCAGGAAACTGACGGAGAAAAGGAGCTTGGCTAGAGGAAGGGAGGAAGGAGAAAGAGAGAAAAGGAGAAATGGAGTTAAGCCCAGGCCATTAACAGGGTTCTTCTGGAATATGAGAATCAAAACGGTCCAAATGGCCCAGGATTTTTATATGGCCTTTAAATAATGGATCAGCGAGGAAGGGGCAAGGGATACACACTAGGATACATACTAGGAAGAACGATACGGAATGGCCAACAACATTCATTGCTTCCCTTCTGAACGGCTGCAGGACTGTAATTGATAAGCAACGTCCAAGATGGCAACTTTTATGTGGCCCTGCTCACTCCGGATTCCCCCTTCGTACCTACCCAAGATCTTGAGGCTGCCGTTTCCAATGCCGTCGCTCGCATACTGGCCCCAATATATGCAGAAGAACATCAGGCTGAGCACTGAGGAGAAGAAAAAGGGAGGGAGGGGAATGAAGTAGGTGGCATGTGTTGTGCAATTGCAAAGGCAGAAGGAGGATGGAGGGGTCAGTTGCCCATGCAGGGTCTCTTTCCTGATCCCTGGCAACTGTTCTTTGTCCTCCAACTGTAAAGGTAAAGGGTAAAGGGACTCCTGACCATTAGGTCCAGTCGCGGACGACTATGAGGTTGCGGCGCTCATCTCACTTTATTGGCCGAGGGAGCCGCGTACAGTTTCCGGGTCATGTGGCCAGCATAACTAAGCCACTTATGGCAAACCAGAGCAGCACACGGAAAGGCAGTTTGCCTTCCCGCCAGAGTGGTACCTATTTATCTACTTGTACTTTGACACGCTTTGAACTGCTAGGTTGGCAGGAGCAGGGACCAAGCAACAGGAGCTCACCCTGTAGCGGGGATTCGAACCGCCGACCTTCTGATCTGCAAGTCCTAGGCTCTGTGGTTTAACCCACAGCGCCACCCGCGTCCCCTCCAACTGTATCAGCCATCTAATCCCAATCCCAATCTTTTGGCCCCTCCTTCCATCCCTTCTGACACCCCTTTTCCCTGCCGAAAGCATTTCAGTGAACTCCGAACCTGAATGCACAACCCTAAGCGTTTGGGGGCAGGAGACAGTACACAGTTTAATTGTAACACACCCTACGTATATAAAACCAGCTTTGGGACTACACGATAAAGGGTGGGCTATAATAAATGCCAAATCAATAAGCAAGTGAAAACAGAAACAAAGCCCAGCCACTGGTGTCAGCAACTTGGCAGGGTTGCTTTCCTCCCCAGAATCTGCTCTCGCTGCCCACGACTCACCCTCCACCCCAGCCGCCGTCATGAACATCTTGTAAGTGGTGTGGAGAAGTTGCCGTCCCTTCAAAAGATCTGAGAGGGAACAAAGCGACAGAGAGGGTCACAGAGACAGAGAGACACAGAGAGCAGGGGGTCGTTGGCAAAAGTATCGCTGCTTTTCTTTGCCCACTGGAACACACCAATGAGGCCTCTCTCCCTCACTTCACTGCCCGAGACTCATTGGAGATTGGGTTTCTCTTAGAAATTCTTCTTCCGGAGCCAGGGGTAGGTACTATTGGGAACCTGCCATGGCCCATATTCCTGCAAAGGCCCTCCCTCCCATTATTCTCTGGAGACACCTGACCCCGCAGCTCCTCCTCCTCACTGTGAAGCCTTTCCATCACAACACCGATTGGAGGAGCTACTCCCCCCTGCCTCTCTACAGAGAGATGCCCATTTGCCTGGGCACTGTAAAGGTAAAGGTAAAGGGACCCCTGACCGTTAGGTCTAGTCATGACCGACTCTGGGGTTGCGGCGCTCATCTCACTTTATTGGCCAAGGGAGCTGGCGTACAGCTTCCAGGTCCTGTGGCCAGCATGACTAAGCCGCTTCTGGCGAACCGGAGCAGCGCACGGAAACGCTGTTTACCTTCCCACTGGAGCGATACCTATTTATCTACTTGCACTTTGACGTGCTTTCGAACTGCTAGGTTGGCAGGAGCAGGGACCGAGCAACGGGAGCTCACTCCGTCGCGGGGATTCGAACCGCCGACCTTCTGATCGGCAAGTCCTAGGCTCTGTAGTTTGACCCATAGCGCCACCCGTGTCCCTGCCTTGGCACTGGGGACCCCCAAAATAAGTCACACTGCATGAGAAACAGGAAGTGTTGACCCAACTGCATCTGGACTGGGACTCTTTGGTACTCACAGCCAAAGTAGCAGGAGATGATGAGGATTAGGATGAAGATAAGCAGGAAAGTTATGTCTGTCTCCAGGATGCCTGAGAAGAATGGAGACAGCAGATTCAGCAGCGGACCTGGGAATTGCCTTATTTTTTTATAAAGATTTTTATTCATTTTCAATTGCACTCCAATAATAGCTTCATTATGACAGTACCAAATTATAATACAATTACTACGGTAATACCAATCATTCAAATACCAAATTATATAATTTAGGTGCACAGCCTCCCGTGTGCTAGATTTGATTGTTTGATGATTTTCTTTATTTCTGCGTTCCAAAATCTTATTCATTTCAATTGCATTCTGGTCAAAACAATAATCCCTTATACAACAACTGCAATATTAATAACTTCCATTCGTGTTGACGCATTAAATGATTTACAGAACTACAAGTGAGGCACTCAGACTATACCCTTGTTCTTCCTGTGTGTGGCAATTATTCTGTCCATGTAAAACGTTATATGAGAGCCAGTGTGGTATAGTGGTTAAGAGCAGTAGTCTCGTAATCTGGGGAACCAGGTTCATGTCTCCGCTCCTCCACATGCAGCTGCTGGGTGACCTTGGGCTAGTCACACTTCTCTGAAGTCTCTCAGCCCCACTCACCTCACAGAGTGTTTGTTGTGGGGGAGGAAGGGAAAGGAGATTGTTAGCCACTTTGAGACTCCTTTGGGTAGTGATAAAGCGGGATATCAAATCCAAACTCTTCTTCTTCTTCTTCTTATCTATCTTTTCCCGGTTGTTGCTGTTCTCTATCATGCCTTGGGTGGAGATAATATCCTATCGCTGTTTCATAAATTTCTCCACCACTCCGTCCCTGGCTTTGTTGTTTTGCAACTTAACAGCTGCGAAAATCACTCTGTCCCAATAAATAACCTGTTTTCACCCTTTTCCCTCTCAGCCTGGGAAGAAGAGTGGCCTGTCCAACTGCAGATGACTCAGTAATGAACCTTATGAGTTCCTTGGCAAGTTTGCAGATGAAAGGAATCTGCAAGATGAAAGGAATTGCCTTGTACCACTCCAGTCTGGAGCTTCAAGGTTATCGCTGTTGTGTGAGGGCTGCTGCTGCTGCTGCTGCTGCTGAGGAACTAGAATTGCCTGCCTGAGTGGCTGATGGCTGTTGTCACCTGCTCAACATCAGGGAGTTTAGGCTGAGAGATGCCCGACAGGCGCAAGCTAATGCTGTTTCATGTTGTTGTTGTTGTTTAGTCGTTTGGTCGTGTCCGACTCTTCGTGACCCCCTGGACCAGAGCACGCCAGGCACTCCTGTCTTCCACTGCCTCCCGCAGTTTGGTCAAACTCATGCTGGTAGCTTCAAGAACACTATCCAACCATCTCGTCCTCTGCCATCCCCTTCTCCTTGTGCCCTCCATCTTTCCCAACATCAGGGTCTTTTCCAGGAGTCTTCTCTTCTCATGAGGTGGCCAAAGTATTGGAGCCTCAGCTTCACGATCTGTCCTTCCAGTGAGCACTCAGGGCTGATTTCCTTAAGAATGGAGAGGTTTGATCTTCTTGCAGTCCATGGGATTCTCAAGAGTCTCCTCCAGCACCATAATTCAAAAGCATCAATTCTTCGGCGATCATACCTGCGTGCAAAATCGAACTCTGGTCTCTAAGTTCCTAGCTCAGTACTCTAACCACTCTGACACACTGTCTCTCTGTCAAGCCTCGGCAAACGTGCTGTAGAAATTCAGATTTCCAGAATCTGAACTTCGCAAACCTGACGGGAACTAGCAGGGAACTCACCGAACTCATCAGCTGAGAAGTGCCGCGTCCAAAGCGATTTGCCGTTGGTGAGGATCATCTCATACTCCAGTTCCAGCCCATCGCCCTGTGAGAGAGCAGTCAAAAGTCATTCTGATCTTAGGGAACCAAGGCAGAGCCACAAACCCGAGTGGGTGGGCGTCACGAGACTCACCCCACACTTGCTGAGGGCCACATACCACCAGCGCTCACGAACCGAGCGGAAACTCCTGCCGCTAGCGCAGCTCAAGTACCGCACCGAATTTTCTGTCACCAACTGGAAAGAATAATAACATGAATAATTTTATTATTTGTTCCCTGCCTATCTGGCTGAGTTGCCCCAGCCGCTCTGGGCAGCTTCCAGCATATATAAAAACATAATAAAATATTAAACATTAAAAACTTCCCAGGGCTGCCTTCAGATGTTTGCACCCCTAAAAGTCAAATAGTTGTTTATCTGTTTATAATAATAATTTATTATTTATACCCCACCCATCTGGCTGAGTTTCCCCAGCCACTCTGGGCAGCTCCCAATCAAGTGTTAAAAACAGTACAGCTTTAAATATTAAAAACTTCCCTGAACAGGGCTGCCTTCAGGTGTCTTTTAAAAATAGGATAGCTGCTTATTTCCTTGACATCTGATGGGAGGGCGTTCCACAGGGAGGGCGCCACTACTGAGAAGGCCCTCTCCCTGGTTCCCTGTCACCCCACTTCTCACAGTGAGAGAGCTGGGTCTCAATGTCCAGGCTAAATGACAGAGGTGGAGATGTTCCTTCGGGTATACAGGGCAGACAAGAAGACTTGTGATATGGCAATCAGGTAAAACTGAAGGAGGAGCTTCTCCTTTTCAATTAACCCCGGACCATTAGGAGATGTTTTCGCTATAGGAATATCATAGGAGTCTGTAGCTCAGGCCCAGACAGGCCCTTAAATTTCTCCCCAGGACACACAAACCTCTCACTGTCCCTGTTTTCCCCAAGGGTCTTTGCCTGACTGGAATGTGTCACTGAATTCTGATCATGCCTGTTGCTTGTTGGGATGGAGGATAAAGAGGGGTGTTCGAGTGCATGTAAAAACTATCCTACTGTACAAAGGTTACATTTGCATTTGATGCTCAGCCTACTTTTGCCTCCAGCTCCGCCTGCCTCTGGCATGCAGCCCTGAAAATTCCCCAGCCCTGATGTAGCTGAACCAAAGACCTGCCCATTAAGCAAATGTGAGCTTTACATTCTACATGGAACAATGTCAGCCATGGTTTGTGGGTCCCCAAGCCCTGCCCGTGTACGTGAGTTTGCTGTGAATTTTGTGGAAGGGGAGGAAAAGCATCTTAGTGGAGAAAGAAACCAGAATCATAGCCCTTGTTAGAGTAAAAAGAGCCTGCAGCTGCACAGACAGGTTTAACTGCGTATGGGCAACACTAGCTGAAATTTCAAAGTCCCAACTTACTAGGCTTGTAGGACTACAAGAAGTTTTGTAAGGAGAACTATATGAAACATTACAGAAAAGATTTATGAGAAGGGATTATAAGTTATTGACTATTAAAAGTAATAGGGCAATAAATGTAAGATTAAAAGAGGTTTGAAAATCATTAGATGTGGCTGATGGAAGTCTTAGGCTAAAATACCCAAATGATGTATAAGATGAGATGAGATGATACGTTCTGTTTGGAAAATATACGCAAAAAGCAATAAAAATGTATTTAAAAAAGAAAGAAAGAAATTTCAAAGGCCAGAGAGACGTCTAAATAAGATATTCTATAACTGGAGAAGAGGTATCAGTGCCTTTGTCTGTCCCACAACTGGTCAAAACAGAGAAATTCAAAAATTCAAATCACACTGCAGAAAAATATGTGCTGAGTAAGATGATACATGCAAATTTGCTCCAATTGCATAAGTCATTTAGGTTGCTGAATCAAACTTTCCTTGCTGCATAAATCAGGATTCCCTGGGCACTCGGTTTGTTTTGTTTTAGAATGGTCTGCACACAGCCCTAGATTTATGCTTTCTCTGTCCTTCTCCACACTGAGAGACAAGATAAAATAGAGGACAAAGGCCCCATTTTTGCTGGACGCCCAGTCAGAACCTGTTCCTCTCACTGCAAGTGTCTTCTTTTGTGTCAAAAGGAATGCTGAAAAAGAGAGCTGGCCTGCTTGTTTCATGATAGGCTCAGTCAGTACAGCATAAGACTCTTAATCTCAGGGTTGGGGGTTCCCACGTCGGGCAAAAGATTCCTGCATTGTTCTCGCAGTCCGTTCCAACTCTACAGTTCTATGATTCTCATTTACACCTTCCACGCAATATACAAAATTCAAGAAAATCAGCTAAAAAGCAGTTGCACACATCACAGAAAGGAACAGCAGGTAACATTTAAAACACCCGTGTTTTCTCCCATGGCAGAGATCTATGCATCCAGCTGGGAGAGCTTGTCGGAACAAAAAACGTCTTCAGTTGTTTCTGGAAAGTGCAAATAGCATTCACACACCTTTTTGCTTCAGAACATCCTGTATCTAATTTGTTGTTGTTGTTGTTTAGTCATTTAGTCGTGTCCGACTCTTCGTGACCCCATGGACCAGAGCACGCCAGGCACTCCTGTCTCCCACTGCCTCCTGCAGTTTGGTCAAACTCATGATGGTAGCTTCGAGAACACTGTCCAACCATCTCGTCCTCTGTCGTCCCCTTCTCCTTGTGCCCTCCATCTTTCCCAACATCAGGGTCTTTTCCAGGGAGTCTTCTCTTCTCATGAGGTGGCCAAAGTATTGGAGCCTCAGCTTCAGGATCTGTCCTTCCTGTGAGCACTCAGGGCTGATTTCCTTAAGAATGGAGAGGTTTGATCTTCTTGCAGTCCATGGGACTCTCAAGAGTCTCCTCCAGCATCATAATTCAAAAGCATCAATTCTTCGGCAATCAGCGTTCTTTATGGTCCAGCTCTCACTTCCATACATTACTACTGGGAAAACCATAGCTTTAACTATACGGACCTTTGTTGGCAAGGTGATGTCTCTGCCTTTTAAGATGCTGTCTAGGTTTGCCATTGCTTTTCTCCCAAGAAGCAGGCGTCTTTTAATTTCGTTGCTGCTGTCACCATCTGCAGTGATCATGGAGCCCAAGAAAGTAAAATCTCTCACCTCCTCCATTTCTTCCCCTTCTATTTGCCAGGAGGTGATGGGACCAGTGGCCATGATCTTCGTTTTTTTGATGTTGAGCTTCAGACCATATTTTGTGCACCTGCCAAATCTGTTTGTCTGTCTGTTTGTCTGATCTTACTATGACCAACATCCCGAGTCTTTGGGTATGGGGGAAATGGTGAGCAGAATCCCACAGCCCCTTTCAAGTCCCAGAGAAGCTTACCTGGCATCCAGACCAGGCATACTGGGTGGTGAGGTTGATCACCTGATTGTTCTCTGGACGGATCACGGACTCCTTCATCAAACAATCCTAGGAAGAGGAAAGAGGAGGTAAAAGGGAAATAGCAGGAGCCTCAACCTAACATCACCCTGAGCAGGATGACCACATGCAAAAGGGGACCGTGGTACTGTTCATTCAGAAGCGGTATTTCCTTTCCTTCCTTTCTTTTTGTTATTCATCCTTTACTATTTTATTCACATAATATACATTCTTTACAACAAACAACTCCAAAATAAAATCAAATGTAACAAAACCGCAAGTCTCATGTTTTCGTTTACACTGATCTCCTCTCCAATACTTGATAATTCTTGCTGCTTTCTGCTTTCCTTATAGAATCTTTATGAAAATTTAAATCTCTTAAATCCTATTCCAATCTTTAACAGTTTCAATTAATCCCTGCACCTCCCTCCCCCACAGCCCAGTACTTCCCTCCACCTGTGTGCAATCTTCTTTACCTACTATTATTTTTGTTATTGTTGCGTTATTCACTTTATTTGTTATTCCACCCTTAATATATTATTATCCTATCTCCTTGCGCCTTTTAAACTTTTGCATATTAATTTTTAAGCTCCAGCACCGACTTTTTTCATGTATTCCTTAACGCATTCCCACTCTTTATTAATTTTTTTATTACAGTAGCCTCTAATTGATGCTGTTAATTTTGCCATCTCCGCGAATTCAAGAAATTTGGTTCTCCATTCTAATAATTCTGGTATTTTATCAGTTTTCCCATTTCCTTCTCCCTGAAATAAACGTGGAGGCACATTTGGCTCTTCTCAGACCTGGAGACGATGTCCAGCGCCACTCTTGCTACCTATGAATCATTCACCCTCTGAAGATGCTCCAACCTGTAGGTCACCCCTCTTGGCATCTGTGTACAAAACCAAGGCTTCCTCTTGTCCTCTGTCACAAGTAAATAAAACAGCCAAACACTGCCAGGAGACCAAAGCGCCAACCCTCAGCAGGATCTGCCAGCTGCTTTCGCTCGCTTTCACATGAGGTTTCATGGAGCATTCCCAAACTCCCGATTCAGCACAATTCCCTGTTCTCAGAGGAGACTGCCTGTCACGTCTCTTGTGAGATGCTGTTCTGGGCCTGGACCCCGTCCAGGTTGGGAGTTGTCCCAGAACAGTGATGCATGCAGAAACACACATGGTAGGCTCCTTCAAGGCGGGGCATCTTTCACACTCTAAACCAGCGTGTGGGCTTTCAGGTGCTGCTGGACTCCAGCTCCCTTCAGTCTCAGCCAGCATAGCCAGTGGTCATGGATTGATGGGAGCTGGGGAGTCCAGCACAGGTTCTACATCCCTGCACTGCTGGTTCTCCTATGCCACTCTAGTCTGTCTCAGCAGGAAGTCTGGGAATAACTAGATAAGCCAGCCAGTGTGGTGTAATGGTTAGAGTGTGGGACTAGGGACCTGGGAGAGCAGGGTTCAAATCTCCACTCAGCCATGAAGCTGGTTGGGTGACCTTGGGCCAGTCACCGTCTTCTCTCAGCCTAACTTACCTCACAGGGTTGCTGTGTGGGGATTCAGCTAGGATGGGGGTATTTTGGGAGAGGTTTCGTTGGAAGTTTTTGCTGTTGTTACTGATATTACTGGTACTAACTTTTTGTATCTTTATTTTTATGTGGAAATTGTTCCGTTTGGTTATGTAGTTTTTAATGTGTTTTATTTATTTTTATGACTACTTTGCTATATTTGTAATTATGCAAATTTTTTCATATTGTAAGCTGCCTTGAGCATTGTTTTAACCGTGGAAAGGCGACATACAAATAAAATGATGATGATGACGATTCAGTGAGGAGGGGGGAGAACCATGTACACTACGTTAAGCTCCTTGGAAAAAAAGGTGGGTAGAAATACAAATAATCCTTCTTCTATCCTATACTTCCCCTTCTCCAGCCAAATCACCACACTATGCTCCTGGCTTCGAGATAGGAGCTGGGGAAGGTCAGTCTGGATGAAACCCGGGGGCCCTCCCAAGTCTGTGAGGCTGGGAAGCCTAAGACGGAACCCGGATGAACAGAGAAACTATTCCCTTCGTCAAGGTAAACGACCTTAGCGGCTCAGCACCTGCATCTCAAAAGAGCAAGCTGCATTTTCAATGGGTGAGCTCTGTTGCCATAGGAACAAATGGACGGGACTTCTCCCACCTCCCTCACCTGATAGGTAAGAAGAGAAACTGTTATGTATTGAGTTGAATAGGATCCTAATTGCAGCATTCTGATTGGTCCTAGAACAATAGGGTCCAGAATGCAGCAGTCTGATTGGTCTGCAGGAGCCACCCAATCCAACTCCAGGTGGAAGTGAATCTGCAACCTGATTGGCCTACAGGTGAATCCCAGAATTAGCCAATCGCATGGGGCCCATTGTGTAAATAATGTATAAAAGCAGACATTTCGGGGGAAATTCCATTCCTCCTCACTATATGAGCTGAATAAAGAGCATGAAATCCACTCTCGACTCCAAGTATATTTCAGAAACAGTAGGCCAAGACAGAGCCATATGTTGTGTTTGTGAGCTGAAAGTTGGAGGCTGGAATCTGTGCTGAGCCTCAGCTGGACTTTGGGGCTTCTCTGGAAATCTAATGGAGAAGCAAGTTCTGGGGGAGTGTTGATACCGTGAGCCCCTCCATCCTGTGCCCATATGTGTAAATAAAACCTCATGTCCTAAAGACAGCAGCATCTCCACTAACCTTCTAAGGAAAGGAAACCTGGGTCAGCACAGGAATCCCTGTCGGCCGTCATCGCTCAGAAAATGGGATAGGAACACACAATAAAGCAACTACTCTATTCCGAACTTAAAAATGGAAAGCGTAATGCTGGTGGTCAACAAAAGAGGTTTAAAGAGTGTCTCAAGGCAAATCTAAAACAAAGTAGTATAAACACCGACAACTGGGAAACACTGGCCTGCGAGCGCTCCAGTTGGAGAACAGCCTTGACCAAAGGCGTCATGGGCTTTGAAGACACTCGAACACAGGACGCAAGGCAGAAACGTGCTAAGAGGAAGGCACACTTGGCAATTCCACACCATTATCAACTCCCACCTGGAAACCAATGTTCCCACTGTGGAAGGGCGTGTGGTTCCAGAATTGGCCTCCACAGTCACTTACGGACTCATTGTTAAAACCGTGTTTATGGAAGACAATCATACTCAGCTACGAGGGATTGCCAAAGAAGAAGAGAGTGACAGAAGAGGACTGGGGAGCAATCTGTTGTCTCCCCTAGCAACCACCCAACCCCACCTCCTCCCAGTGTCTTTCCTTGCACACGTGCAGAACCAGGCCTTAGCGTGGCTCCTCTGGCAGCAGGAAGGTTTTGTGAGCAAACACTTCTCATCGCCAAGCCTTAACGAGCCTCTGCTGATAGCCGATGCTCATATCTCCGGAAACTGCCACATCTAATCTCACACCAGAAAGCGCGCAAATTACATCGCACAAGAAAGGCACCCAGCTGCTCCCTGACACCCACTGTCATCATGGAAATTATGTCAATTATGTACAGCTGAAATATGCAAATGTGCTGCAGCTTCGTAGCACCTAATAATGGTTCCCCCTCTCCAGCTTCCCTCTGCGCTGAAGAAATTGCAAGGGCTCACCCCTGTCCCGTTCTGACTTAAACCGCCTTGGAAGAGAAACCTCAAAATTCTTGACCTGTTCCGACTGAAAAGCAGCTTCTGTTACTATGGGACTGCTGAGCAGAAGAAACTGCTGGCTATAGAAAATAGAGGATTATTCTGTCATTCCACCAACCTGCGTACCAGAATACTTTGCGCTTTTTTCATGCAGAGCTTTCTGAGAGCTCAAATCGCTTTACATAAATTACCTGGGTAATCTGTACAACAACCCTGCAAAGTAGGTCATCATTCTTATCCCTATACTATTGGCCATCTGCACAGTGTGGAAAATACCTAACCTCAGATAACCTGCTTCATCAGGTTAGGGTGACTATGAGCAGGAGGAATATGTTCCTTACAGATTGCGAGCGCAGCTATTTCTGTTGTCTGCAAACATAGCAGCAAGGAAGAGAGAAAGAGAGACAGTATTTGATTTTTAGAATTTAGGCACTTTTAGCCTTAGTAATTCGGGACGCGGGTGGTACTGTGGGTTAAACTACAGAGCCTAGGACTTGCCTATCAGAAGGTCGGCAGTTTGAATCCCCGCGTCAGGGTGAGCTCCCATTGCTCGGTCCCTGCTCCTGCCAACCTAGCAGTTCGAAAGCACGTCAAAGTGCAAGTAGATAAATAGGTACTACTCCAGCGAGAAGGTAAACGGTATTTCCGTGTGCTGCTCTGGTTCACCAGAAGCGGCTTAGTCATGCTGGCCACATGACCTGGAAGCTATACGCCGGCTCCCTCGGCCAATAAAGCAAGATGAGCGCCGCAACCCCAGAGTCGACCACGACTGGACCTAATGGTCAGGGGTCCCTTTACCTTTACCTAGCCTTAGTAATTAGGCACTATGAAAAGAACTCATAAGGCATAATGGTGTACCCGTATACCTTTCTCAGGTGGCCTTGCCACATTCCCCCCTTTCAAGCTTAGAAACAATTCAAACATTTGTTTCTTCGGCTTGACCCTCATGTTGAACTCCAGTATAGACAACGGTCTCTTCCAGGGGAATCTCCTCAGGGGGAGTCTCATGAACTAATCTGGCATAATCATGTTCTTCTTCTGGGACAGGGGGTAAGGCTCGATATATGGCCATTATAAAGGTAAAGTTACCCCTGCCCGTACGGGCCAGTCGTGTCCAACTCTAGGGTTGTGCGCTCATCTCACTTAAGAGGCCGGGAGCCAGCACTGTCCGAAGACACTTCCGGGTCACGTGGCCAGCGTGACGAAGCTGCTCTGGCGAGCCAGCGCAGCACACGGAAACGCCGTTTACCTTCCCGCTATAAAGCAGTACCTATTTATCTACTTGCACTTTGACGTGCTTTCAAACTGCTAGGTTGGCAGGCGCTGGGACCGAAAGACGGACGCTCACCCTGCCGCAGGGATTCGAGCCGCCGACCATACGATCAGCAAGTCCTAGGCACTGAGGTTTTACCCACAGCGCCACCCGCGTCCCTATATGACCATTATATGCTTTTGCAATTTTTTCCTAATGTCAGGGGCACTTTAGGCCACAATACTGCAGAGGCGGATGGGGGGGGCAGGGAGGTGCCATGTTGAGAAATAGCAGCTTCCCTAAGCCAACACACAATCCAATTCTTATTCAGAAGCAAGCAAGCCTTACTGACGTAAACGGGACTTCCTCTCAACTAATGTGGATAGGTTTGAAGCAATATCGCACGTGAGCTGAGATCCAAATAGGAATATTTATGCACAATGAACTTAAACTGGGTTTAATAGCCATCACAGTGCCCTTCCACCCCCTAAGTTCATTATTGGTCAGAGAAGAATGAGTGGAATTCACTGGGACCCTCACCCAGGTCAGACTCTACTCGGGGTCTCAAGTTCTCATCTCCTAACCCCGCTAGGACCTTCCAGTTCTCAAAAGCTCCTTCCATTCCTCCTCATCCTCCAAAAACCCTCCCCACAACATCTCCACAAGACTCGTGACACCTGGAACTGCTGATCTGTGAGGGGCAGCAACAGGGGAACTCTAGCCGACAATTCTCAGTCCAGTCACCAAAGGACAGTTCCCCCGATCCTCTGGGAGAAGCTATGACAGCGTAACAGGTGTAAAACAAGTCCTAGTCTATTGCGGTACTACAACTCCCATCACCCCCAAAAACTGACTATGCTGGCTGGGGTGATGGAAGTAGGAGTTCAACATCACTAAGGACATTGGTTCACCAGCATTTCACTACTGATTTCTCCTAATAAACACATTTTTTTAAATGCAGTTTTAGCTAATGGACACTTTTCTGCAAGCAATTTCCCCGTATACAATGTCTTCTTGTTTTGTTTTTTTCCACGAATACATCCATCCTTATGCAAACTTTCCCCTCATAGATGCATTCTTTGTAAACGTTGCTAGGCAAAATTTTGGTAAGTGCAAATTTCCAAGGACAGATGTGTTTTTGGTTCACATATAGCTTTGAAAAGCGTGGCTTTGATAAGATTTGGCTTCCAAAGAGGCCTAAATCGAATTTCTCTCCTTCTGCCTCGGTGGCGACTGTGCATAACCTGCAGAGGAGAAGCTAACCCACTGGGACATATTCACCTCTTGAAGGGAAGTCTAACTGCAGCTGAATGACCCATCCAAACTGACCTTGTTTCCCTTCTTGTAGACGGCGGGCCACTGGGAAGGATCATCAAAATAAAGAAGGATATTCTCGCAGCATTTGGCCTTTAAAGGAAAGCAGAAGGACGGCTGTAAGGATAGCAATAGCAACATAGGCCCAACACAACAAACACATTGTGTACAACGACAGGGATGGTGGACCTGTGGTCCTTCAGATGTGGCCAGACTCCACATCCCATCACCCTGCGCATAGGCCATGCTGGCTGTGGGATGATGGGACTTGGAGTCCATCCACACCAGGAGGGCTGTTTCCCGCCATATATGAATAAGGTTAGGCTTTTTATTTATTTTGCTTATTTGACAAAATATGTCAATAAAAGCAGTTCAATGTCATTAAAAATAATTTGAAAAATCAAGTAGCAAACAAAAAAGATTAGAGCATGTCAATATATATGAAGTTGGGGAGGCTTGCCTTAAAAAGTTTTATGCAGGCACCAAATTTTTTGAGGTGGTAAGAGGTGGCTAAAAAACAAAAAAAAAGGAATGTGATTGAAAGATAAAAATATTACCTCTGGGTAGCGGAACCTGAAGTCCAGGCGCCCATAGTCAGAAAGGAAGCAGAATCGAGTCAAGAAGACCCAGTCCTGGGAAGAAGGAGTATGTGTATGTGTTATTTCTTATCATACAAGCTCCGCCATTTTGTTTGTTTGTTTAATATATTTATGAACCTCACTTTCATATATAATATATCCCAAGGCGGTATACAGACTAAACATACAATATCACCATGAACACATCCAAAAAAAGTTTTTGATTTGAGTTTCTACTGAAATGAGGCTGCATTTTAATGTTGTACTTAATCTTGTTTTTAAGTTGTATTTTAATCAATTGTTTTTACCTGGTGTTAGCCGCCCTGAGTCCAGTCTTGGTTGGGGAGGGCGGGGTATAAATAAAATATATTATTATTATTATTATTATTATTATTAAACCCATCAGTAAGAGCTGCTTGGCAAAGAATCTCACATTTGAAAGTCCTGCCAGAATAAAACAGTTTTTAGAAGACTCCTAAATCCAAACCCAGGACACCAGCTTCTGGGTCCCAAATCCCACACGTCACGTGAAACCACACAAGATTGCATACTCAGGGGGAAAAAACACTTTTTTTCGGAGCGAGATCTTCGCCAGAAATCACACAAGAGCAAGGCGCCCAAAATGGCCACTGTACTCTCACAGGGTGAAATGGGATGTCTGGGTTTTCTGGGACAGTTGGTGAGTATGATGGTCTGAAATTGTATACAGCAGCTTCCATGTTCCTCTTGAAATCTTTAGGGTCTTCTTGCATGAGGGTCTTCTCCCTGCCCTTTGCAAACCCAACCCAATGGAAGCGCGCTGTGGAAAGCATCCAAATACGATTAGAACATTATATTTCAGGAGAGATTAGCGTAAGCCCAACCCAGCCCGGAAATTATTCAAGTGTCAGCAGCCCAAACACGGCTCCAACCAGTTACCATAAAAAATTTTACGGCTTGGCTGTAGGAAGGATAAATAACATCCCAAACAATCCCCATAAAATGAAATCTATTAGGCGGTTAACGTCATAGTCATTAATTTAATAGAGCGCAGTGCACCAGCTAGAGAGGGCAGGCCACTCTGTACCAACGGCTTGTTGCTAGGTGTGTAGACCCCTAAATGAAGGGGGCCGCAGGACAGCGGCCTGGTGAAGTGGCCTGCTTCAGGAATTGGTTCTGAAAGCAGCAGAATCTTTTTTTAATCAAGAACAGGGGGCTATTTCACCATTTGGGCTCCATTTTAGGAGACCAGGATCTTGCTGCACAAACATTAATGGGTCCTGTGACCCCAGACCGCAGGTTCTGGGTGGCAGAAGTGGGGTTGACATGGGATTTCTTGTAAAGAATTCTCAATATCATAGAATTGTAGAGTTTGAAGGCACCCCAAGAATCATCTAGTTCAACCCCTTGCAATGTGCAGAAATCTCAGCTAAAGCATCCATGACAGATGGCCATCCAACCTTTGCTTGAAAACCTCCAAGGAAGGAGAGTCCACAACCTCCTGTGGGGGACTGTTCCACTGTCAAACAGCTCTTACCGTCAGAAAGTTCTTCCTGATGTTTAGTCAGAATCTCCTTTCTTTTAACTTGAAGCCATTGGTTTGGGTCCTACCCTCCAGAGCAGGAGAAAACAAGCTTGCTCCATCTTCCATGGCTATCATATCTCCTCTCAGTCTCCTCTTTACCCAACTCCTTCAACCATTCCTCATAAGGCTTGGTTTCCTCAGCTAATATAATACTTTGATTCTTTGGGGGAACCTATAGGTGTTGATCTCCTGTTTACCAGTCTTAGCACAGAATTTTTGTAGGTTTTTAGTATAGGTATGGTCTTGGCAGAGATGTGTACAGACTCCTAGAACCAACTTTCCTTTTCATCTACGAAGCAGATATGCTCCCTTACAGTGCATATTCAAAGGCCCGACCTCTCCAACCATTGGACCTCTTCCAGATCTGGGAACAGGATCCAAAAGTGTTGGCTACTTGAGTCTCAAGATGCACTCTCAATGCAGATTATGTGCCACTCCACATTTGTTAACAGCGTTGTCATGGTTTCCCGGGAAGTGAGTCACTCGACTCAAAGGTTTTTACGCAAAACTTGAGAACATTTTCCGATGGAGGGCCATTGACACACAGAAAAAGTCTATTGGGGGTGTAACCACAAGTAGGCGGAGACAGGGGGCTGGATCTGGTGGTAGGTGGGACCAGAGCCAAAAGAGGGTGGAGTTTGCAGGATTGCATAGTTCTTTGGGTCTATTCTGTCTATTTCTCTCTCTCTCACGCACAAACACAGTGCCAAAGAGGAAGAGATTCTCAGAGGCGGTGGTCTGGAGGAGGAGAATGGCCCTACAATGTCCAGAGAGCCAGTTGATGTTTTGGATCACACAAAATCAGACTCAGGACTGCAGGTTCCCCACCCCGATTTAAATACTGAAGCTATGGTCGACCTCCCTGCAGCCTTTTCTTACAGGTTATGAAACACAGACTCTGCTTATAGATTCCTAGAATGGTAGAGTTAGAAGGGAACCCGAGGGCCATCTATGTCCAAGCCGCTGCAATGCAGGAATCTCAGCTAAAGCATCCATGGCAGATGGCCGTCCAACCTCTGCTTAAAATCCTAACCACCAGAGAGAATGAGAAGAGTGATGGGAATACACACGCAAACACAAACAGGGCTCCAGTCACCCAAACCTGACCATTGCACCATTAACCCCCTAGAGCTTCCACCTTGTGCAACTCCTAAGCTCTTTTCACCTTCCCAATCCCAGTCCTGAAGCCACTTTTCTATTCTGCGGCCCCACTTTGCACCCTTGTTCTCACTTTCACCACCACGTCCATGCCTCCCCCTCCTTTATGTACAACTAATCCAGAATGCGGCAGCTAGACTGGTGACTGGGAGTGACCGCCGAGACCATGTTTAGGGAAGTTTTTAATGTATGATGTTTTATTCTGTTTTTATTTGTCCAGAGTGGCAGGGGAAACCCAGACGTATGGGCGTTGTACAAATAAATGATGATGATGATGATGATTACCCCCTCCCCTTGCACACAACCCCCCCAAATGATAACCTCCTACAACTCACCCCTCCCAAACATGGCAACTATGAAATCACCTTTTTCACCTTCCGCAAAAACCTTGGAGCCACCATCTCTTCCTATTCTGCAAACACTTTCATGCCCCTGCTTAGTGGTGTAATGGGTCAGTGCGTCTGGCTGCTAACCAGAAGGTTGGCGGTTCGAGCCCACCCAGGGATGGCTGTGGGCAAGATTTCTGCATTACAGGGGGCTGGACGAGATGACCCTCAGGATCCCTTCCAGCTATACAGTTCTATTATTTTATTATTCATTTTCGCCCCCATTCCCATGTCTCCTATTCGCACATGACCTGTGGCCTAGGACCCTCGTACCTATGGGACCGCCTCTCCCGATATGCCCCACAGAGGACCTTAAGGTCCATAAATAGCAACACCCTAGAGGTCCCAGGCCCTAAGGAAGTTAGATTAGCCTCAACCAGAGCCAGGGCCTTCTCCACACTGGCTCCGGCCTGGTGGAACACTTTGTCTCATGAGACCAGGGCCCTGCGGGATCTGATTTCTTTCCACAGTGCCTGTAAGACAGAGTTGTTCCGCCTGGCCTTTGGCTTGGAGTCAATTTGATTCCCTCCCCCTCTTTCTTTTTTCCTTTCTCCTCCTGTGATGAGGCTGCATTTTAATTATTTAATGTTTTAATGTTGTATTTAACCTTGTTTTTTAAGTTGTATTCCAATCAACTTGTTTTTATTATTGGTTGTTAGCCGCCCTGAGCCCAACCCTGGCTGGGGAGGGCGAGGTATAAATAAAATTTATTATTATTATTATTATTATTATTATTATTATTTAGTGGTGGCTGGTGCCCATTGGTGTTCATAGGGTGGAGGGCAGGGAGGTCAACATTAGGGGGCGCCTGACTACTTGCAAGTAGGAAGTTAGACAGGTAGGAGATGCCTGAAGGCAGACTGAGGTTGGTGATCTGATGTCCTGTTGGTCAGCTTCCATGGATACTTTCTGAGCCGAGCTCTTTATTGACTTCAGGGCAAAAACTTCAAAGTCAGAAGTGACCTTCCTTACGGAGTAACAAAGAGCCACAGCAAATTAGATACCTGGGTCATAAACCGTAAGCTCCCATTGCCCAGAGCATCCTCTAAAAGGCAGCTACGTGACAGTTCACACTAATCAAATGGAGCAAAGGGTACTAAAAAAAGGTCAGATCCTTTCCCCCTTGACAGCATTCTCTCAGTTCCCTTCTGGCACAAACGCTAATCTGCCTTGCTGATTGCAAATGCCACAGAAGCCACATTCAGGCCACCCTATGAAACTGCTTTGAACAGTCGTGGCTTCTTCCCCCAAAGAATTCTGGGAGCTGTAGTTTGCTAAGGGTGCAGAGAGTTGCTTGGAGGCCTCTATTCCCCTCACAGAGCTACAGTTCCCAGAGGGATTTGATTGTTAAACCACTCTGGAAATTGTAGCTCTGTGACGGGAACAAGGGGAACGCTCGGCACTTTTAACAGATGACAAGTCCTGTAATTCTTTGCAGGCGTAGCCACGGCTGTTTAAAGTGTCATCATAGCACTTTAAATGCACGACGTTGAGTGCGGCAGGAATAACCCCGTTTATTCCAGTTCAATGCCAATACGGAAGGGGTTTGTGTCCGCGATCCGACCATTGGGAACCCCCGTTCTTCCAGGAATTGCATCCACCTCCTTTCCCCTTCCCTCTACACGGCCGAAACAGCGCAGCGAAATACCGTGCGGTTGTTTCTCAGGCACCTGACACCACAGACGGTGTCAAGTCACCGTACCACCGCAGTTTCCTGGGTCAATGCCATCCCCGCTGCCACTAGACGACAGCCACTGATAGACACAGCTGAGACAGACAAAAGTCTCAAGAGGAGGGGCTGAAATAATTTGGGTCAGGGGAGAAGGCAAGAGAGGCAGATCAAAGGATTTGGAGAACAGGCAGGGAAGGATATTGTAAGCTAGACCGTATCTGCCAGGTCTAGAAATGTATGTATATAATATCAGGTGGAGGTATATAAAATCTCCCTGGGGAAATGGATATCTAAGGAAACAAGCCTCTTTCCTCCTCCCTCTTTCTCCTCTGTCCGACTCTTGGGCCTACCTCCTTCCCCTTAAAATCCCCTTCGCGTTCCCATGGCAACAACCCATGCTCAAGGTTTCCACGGAAACCGTACCCGAGGCTGAAGAAGGCAGAGGAAACAAGCAAAATCCGAGAACTGGGGCAAAGGCAGGGGGAAGGATCCCAAAAAAGAGGGGGGGTCAGATTGCACACACCCATCCCTGGATTTCAAGCAGCCTCCTGAGCTTTATCTGCCTGCCGCGGGTCTCTTCGAAACACCCCCCAAATAAACCCCTGGGGGTGCATTGCCTCAAAAAATACTGTTTTTTGGTGAGGCCTGCTGCCTCAGCGGCTGCATCCTGCAAACAAGCAGCAATGAACAGGCGCTGTGTTAAAGTTGTGAGAAGGGGCAAAGCTCAGGTGAAGCACCTGCTTTTCAGGCAGAAGGTTCCAGGTTCGAATCCTGGCTTCTCCAGGTAGGGAATGCCCCCCTTTCTGAAAACCTGCTGCTGTTTATCAGCAGGCGGTACCGAGCTAAATGGGTCAACGGTCTGCACTACGGTACCACTTTAAACAGCCATGGCTTTCCCCCCAAAGAATTCTGGGAGCTGTAGTTTGTTAAAGGCGCTGAGAGTCATCCGGAGACCACTACTCCCCTCAGAGAGCTACAATTCCCAGAGTTCCCGATGGAGGAGGATTGATTGTTAAACCACAGTGGGAATTGTAGCTCCCAGAGGGGTGTCTCCTAACAACTGCAGCTCCCAGAAGTCTTTGGGGGGGAAGCCATCACTGTTTGACGTGGCATTGTAGCACTTTAAATATACAGTGGTGCCTCGGGTTACATACGCTTCAGGTTACATACTCCGCTAACCCAGAAATATTACCTCGGGTTAAGAACTTTGCTTCAGGGTGAGAACAGAAATCGTGCTTCGGTGGCGCGGCGGCAGCAGGAGGCCCCATTAGCTAAAGTGGTGCCTCAGGTTAAGAACAGTTTCAGGTTAAGAACAGACCTCCAGAACGAATTAAGTACTTAACCCGAGGTACCACTGTATGGTGCAAATGTGGTCCAACACCCATATCCAGGACAATTCCCATGTTTCAAATCCTTTTCTGAAGCTCTCTCTTCTCCAGGGCTCCCATTTCTGCGCCCCAAACCTAGAGCCCTTTTGTCCTCTGTGTGTGGTCAAGTGGTCAGTTTTCCTTCTCCCTGCCCCAGCCTCTGGCAGATCCCTTCTGCAATGCCAGCTCCAGGATTTGGAGGGCATTAGTGACTGCATCTCCATCTTAACTGATGTCCCCATGGCCCATGTTATACCCTTGCCCTCTGCCTCAGGACCCAATCTTCCCAAACACCCAGAGGGATGCCAAACGCAAGCAGAGAACTGGCTGGCCGACTCTGAGTAGTCGCATCAGGCAATTAAGGAGACTCTGGGGGGTGACAGCAGCCCCCCCCCCTGCAAGGGTGTAGTGGTTACCAGTGGTGACCAGTGCCCCTTGGGACTGGTATTTTTTAACCTAGGTTAACCAACCTCATGGGACACGGGTGGCGCCGTGGGTCAAACCACAGAGCCTAGGGCTTGCCGATCAGAAGGTCGGTGGTTCAAATCCCTACAACAGGGTGAGCTCCCGTTGCTCGGTCCCTGCTCCTGCCAACCTAGCAGTTCGAAAGCACGTCAAAGGGCAAGTAGATAAATAGGTACCGCTCCAGTGGGAAGGTAAACGGCGTTTCCATGTGCTGCTCTGGTTCGCCAGAAGCGGCTTAGTCATGCTGGCCACATGACCCGGAAGCTGTACGCCGGCTCCCTTGGCCAATAAAGCGAGATGAGCACCGCAACTCCAGAGTCGGTCACAACTGGACCTAATGGTCAGGGGTCCCTTTGCCTTTACCTAACCAACCTCTTGTACATGCAACTTCAGAGTGGTCTGTTAGGTGTGGGCTAGGGAAGAGGACAGATTCATAGAATCACACTGTAAGAGTCTTACTCTCTGCCGACTGAGCTAATCCTCGTTTTTAAAGCATATTTCATTTATGGAAGACACATCCACCCCATAGATTTAAATCAGGCATAGACAAACTCGGCCCTCCAGATGTTTTGAGACTACAATTCCCATCATCCCTGACCACTGGTCCTGTTAGCTAGATTTGATGGGAGTTGTAGTCCCAAAACATCAGGAGGGCTGAGTTTGCCTATACCTGATTTAAAGCATATTCAGCACACATTTGAAACCCAAGTTGTCCCCCCAAAGAACCTTGGGAAGCATAGTTTCTCTCCTCACAGAGCTACAACTCCCAGCACATTTTCAAACTACAGTACCCAGGATTCTTTGGGGGTGGCTCCGCACAAAGCGATTGTTGTAATGTGTTAATAGTGGTTGTATATATAAAAAAAGAGGTGCTGGTTATTCTGGTGGCCAAACACACAAAAATAGAAAATTCCTGCCATCATTGGCTACGACGAGTCACAATGGCCATATGTTATCTCTAGTATCAGAAAACAGCAACTGGGCAGGGTTATTGTGTTCATGTCACACCTGTGGAAAGATGTGTTAGGCCCTTAGTCTGATGCAACACAACTCTTATGCCCTTATATTTCTGTGCTTTAACATCAGATGAATTAACCTGGAATAAATACTGTCCCTCATTCTGCGCTTTCGCATACATTTAAAGCACAAGGCCTTCATCCAAAGAATTGCAGTTTGCTATCCATTCTGAAGGAAATCAGCCCTGAGTACTCACTGGAAGGACAGATCCTGAAGCTGAGGCTCCAATACTTTGGCCACCTCATGAGAAGAGAAGACTCCCTGGAAAAGACCCTGATGTTGGGAAAGATTGAGGGCACAAGGAGAAGGGGACGACAGAGGATGAGATGGTGGGACAGTGTTCTCGAAGCTATCAACATGAGCTTGACCGAACTGCAGGAGGCAGTGGAAGACAGGAGTGCCTGGCGTGCTCTGGTCCAGGGGGTCACAAATAGTCGGACATGACTAAACAACAGCAACAAAGTGTGGCTCTGTGAGGGGCAAACTACAGTTCCCGGAATTCTTTGTGGGGACAGCACCATGCACTTTAAATATGCTTTAAATGTACAGTGTGACCATCACATGTAAAGTGGATTAGAATCTTCATTCTACTGCAAAATATCCAATTACAGGATTTAACTGTCCTTTACCCAATTTATTAGCAGATGGGCTAAAGTGGGTCAATTAGTTGACATTAAAAACTCAAATATGTGCTTTGGATCAAATAACCCAGGGTATTTGGCGATTGCACCCTAAATCCCTGGCTCATTCCCTGCTCCCAGACCCTCCAGTCGCAAAGGAGATACCGCGATCCCAATGCTAACCGCCCCTAGTCCACCCACCTACCCTTTCTATGGCCTAAGAAAAAATATGTGGTGGTACCTCCAATGCAGGCAAATTTATTGCGTAGTAAGGTTTATTGAGCTAGCATGCAGTATATAGAGAGATTGGAAGGGCAGAGGGAGTAAAATGAGGCCAAACGACAACGAAGCGCAAAAAGTATATATAGTCTGTGGCAATGTTGTATATAGCTATAGAGCAAGTAAAGCGATCGTTTACAACAGCAGTTATGCTGCATTGCTGACTGTAAATACATAGAAAGAATATTTATTGTGGTTTGTAACATAGGGAACTGTAGGGTTGCCATATTTCAAAAAGTAAAAACCAGGACACCCTGAAAGTTGTTGTTGTTGTTTTTTAAGGAAACTCCCCAAATTGTTGAGCTTTTTACAGAAAAACCCAAAAGTTGCAGTAAAAACTTTTTTTTTTTTTTAACGTTTTGGAGCTTTTTAAGGCATTTTCGGCACGATTTAACCTGTTGCTGGTTTTCCAGAACATTTGCCCGATTCCCAAAAAGTAATCCAGGACACCATTTTCAGAGGCGGATTGCAGGACATGTCCTGGGAAATCAGGACGGACGGCAGCCCTAGGGAACTGCCTAATACTGAATCAGACCAAATAGTCCATCTGGCTTAGTACTGTCTACACTGACTGGCAGCTGCTCTCCAGGATTTGGAATGGGACCCTACCAGCCATACCTGGAGATGCCAGGGATGAAACAGAGACCTCCTGCATGCTCTACCATTGAGCCACAGTGATGTGTTAGGGTGAGATCTTGGTTTTATACAATACTGTCACAGAAGATGATTCAGTCCCATTTCCCTTCTTCCTGTGTGTGTATACTACATGGAAAGTATATTATACACACAAACCCACCAACTTAAGATAACGCTTTCTGCGTCCGATATTGCAGACTCTGGATCATGTTAGTATGCTAGTCTTTTAAGGTGACATGAGACTCTTTGTTGGGTTTTTTGTGTGTGCAAGAGACCAAGGGCTCATCCTCCAGACTTCCTTTGGTGTCACAGGTCCGAGCTTTAAAGCTCCATGTCTGAAAGTCTATTTTAATTTTTTGTCACAGCGCTTTCCTCAGGGTGTTTACCGCCAAATCAGAGCAAATGGCAACTGGGTTTTCTGTGGGTTTCCGTTTGCTCCGATTCAATGGTAAACCACGGGGTTTCCTGCAGAAAGTCAAGTAACCTTTATTGGCATCACATAAGAACATTCAGAATACATTTAAAATAGATAGGCCAGTGCGATCTCGTCGCCACCCCAAGGGCACAGTCACCCGCCAAAGGGCAGAAGAAGTGAGCAATCTGCCTCATCTCTGAGGGTTTCCAGCAAGGGCAGGATCCTGTAGCATACTTCAGCGACAAAAAATCAAATAGAGGGACACTCAGGCAGAGAGCTTTAAAGTCCAGACCTGTGCCTAGAAAGAGCAATGCGAAGGGAAGTCTAGATGACTCCACAGCTACCCCTCTAAAAGTTGTTTCAGTGGCATAAGGCACTTACAGACAACCTGCTTATTTCACATTTAGCCTGATTTGTTTGCAAGGAGATTAGAGGATTTTGGCTATTCCATGAGTATTCATTGTTATGTGTTTGCTGGGAGGTTAGACGATGTTGCATCAAAGCAAGTGTTATCCCACACTTTCCAGGGCATTCTCCTTTCACTTTCCTTACTGCAAAACCAAAAAAACCACAACAACAGATCTGTTGGGAAATGAGGTTTTTGTTGCGCAAGACCTCCCTATCAACTACAATTTTGCAGTGTGAATTTGTTGGTATGAGATGTGAATCCCACCCCAAAACAGTGACAGCCTGGAAGGACCCATAGTCATGCTCTCCCACACAGCAAAGAGGCAAAACAGAAAAAGCTTAGGAAGCCACTCTATAGTGAGCCAGGGCACTGGTCCATCTAGCTCACTGGTCTTCAACTAGTGGTTTGGGACACATTCATGGGTCATGGCCTGATCCAAGGTGAATTGCAACAGGAGCACTTCCACCATACAAATGTATGAGTAGGGTTTACTCCTTAGCTTTTTCTTCTCCCGAAGATATCCCACAAGCCAACAGAGGTTTAAGATCTGAGTTTTCCTTCTCCATTTGCCCCTCACTTCCCTCTATAGCATATGAAGAAACTGCTTTCTTGACCGCTGGACCTGTTTTGGCTTCCTCCACTCAATCCAACAGAACCTGTCTTCTCCTGCAGGGCAAGTCCCTAACTCACTGAAGGTTTGAGACCCATCAGCTACCCTCACCTGGTTTAGCCAGCCAGTCGAAGCTGTTCCTGGGGTGTAGCCGCTATCACATGCTGACAGCTTCCAGGAGCCACAGGTAAGAGTCCATTGCAGGGTGAGGACCAAAGGTGGACAAAGTATCCCAGAAGGAGCATGAAGTGTCCCCTACCAGGGGTACTAAAGGTAAAGGTAAAGGGACCCCTGACCATTAGGTCCAGTCGTGGCCAGCTCTGGGGTTGCGGCGCTCATCTCGCTTTACTGGCCGAGGGAGCCAGTGTACAGCTTCTGGGTCATGTGGCCAGCATGACTAAGCTGCTTCTGGCGAACCAGAGCAGCGCACAGAAACGCCGTTTACCTTCCCACTGGAGCGGTACCTATTTATCTACTTGCACTTTGACGTGCTTTCGAACTGCTAGGTTGGCAGGAGCAGGGACCGAGCAACGGGAGCTCACCCCGTGGCGGGGATTCGAACTGCTGACCTTCTGATCAGCAAGTCCTAGGCTCTGTGGTTTAACCCACAGCGCCACCCATGTCCCTACCAGGGGTACTACCCCTCCCCTAATCCCACCCCCACCAAATGTCTGGTAAAAGAGTAAGCAGTGGGACCCCAAAAGCACATTTCGGTTAAAAGTGAGTTTTGGGTCTGAAAAGGTTGAAGGCTACTGATCTGGCAGCAGCTCTGTAGGGCTTCAGACAGTGGCTGTTCCCATCCCTAGATGGAAATGTCGAGGACTGAACCTTCTACATGCAAAGCAATTGATCTGCCACTGAGCCAAGACCCTCCCCACTGATATCAGATTAGTTCTTCCAGAATAACTAGCTCCCCTAGTTATTGACACACCAGGCCTGCTCCTGGTTTTTTTATTCCACATCTGTGTATGCATTAAACGGGCGATAGAAACAGCCACCCACCTTGCTTCTATCTGCTCCACTCCAAACAGCCAAGGCTGCTGACCGTGTGCTAAACAACAAGCGACCTATTGCATGGCCTTGAGCCTGCACCCTATGAGGCAGGCCTGGCGGAGGAAGCTCCAGGGTGCAAAAGTTACAGCACCATGAAATGGATCCAAACACTTAAAAAAAAAAGCAAGCAGGCTGGCCTTTCTTGGTAGAGAACAAAGCCCCGGTTTGTCATGGGTGTGTGTGTGTGTGAAGGAAGGCATCTGGAACGTCCCCCCCCCCCCCCAAATAACCCACCATCCCAAATTCCAGCTACATCCTGGAGTAACCTCCCTATCCAGCGGCTTCTCCAAGGCGTCAAGGCAGAAGAGGGAGCTGCCTTAGCAACCATCTCGCCCCGTCCAAAGCCCATCATGGGGGAGAATCCAAATAAATCTTCTGGGGGTGGGGGGTTGGGGGGGCATTATCTGATCCCTCTTGGGCTCCCCCAGGGGGAAAAAGGCCATTGCAAATTTCCTAAATGAATGGGGGGGTCTTTTTCTTGAAGGTAGAAGGCTCCAGTGCTCGCAGAAGGGGGGTGGGAGAGAGAGGTCACATTTGAGAGCGCGCAGCAGTGCCCCGCCAGCGCTACCGCAGCAAGCGCATCAGAAGCGAGCGCGCAGGGGCTTTGGGGAGGAAGGAAGCGGGGATGGGCGCAAGGGAGCCCCGGGAGGCCTGCGCCGCGTGGGGCCCCGAGTGGGGCGGCCCGGCTCGGTTCTGCAAGCGCCGATAAAAGGCAGAGCACCTCCTTCTTCCCGCCCCCACCCACCCCAAATCTCCCCAGATGCGCACTCACCTCCTTGGTGCTGATGTTCCCTTTCACGTACTTGCCCCAGCAGGTCTGGGGCGCCTGGAGCAGGAGCAGCAGGAGGAGGTGGAAGGAGACGGCGAGGAGCCTCGCAGCCCCGGGCAGCTCCATCCTCAACCCCATGGCCGGCTCCAGCAGCCGGGCTCGGCTCCCTGCGCGCTCCCGCTTAAAGAGACACGAGCTCAACGCCTCCCCCTAACCCCTCCAAAAAATGCACACCCCACAACGCAGCAGCCACCTTCTTCTTCTTCCTGCACTCCCAAATCCTGTGCATCGGGGCTCCTTGCAAGAGATGGAGGCGCTGTGCAGAGAATGGATTAAAAAAAAATTTCACAAAAACCACACCGCTATTTATTTTTGGCCGCGTGTGTGTGTGTGTGTGTGTGTGTGTGTGTGTTGGTGTTATGAAGACGCACGACTTCCTGCGACCAATTTCGTCTGCACGAAGAGAAATATCACAGGACTCGAGCAGACTGGGCGGTGCCGTCACGGATCTGTTGGGGTGAAAAGCTCGCAGAAACCGGCTTGGAGGCGTCCTCCGCGTCCTCACGTTTCCCCAGTAGGTTCTCAGTTTTTAAGACTGCGTATGTATGCTACTCGGGGCAGGGACCTGTCAGTTCCCAGACTGCCTTGTTTTGTAACGTTCCAAGCACCGGAGATGCCAATATAAAATATTGGGGGGACGGGGGACCCAGGTAAGCCCTGCCCCGCATAATCAATCACAATCTGTGTCACGCACACACCATTTGAATGGCAATGTCCCCTCAATTCGCATGTTATGTATTTTAGGAGGGTGTCAAAGGGACCTCGGGCCCCTAGGAGTTGGGCCCCTAGGAGATGTTTTTTTGTTTGTTTATATGTGTCAAGTTTGCTACCTGCACCCTTTCATTGAAAAGAGAGAGAGAGAGATGCTGGAGGGGCTCAGAAAATATTTTTAAATGACCCCCCCACACACACACACATTCCTGCAAAGGGCCCTTGAGTGTTGTACACGGAGTAGCCTTTGATTTCACAGGAGGCATTGTAGCAGAATGATTTCCATCACTGATGGCCACAGGCCAAGGTAGAAATAAACACAGGAACCAGCAAATAAGTTTCATTGATAACATAGATCTCTCTCTCTCCTTCCACTTTACCTGCAGCTCTTACTATTCTGTCACACCCTAGATTAGAGAAAGGGTGCAGATTTTTTCCCCAGGCTGTGGGCTGCATTTACTTCTGGGGAACATCCACTGCCATCCAAGTTTCCGAGCACAATTCAAAATGTTGACCTTTAAAGCCCTAAACGACCTCGGTCCAGTATACCTGAAGCAGCGTCTCCACCCCCATCGTTCAGCCCGGATGCTGAGGTCCAGCCCCGAGGGCCTTCTGGCGGTTCCCTCGCTGCGAGAAGCCAAGTTACAGGGAACCAGGCAGAGGGCCTTCTCGGTAGTGGCACCCGCCCTGTGGAACGCCCTCCCACCAGATGTCAAAGAGAAAAATAACTACCAAACTTTTAGAAGACATCTGAAGGCAGACCTGTTTAGGGAAGCTTTTAATGTTTAATAGGTTATTGCATTTTAGTGTTTTTTTGGAAGCCGCCCAGAGTGGCTGGGGAAAACCAGCTAGATGGGCGGGGTATAAATAATAAATTATTATTATTATTATTCTGCTCTAGCTGAGATTCTTGCATCGCAGGGGGTTGGACTAGATGACCCATGGGGTCCCTTCCAACTCTACGATTCTATGATTCTATGAACCTTCCAAGGGCCATAAGCTGTTGGTGGGCGGAGCCAGAGGCAGAACTGGGGAGAGCAACACGAATAACTTTCTTCCTATGTGCAGTAGGCTCATTTCCACACACATGCAAACACCTCTCTTTCTACCCTTTATCCAAACAAGCAAAAGGCATGATCAGAGTTCGACACATTCCAGCAGGACCAAAAAAACCCTCAGGATGAAGCATAAGTTCTTCCATACCATAAATTACCTCTTTAGTGGGTGAAACGAAGAGTGTGGGTTCACTTCCCCCCCACCCAATGGTTCTAATATGCTAACCCAGGGGTCAGCAAACTTTTTCAGCAGGAGGCCGGTCCACTGTCCCTCAGACCTTGTGGCTGGACTATATTTTTTTTTGAGGGGGGGAAATGAACTAATTCCTATGCCACTCAAATAACCCAGAGAAGCATTTTAAATAAAAGCACACATTCTACTCATGTAAAAACACCAGGCAGGCCCCACAAATAACCCAGAGGTGCATTTTAAATAAAAGGATACATTCTACTCATGTAAAAACACACTGATTCCCAGACCGTCCTCAGGCCGGATTTAGAAGGCAATTGGGCTGGATCTGGCCCCCGGGCCTTAGTTTGCCTACCCATGTGCTAACCGTAACAGAGGAAATATGAAAGAGGAATTTGCTTTTTAAGAGTAAGCATTTATTAAACTGTAGGTACATTTTCTTCAATACCTCAAAACGGTATCTATATCTACGTTGACTACCGCATTTTTCGCTCTATGACACGCACCCGACCATAACACGCATGTAGTTTTTAGAGGAGGAAAATCCATAGGCATGCCACCCATAGGCATTCCCTCCATAACACGCACAGACATTTCCCCTTACTTTCTAGGAGGAAAAAAGTGAGTGTTATGGTGCAAAAAATACGGTAAATGCTTTGAAATGTAACCAGCTCACCCGTTGGTTAAAATGCCAGTGGTTAATTCCTTCGTCGGTTGACAGTCCTCAGATCTCACCTGCGTGAGCATTTTGCTATGCAGATTTTTAAAAAATGAAAACAAGTTTATCTGTCAATCCTTTTTTTTCTGTTGTCAAGAATACAGTGGTTCCCAGCTGTTCTCTTTGACTCTGGTAACTAGCGTCAGTGCATATCCCTGGATATGCTGGGCTTGACAATTCTTAATATAAAACAGTTCTGGGGCCAAGCAAATGGTTTGAAACAACCTGATGGTCCCACCTGAACGATTTAACTAATGCACAAAAGAACAGCTGTGCTTGGCACAACAAATATAGAAGTAAGAACATAAGGAGAGATGCTGGGATCAGGCTAGCGGTTCATCAGATCCAGCATCTTGTTCTCCCAGTGGCCACCCAGATGCCTGCAGGAATAATAATAATAATAATAATAATAATAATAATAATAATTTATTTGTACCCCACCCATCTGGCTGGGTTTCCCCAGCCACTCTGGGCGGCTTCCAACAAAGATTAAAAATACATTAAAATGTCACACATTAAAAACTTCCCTGAACAGAGCTGCTTTCAGATGTCTTCTAAATGTCAGGTAGTTGTTTATCTCTGTGACATCTGATGGGAGGGTGTTCCACAGGGTGGGTGCCACTACCAAGAAGGCCCTCTGCCTGGTTCCCTGTAGCTTTGCTTCTCGCAGTGAGGGAACCGCCAGAAGGCCCTCGGCGCTGGACCTCAGCGTCTGGGCAGAACGATGGGGGTGGAGACGCTCCTTCGGGTATACTGGGCCAAGGCCGTTTAGGGTTTGAAAGGTCAACACCAACACTTTGAATTGTGCTCGGAAATGTACAGGCAGGAAGCCCACGAACAGGACCTGATCGCAACAGCACTTTCCTGTCCTGTGGCTCCCACCAACTGGCATTCCGAAGCAGCATTGCCTCTGCTTGCGGATGTGCAGAGAAGCGTTTGAAAGGTTCTGTGGCCGAAGCAATCAGGAGAAGCTAGAACGGCCCAGACACTTTGCTCAAGCCACTTGGCAAATCCACACCGTGATCATCTCCCTCCCAGAAACCAATGTCCCCACTGTGGAAGGACGTGTGGATCCAGAACTGGCCTCCACAGTCACTGACAGACTCATTGTTAAAACCGTGTTTATGGAAGACAATCTTACTCAGTTACGAGGGATGGCCAAAGAAGAAGAAGAAGAATATTGTGTTTTGATGTTGCAGCCCAGCTTAGGTGGGCAATTAACAACAATAACAACAACACAGTAGTTCTTCATTCCAAGAAAAACAAAACCTGGATAAGTGCTGGCACTCCTGGAATCTCTTGCCACCCAGAGATTGCAATGCATGCAACAATGTAACCATTCTACCATTATTATTATTATTATTATTATTATTATTATTATTATTACTTACAGGTAGGTAGCCGTGTTGATCTGCCGTAGTCGAAACAAAACAAAATAAAATAAATAAAATTAAAAAATTCCTTCCAGTAGCACCTTAGAGACCAACAAAGTTAGTTATTGGTATGAGCTTTTGTGTGCGTGCACACAAAAGCAAATACCAATTATTATTATTATTATTATTATTATTATTATTATTGCATTAAAATGGTTGTTGCTATTCACATGGGCGTTATGAAAACTAGTCCTGGAAGAATCTGCCTTCTGACAACTGTTCAGGAATCAAAAATAGCACCTGGACAGCACTTTCTCTGGTCTGCTGGCAACCTTAGCCCACATGAAAGCCCACTCACCCATGCGCACATACCACATCACTTTCCAAAACTCGCCACATCCTCGAATCGTCACATTCTCATATCAGCTGATGGAGTCTCAGGAAACCCAGAGTTATCCACTTCCCCAGCTCACTAAGAAGAGTGGATTCCCCGCCCCCAATCTGATGATGTAATTTATTTTTCTTATTTCATAAAATTTATAGGCCGCTTGATTGTAGAGGAAACCTCAGCCATAGCTAGCTGAACCTCTTGCACCCACTTAGCTGTTGACGCATGAGAGAAAGCAGCACACCGTGACCTACGAGAAAGGGTCCCATGAATTGTTTTTACGGAGGATTCAGAGGCAGGTGTCGACAGCTTGATATGCGGAGCACACTGTGTGTTGTACCGCCATCTTTTTTAAAAAAACGGCAAAGTTATTGGGAAATCAATGTGCATCCTAAGCAAACGATTTTTCTTTTCTATTACTGTGCATTTGCAGGACCAAAAGCGATTAATAAATGGCAGTGGCAGGAGCTTGCAGGGTTGGCGTAAGGGCAACGGGGTTATTGCAAGGCTCCCTCCTCGCAGGGGCGTTTCTCAAGATGAAGCCAGAGCTTTTCAGTAGCATTAAGAGCATTTGTGCTGCTGTTCATTGATCATGGAAGAGGGACCAGGAGGGAAATGAGTGCACAATGCTTGCCTATTGACGTCAAACAGACACCTTCGCTGTATTCCTTCTAAAGCCATTTTTGTTTAGGCTAGCGCAACCAGATATATAAAATGTTGCCGTGTGCTTCAATCTCCTCTTTAGCTTATTGTCAATTTTAGCAATTTTTAAATGTTTTAAATAGTTGTTGTTTTTAACTGATAACTTAATCATTTTAATCTTTTTGCCACCACTTGGAGGGTCGTTTTGTCACAATCAACCAATATATTGATTTATGAAATCAGTCACTGCATACATAAGAAATCTTAACCTGTTTTAGTATTTGAACTTTTGTGTGTTTTAAAGTAGGGTTGTGATTTTTCTTTTCTTGATTCTATTTACAGTGGTACCTCGGGTTAAGTACTTAATTCGTTCCGGAGGTCCGTACTTAACCTGAAACTGTTCCTAACCTGAAGCACCACTTTAGCTAATGGGGCCTCCTGCTGCCGCGCCGCCGGAGCACGATTTCTGTTCTCATCCTGAAGCAAAGTTCTTAACCTGAAGCATGATTTCTGGGTTAACGGAGTCTGTAACCTGAAGTGTATGTAACCTGAAGCGTATGTAACCCGAGGTACCACTGTATTGTCTTTATCTTTCTGAAAACTGCTTGAGGTTTGTTTGTTTGTTTGTTTGTTTTACAAGGAGAAAGGGACGCCAGAGGACGAGATGGCTGGATAGTGTTCTCGAAGCTACCAGCATGAGTTTGACCAAACTGCGGGAAGCAGTGGAAGACAGGAGTGGCTGGCGTGCTCTGGTCCATGGGGTCACGAAGAGTTGGACACGACTAAAAAACATGTATAAATTTTGTGAAATAAATAAAAATAAATGTGTAACAGGTACAAAAACAGGAGCGCCTTAAAGCTATTCACAAGGATGCAACAAAACATCACCTGCCCACGGATGAAGGTGAAGAAGAGGAAGTACAAGCCAAAAATATATTTTAATATGGTTTGGGCAGTTTGTTTTAAGTATGGAAAATGAGCTCACCCTAGCCTTATATAACCTGCGTCCCTGCTGTCCCTGGCATTGCCTGTAATAAACACACACACACACACACACACACACACACGTCTGATTGCCTCCCCCTCCTGTTTCCCAAACTGCACATTAGCACCTTTCCAGCTGTTCTGCATTTTGTGTCCAACAGCACACTAAAATAAAAACCTTGTCGGAGAGAGATGAAGGTGGCAGACTGTGCCACTGATGCTCGCAGCGGGCATGCTTAATTTGTTAATGCTTGCTACCATGCCGAGACAAACAAGCTTTGCAGGCGTATCTGCGATGCCTCAGAACCCTGTTCAATGTTCACATCTACTCAGAAGAAAGTTCCCTTGAGCTCCTTGGAACTCTGATAATCTCCTTGAACTCGGATAATGCTTCTTGTTCGCCTGGATGGAGAGTATAGAAATATAAACATGGAATGTATGCAGTACAGTGCCAGATTTACCTAGTATAAGCTAAACATGCTATAGCTTAGGACCCCACTTTCTTGCCCCCCCAATGTAAAGGGGGGACGACTGGATGTACAATTCCAAAATCTAAGATAAAAAAACAAATAAAATAGAATGTATATACAGTACCAGTGTTTTGTGTTGTGTAGGCTCCTATGGTGTAAATAATGGGCCCCGCCTGCTAGCCTTCTCCCTAAAATATCACTGGTTTGCTCATTTCTATATATAGGGTGCCTACATTCTGCATGGACTAGTTGCATGGCAACATGTGCAAATGGGACGCGGGTGGCACTGTGGGTTAAACCACAGAACCTAGGACTTGCCGATCAGAAGGTCGGCAGTTTGAATCCCCGAGACGGGGTGAGCTCCCGTTGCTCTGTCCCTGCTCCTGCCAACCTAGCAGTTCGAAAGCACATCAAAGTGCAAGTAGATAAATAGGTACCGCTGCGACGGGGAGGTAAACGGCGTTCCATGCGCTGCTCTGGTTCACCAGAAGCAGCTTAGTCATGCTGGCCACATAACCCGGAAGCTGTACACCAGCTCACTCGGCCAATAAAGCGAGATGAGCGCCACAACCCCAGAGTTGTCCGCGAATGGACGTAATGGTCAGGGGTCCCTTTACCATTACCTTTATATTCTGCATGGACTGGTTGCATGGCAACATGTGCAAATGGCTTTAGATACCTATTAGGTCCTTAAATTACTATATAGCATCTATTCAACACCAAAAACAGCAACAATTTGTTGTTGACAAAGGACAGCTGGACATATAAAGGGCCCCATTACCTTCAGTAGCTGAGGGCCTCATCAAACCTAAACCCAGCCCTGATGAAGTGCCACATTTAGGGGAGCATGACAGGTTTGCCTGCCCTGCGTGCTGAGCCAAAAAGGCACTGCAGGGGTCACCACAACAATGATGTAGTTCAGAAGGTGAGAGGCGGGCGGAGGGGGTACCACACAGGGCACTGCTGAAATTTGAAAGCCCCAATTCCGCCACTGATATATGGGCATTGCTCCACACCTTTGACTTTAGCCTCTGACCCCACCTACCCACAACTAGAAAGGAAGGCAGTAAAAGATTCCCCTCTCCTGCCCCAACACAACAAATCCATTTTAAAAAAAGGAGTGTCACTTTTGCAGTTAGAAAGGAGATGGGGAAATGCGTTGGGAAGTGCAGAATAAGCCAATGATTTGTGGGAAGACCTAAAAACACCCTCAAGCAAATCAGGATTTATGCACCCTTGTTGCATAAACACCCCGCAAAGAAATCGGGACAAAGGCCAAGTAGAGACTGGATTTAATCTAACCTCTGCGTAAGCAAATCAGGATGAATGATCAACGCAGGACATCTGGAGGAGCTGCGGGATTGCAGTGAAATAAATGAACCCAAAGCACTTGTGCACTTGTGAATACTGAATCTGTGCTGTAAACTATAATGGTTATGCTATGCTGAATAATCAAAATGTAAAGCATGTTTTAAAATGAGTCATATGATCACTCTCACTGGCCAGCTGCAGTAGTCAGGGGCATGGAATTGTTTCCTCTTGAGTAAAAGCACAACCACTATAACAAGAAAGAGTGTTGAATGTGGCCAAAATATTCAATTTATTATCATTTTTTAAATGAAAAAGCATATATTCTTTCTCTCACAAATTATGGCGTGTAATTGTATTGTTCTGAGAAGAGTGGAACGAGAAAGGTGCTATTTCAGGGCTGGAAGAGGCAAGAGCTAAGAGAATGGGAGAGCAGGAAAACCTGGTCTTGGGAGATCTTAAACCCATCCCACTTGTAGAAGCAATGGATTTTAAGAAGAGTTGTGATAATAGTTCACGAAAACCAGATTTCAGTTGTGCTACCTTACCACTGAGGGACGCGGGTGGCGCTGTGGGTTAAACCACAGAGCCTAGGACTAGCCAATCAGAAGGTCGGCGGTTCGGTCCCTGCTCCTGCCAACCTAGCAGTTCGAAAGCACGTCGAAGTGCAAGTAGATAAATAGGTACTGCTCCAGCGGGAAGGTAAACAGCGTTTCCGTACGCTGCTCTGGTTCGCCAGAAGCGCCTTAGTCATGCTGGCCACATGACCCGGAAGCTGTACCCCGGCTTCCTCGGCCAGTAAAGCGAGATGAGAGCTGCAACCCCAGAGTCGGCCACGACTGGACCTAATGGTCAGGGGTCCCTTTACCTTTTTACCTTACCGCTAGGAACGAGTGGATCTGTTTGTTTCAGTTTTTCATTTTTCCAATCTTAAGTTCAGGAAGGAAGGGAGATAGACTTGATTTCTGGTTGTATTCCTCGTTTTTTCAAGCTTCTAATCCCTAAGTATGTGGGGATATAGGGTTGGTGAAAGCACTCTTTAACCGATCAGCTTGGGAACACTTTTTTATTGCTCTGCTTGCAGGAGAAGTCAGGTGACAACTGCCAAGAACCCCAGCTGGCATGGCAATGGAATATCCCTATTTTCAAGTAGAATATTGTCCCGATCCACTGCTGTGCCCTGCTCCCTTGCCACCCTGGCCCAGGTGCCCTCTTTTGTCACCTTCCTCCAGTCACCCGTCACCGTAAAAGGAGAACACAATGTTTCCATCTGTCAGAAACAAAACTGAAAGACGACAGTCCAGCTCACTTCCCCCTTAAATTTAAATCATGCAACACCCAACTCTCTCAAACAAGTTAGAAAGAAAGACAGCAACTCATACTAGATCAGTGACTGTCTGAAAGCAGAACTAGCTGCACCGGTGCCAAGGAGAACATGAAGATCTAAATAGCTGGCGGAATCAGGTAGGAACTTCCCAAGTCTTGCTTGTGTTGTGTGTATTTATAGGATCCTATAAATATTCCTGGGAATAATTTCCCACCGTGCAATTTAAAAATTGTAGGCAGTATGTAATGGGATTTTTACGTCACATTTTGCTCACTGTGGTTGGAGTGAGAGAAATGAGCCACTGTTGCAATCTAACCCCAGCCAGCATCAACTTTATAGGCTTTCATATAGGAGGGGGCCACATAGCTCTGGAGTAAGTAGGTCAGGGGAGATAAATTCAATTTGGTTTTCATTTGGAGGGAAATGAGGTTAGCAACCCTAAGAGCATTGGTCTAATGTGGAAGGAAGATCAAAGGGTCAGCACAAAAAGGACAGTCTAGGAAGACTGGAGGTTCCTCTCTATCTGCCCTTTCCATGCAGGTACTGTGGTAAAGGTAAAGGGACCCCTGACCATTAGGTCCAGTCGTGGCCGACTCTGGGGTTGCGGCTCTCATCTCGCTTTATTGGCTGAGGGAGCCGGCATACATGGCCAGCATGACTTCTGGTGAACCACAGCAGCGCACTTAAACACCATTTACCTTCCCACCGGAGTGGTACCTATTTATCTACTTGCACTTTGACGTGCTTTTGAACTGCTAGATTGGCAGGAGCAGGGACCGAGCAATGGGAGCTCACCCCATCGCGGGGATTTGAACCGCCGACCTTCTGATCGGCAAGTCCTAGGCTCTGTGGTTTAACCCACAGCGCCGTACCTTGGTACTAAAACAGCTTGGCTCCCTATGCCACTCACCTGGAAGTGAGTGTTCCGGTTTGCAAACGTTTTTCGGAAGCCGAACATCCGACGCGGCTTCTGTGGCTTCCGATTGAGTGCAGGAAGCTCCTGCAGCCAATCGGAAGCTGTGCCTTGGTGGTTTTCAAACTGTTTCGGGAGTTGAACTGACCCCTGAAATGGATTAAGTTTGAGAACCAAGGTACCACTGTATGTCAATCTGCAGGGGCAGATGAGTTGCATCCCGTTGATTCCAACTCTGTATACTAGGTGTGCATGCAGACTATTCCCTTTAAAAGGTGGAGGTGACTGCATTGCCACAATTATTTTGAGATACTAAAATGTATCAACAACCACAACAAATTGTCTTAAAATAGATGAAGAGGACTACTACTCAAAATGTACACCATGCATTTAAAGCCCAGCAAAGTTAAATGGGACTTACTCCCAGGTAGGGATAGAACAGAAATTCAATTCAGTTTATATTTAAAGGCAAACCTAGCTAATGTGCACTTTCTGGAAAAAAATATGTGAACCAAAGCACAACCGCACTTCTAAATTTGCACTTCTCCGAATTTTGCAATGAAGTTCTCTGTCCAGCTAACGCGTATCAAAATGCATACACGAAGGTAAATTGTGCATTTTAAATGGTGCATTAAAAATTGTGCATATATTAGTGAAAATAACGTCAAAACCCATGATATCAGGGGGAGTCACTTAGCAAAGAATGTGTATATTAGGCAACATTTCATATAAACGTGTGTGCCAGGAGAAATTCGCTGATGAATGTTTGTGAGCACTTAAAAAAAGAAAAAAATTGGAGAATTGAAACCGACAGGAACTATAATTGACAGATTTGCCTATCCCTGGTGGTAGGATACAAGATTTGCATGCAGGAAGTCTTAAGAATATTTTTTTAAAACCCCCCAAATCCACAATAAGACAATGCCTTCATTAGAACCAAACCAAAATGCCACAAAATAGTGGCAGGATTTCAGGGCCTTCCCAAAGCTGGCTAAGCGAGTTGCCGTGTTTTGGGAAGGAGGCGTGGAAAGGAGGTGGAAAGATTCTAGAATCCTGTCAGAGGCCTCATAGTAAAGTAAAGGTAAAGGGGCCCCTGACCATTAGGTCCAGTCGTGACCGACTCTGGGGCTGCAGCGCTCATCTCTCTCTATAGGCCAAGGGAGCCGGCGTACAGCTTCCGCGTCAAGTGGCCAGCATGACTAAGCCTCTTCTGGCGAACCAGAGCAGCGCACGGAAACGCCGTTTACCTTCCCGCCAGAGCCGTACCTATTTATCTGCTTGGACTTCGTGCTTTCGAACTGCTAGGTGGGCAGGAGCAGGGACCGAGCAACGGGAGCTCACCCCGTCACGGGGATTCGAACCGCCGACCATCTGATCGGCAAGTCCTAGGCTCTGTGGTTTAACCCACAGCGCCACCCGCGTCCCTTTGTCAGAGGCCTCATACCTTCTTTCCAAAGCCTAGTGGCTTGCTTACCCAGCTTTGGGAAGGCAGCCTGAGGCCTGCGATAGGTGGGTGGGTGTGTCAAACGTCGCTGAGGGCCGCCGAAAAAGGCCTCAGGGTTGGGTCGCACATTGGACCCCCCTGTCATAGTAGCTCCCAGCACCCTTACCAAACAACAGCTCCCAGAAAATGTGAGGGGGGGCATTCGCTGCTCCCCACTGTACAGTTGCTGCTGGTCAGGGTAGATTCCGTGCTAGATGGACCAATAAATAACCTAATTCAGTTTTAAGGCAATTTCATATAATGGAACTGGGCAGTGCTTTTTTCCTGGGGAGATGCAGGGGTACGCATACCCCTAAACATTTTGTGAATCTAAATTTGGCCTCCTTGAGGGGCAGTATTTCAATATGAGTAGGAAAATGAGAGTACCCCCTAAACATATTTTTTTTAGAAAAAACGCACTGGAACTGGGAGGGATCGAGTCCTAAGCGCAACCCCTTATGGCAGGGGTCAGCAAACTTTTGCAGTCCCTCAGACCTTGTGGGGGGCCAGACTATATTTTGAAGGAAAAATGAACGAATTCCTATGCCCCACAAATAACGCAGAGATGCATTTTAAATAAAAGGACACATTCTGCTCATGTAAAAACACCAGGCAGGCCCCACAAATAACCCAGAGATGCACTTTAAATAAAAGGACACTTTCTACTCGTGTAAAAACACGCTGATTCCTGGACCATCCGTGGGCCGGATTTAGAAGGCGATTGGGCCGGATCCAGCCCCCGGGCCTTAGTTTGCCTACCCATGCCTGATGGCATTTGTTTTACGCCACAGAGCAACTTACTTGGTTATGCTAATTGTGGTGCTTAACTTGCCAGACAAATGCACTATCCAGACAAATGAGCTGGTTTGGCTAGCTTGCTTTCATACATTCTACGTGGTCCCCCTGCCCCAGATCACAGGTCTGGAAGGTGCATGGGGTTCCGTTCAGACTGACCCTCCCCCAGTATAACACATGTTGACTTACCCTATCGTTTTTATAAAGCATTGTTGCAATGCTTGCTTATAAAGTTTTTTGGGGGGGAACTTAATACAGAGTTGAAATAAAAGATAAAAATGCATCACCTGTGCTTCCTCCGACTGTATGGTGCTACCTTCCCAACAGAGTAGTGGTGGTGTCTGAAAAAGTGCACAAAGATCAGGGATCTTCCTATTCTAAAATAAAGCTGAGAAGAGAAATATGCAGGGCTTTCCCCCCCAGCCGGAACTCACTGGAACTCAATTCTGACACCTCTCAGGTGGGCGCCATTGCCATTACAAGAGAACAAGGGAGGCATTCATAGTGAGTTCTGGCACCTCTTTTTCATGAAAAATAGCACCACTGTTGTTGCTGCGCCAGACCTCGCTGCTTCTCACTTCCTCCTCAGGCAAAAAACACAGTTCTAATAGGTCCGGATGGTGTGGGGGAGAGGAATGGAGGGGCCTCTTTTCACTTAAAAGGTTCTGCTTTTCCCAGCTTAGCAGCTGCAGAGCACCCCAAAGCTCTAATTGTGCACTGGTGACATTCTCCGATCACGCCGCCTCTTCCTTCCTTCTTTCCTTCTTGGGGCTGGAGAATGAGCTGTGGTTGGTGGCAGAAGCAAAAGAATAGAAGTCCATTAAAAAGTCAGGGGCGAGGAGCACCAACCTGTCATCCCCCCCATGCAAATAAATGCCAATGTATATGGGTTAAACCACAGAGCCTAGGGCTTGCTGATCAGAAGGTCGACGGTTCGAATCCCCGCGATGGGGTGAGCTCCCGTTGCTCGGTCCCTGCTCCTGCCAACCTAGCAGTTCGAAAGCACATCACGGTGCAAGTAGATAAATAGGTACCACTCCGGTGGGAAGGTAAACGGCGTTTCCGTGCGCTGCTCTGGTTCGCCAGAAGCAGCTTAGTCATGCTGGCCACATGACCTGGAAGCTGGACACCAGCTCCCTCGGCCAGTAAAGCGAGATGAGCGCCGCAACCCCAGAGTCGGCCATGACTGGACCTAATGGTCAGGGGTCCCTTTACCTTTATATAGCAAAAGTCACCCCAAAATTTTTTTGGGGGGGTGTTCCAGTGGCTCCAGGGGTGGTCCGTGCCTTAGGCGAGGCGAAGGCATTTGAATGAAAACTAGAATTAAACACACACAACGTAGAAATTTGGGTTGTTTCATTCTCATTTTCTGGGGAAGCAATGTTGTTGGGTGGGTTAGTAACATTTTAAAATAAAAAATTGTTTTATTTAGATATATCAGGGTACTGTCGTCAAGGTTTTATATCCTCACTCAAAGCTGAAAGGTTAATAAGAATTCCAAATAGTAGCATATTTCACAAGAGGCAATTTAACACAATTGCCATCATTAATATATAAAATCAGAGTGTTTGTTGTGGGGGAGGAAGGGAAAGGAGATTGTTAGCCGCTTTGAGACTCCTTAGGGTAGTGATAAAGCGCGATATCAAATCCAAACTCTAAACTCCAAACTCTAAATAAAATTTTGCCACATTGTTGACAATTTTTTGATTGTCGTTTAGTAATACCTTAATTTCTTAGTTACTTTTTCAGCAGTAACTATCTACCAACTTGACTATACCATAAATCTTTCTTTCATTCCTCTAAATATTTTCATTTTGCTGCGATAAGCATCCTGGCACCTAACAATAAATATAGAATAAATATACCAAATCAATTTTCATCTAAACCATCTTCATTCAGCCCATCCCATATCCTCAGTAATGCTAGAAACGTAAATTGAATGAAAAAGGACTACGGTATTTGAAATGAGGCATGACATTTTTTCCTTCTCCTCATCTTAGATAAATCTTGACAGGACACATGCGTACATCATCTAAAAAGAAAGAAAGCATGTCTTGCTTCTGAACCATGGTACTGTTTTTACTCAAATGGAGATTTAATTGATAGATTAAGGAATGAATCAACTACAACTCATACAACAAATTCCAACAATGAATCGCCTAAGACTCCTTTAATCAGATGACAGCCCTATGCAGTAAAAGGTGCTGGGGCTTGATTGGTGCATTTTATGCAGAGCTCCTGGGATGTCTTTGTCCATTGTCAGGACTTGCTAAAAGCTTCCCTCTTTCAGCAAACATCCTAAATTGAGATGTTTATCCCAGTTGGGACCTGCCTTGGATTTGTATTGGTTTTATGTATGGGTTGTTCTTCTTTTGAATTGTTTGTGTGTGTATATAAAATATTGTCATAAACACTTATTCTATTTTTATATACGTCACTGCCTATTAAATTATAATCACCTTAGGATGCCTTGTCGAAAAACATCCATAAATGGAATAATAATAATAATAATAATAATAATAATAAATTTTTATACCCCGCCCTCCCTCCCTCCCTGGCCAGAGCCGGGCTCAGGGCAGCTAACACCAATAAAATCACGGTAAAAACATAATAGGGGAAAAAGAAAAGGACCAATTTAAAATACAGGTTAAAATGTAATTTAAAATGCAGCCTCATTTTAAAAGTAGCCGATGAATCAAGACCAAAAGGGGAGGGAAACATAAGGGTCAGAATGAGTCCAAACCAAAGGCCAGGTGGAACAGCTCTGTCTTGCTGACCCTGCGGAAAGATGTCAAATACCGTATTTTTTGCTCTATAAGACACACTTTTTCCTTCCTAAAAAGTAAGGGGAAATGTGTGTGCGTCTTATGGAGCGAATGCAGGCTATGCAGCTATTTCAGAAGCCAGAACAGCAAGAGGCATCGCTGCTTTCACTGCACTGCAATCCCTCTTGCTGTTCTGGCTTCTGGGATTCAAAATATTTTTTTTCTTGTTTTCCTCCTCTAAAAACTAGGTGCTTCTTATGGTCTGCTGCGTCTTATGGAGCGAAAAATACGGTAATACTCCTAACTTTCAAACTCTCACATTGTCTTTCACAGAAGTTCAAAGAAGTCTCACAGTTAATGTTCTTTGGTTCCAGGTTTTTCTGGTGACCCAAGGCTGAGCATCCCAAATCAGAGATGGGCCGAATGAGTCTCCTGCTTCCTTTCCTGGCTTTCATTCTACTTCACACCCAATGGGCAGCTGCTTACGGTTTCAGGAACTGCTACCATTCCGAGTGGGATCCAGGTTATTTCAAGTGCATGCAGCGCTTCCTGAAAGATATCTCCAGTGCCGTGAAGGACCTTCCCAACAATGCCACAGTGGTCAATGCATCCCATAATTTCATTCGGTTCTTGCCTTACGGGAGCTTCCAACACCTCCCAAAGCTGAAGGTCCTGCAACTGAGCTTCAACAAAATGGAAGTGATAGAAGGCGGGGCCTTCGAGAACCTGACAGACTTGAAGACCCTCAACCTTTCCTGCAACAGCCTTGTGAATCTATCCAAAGATGTCTTCCTGGGTTTGCCAAACCTCACCTCCCTCATCTTGCACCATAACCAATTGAGCAAAATCCAAGAGGATACATTTAGTCCATTTCAGAACCTCCTGGCGCTGCAGCTCCATTTCAACAAGTTGGAGAACTTTGAAGAAGTAGTTCTGAGCTTAGTGAGACTGACAAGCCTGAAGGTGCTGAATCTGTGTAACAATAACCTGACCTCCCTGGAGTCTGAACCAAGACTGCCCACTTCCTTGTCTACTCTCCTGCTATGTAACAATTCCCTGCATAGGGTGGACGTTAAGGAACCAGAGTTCCTGAGAAATGTAAAAAAACTGGACCTTTCTTACAACAGGATCTCCGATGCATCTTCTTTTGCCACGGTCCACCTCCGAAACCTCAGCAGCCTGGAGCTGATGGGGAATGGCCTAGACATTTTCCGGCTCTTAAAAGTTTCTGACTTGCGGCCTTGGACCCTAAATTACTCTGGGTTGCATTTAAGTCAATCCTATCAGCTGCCCAAGTTGTGTGAGCATCTCAATGCATCCAATCATTCCTTGTCTCTCCATCTTCAGAGCAACAACATCAGGAATGTGAATAGCGGCACCTTTGGGGCATGCCCTCCCATCCTGCTGCTGGACCTTTCAAGGAACCGTCTCAGGTCACTGGGATGTGTAAGGGAGAAGATGGGTTGGGTGGTACAAAACCAGCTGAAGACTTTGATTGTGGAACACAACTTGCTGGACAAATTAAAGTCCTGCTCTAAGACCGCTCCCTTAAATGAGCTGACAACCATCTCTTTCCGCTTCAATCGTATCCTTTCGGTATCTGCTCAGGCATTCTGCTATGCCCCTAATCTGGAGACGCTCCACCTCAACATCAACAGCATTGCCGTCCTGGACAGAAATGCCTTGAAAGGATTGCAACACCTCAGGGAGCTGCGCTTGGATAACAACCTTCTAACAGATCTCTACGTAACTAGTTTTGACGACTTGAAGAGCCTCAAGACCCTCAATCTCCGAAACAACCATGTTTCTGTCCTCTTCCCCGGTGTCTTCAAGAATCTTGGGAGCCTTTATATTTTAGACCTCGGGGGGAACAACATCCGTAGATTGACCAACACATCGTTTGAGGGACTGAGGAATCTCTCTAATCTCTATCTGGACGGCAATCATATTGAATACATTAGTCACTGGTTTTTTAAACCCGTGCAGAGCACTCTCCAGGTTCTGGACCTGAAAGCCAACAAGATAAACTACATCAGCATGAAGCAACACAGCCAGCCTCCCTTCTTGAACCTGCACAAACTCTATGACCTCAAGCTCCAAGGACAGCAACCTTATGGCTTGAAAATCATCCCTGCCAAGTTCTTCCAGGGCCTGAGGTCCTTGCGCTATCTCTACCTGTCAGAAAACAAAATCCTCTCCATTGCACCTGATGTCTTTGATGACCTAGGGCAGCTGAGGTATCTAAGCCTGGCTGATAGCAGTAACGGCATGGGGAACCTTCCACCTGGCATATTCAAGAACCTTAGAAACTTGACTAGTCTGGACCTGGAGAACGCTGGCCTCCGCACGTTGACCCTGGAGGTCTTCGGCAACCTCAGCAGGCTGCGTGTCCTGCAAATGGGGAAGAACGAGCTTCAGACGATCAATAGCAGCGTGATGGAAAAGCTGACCTCCCTGAGAAACCTGGACCTACGCAAGTGCCCCTTGTCTTGCACCTGCGATAACATTTGGTTCCAGTTGTGGCTGAACAATAGCCAGGTACAGGTGGTTTACCTGTACAACTACTCCTGCAATTCTGGGCAGCCTAATAGCTATGTCTATAGCTTTGATACCCATGTCTGCTTCCAAGATGTGGGCGTGTACCTGTTCTTTTTCACCTTCCCGGCTCTCTTGCTGCACATGGCGCTGCCGTTCCTCTACCACCGCACCTACTGGCGCCTGAAATACCACTTCTACGTCCTTCGGGCATGGGTCAGTGATCACTGGAGGCACGGCAAGGACGACCACTACAAATTCGATGCCTTCGTCTCCTACAACTCCACTGACGAGAGGTGGGTGCTGGAGCACTTGGTGCCCAATCTGGAAAAAGGAGGGGGTCCCGTCTTCCGTCTCTGCCTCCACCACCGGGACTTCCAGCCCGGGAAATACATTATAGACAATATAGTCGACAGCATCCACAACAGTCGGCATACCATCTGCGTGATTAGCCGGAGGTACCTGCGAAGCGAGTGGTGCTCCATGGAGATACAGCTGGCCAGCTACCGGCTCTTTGATGAACTCAAGGATGTCCTTATCCCTGTTTTCCTGGAGGACATCCCAGAGCGGGAGCTCTCTGCCTATCACCGGATGCGGAAAGTGATGCTAAAGAAGACCTATATTTCTTGGCCCGCAGAACCCGAGGCTCAGAAGCTGTTCTGGGCTAAAATGCGAGTGGCTTTAAAGGGAGGGCACTCAGAGGAAAAGGAGGAAAGCATTTATTGGTTTGATAATGAAGGCAAACCCGTGGTGGAATCAGCCTTCAAGGTGACGTAGGAAGGTGACTAGTCTGAAACGCTAGTTCACCTGGAACTCTGTTGTTGTTGTTGTTTCAGAAAATGTTTTTTGGTTTTCAGATCAAAGTTTTACAATCACATATCCAATATACAACATAAAAACAAGATTCCAAAGGATCTCTCGGACTTCCCTCCTCCCCTTTGTGGGTCCTGTTGTTAATCATTTCCTCCTGCATCTTTTACGATAATCCAAATATTTTACATCTCCATTATATCCCAAATTCACCATTAAACTACAAGTGTTATTCCAGTCCTACTAACTGTTTTAACTGTTTACAATGGTTTTTAAAATAAATTATAAATTTCTCCCATTGCTTATTAAAATTATGGTCTTCCTGATTTCTTCCAGTCATTTTTGCCAATTTGGCATAATCCATCAAGTTAATCTGCCGTTCTTCTCTGGTAGGGACTTTATATTCTTTCCATCTCTGGGCCAATAACATCCATGCAGCCTTGGTCACATACATAAATAGTCTTTTCTGCTCCCTTAGGATTTCAGTATCTAGAATTCCTAAAAGAAAAGCTTCAGGTTTTTTAGGGAAAAGGGTTACTTTAAACATTTTTTTCAACGCATTATAAATCATTTCCCAAAATTCTTTTACTACTTTACGTGTCCACAACATATGAAAAATGTGCCTTCGTTTTACCAGGAACTCCTTTGAGGCTTGCTTGAAGGAGAGATAGCATGGTGTGAGTCAGCTTCTGTTTTTCATTATCATCACTTCCTCTTTTTCCCTCTTTACTAGCAAAACACTCCATTTGCACTTCTCCAAATTTCACAGTGCAGTTCCCCCGACAAGGAATGGGTACAAAGATGCGCTCACAAGGTACAATAAAGTGTGCATTTAAAAATGCATATATTTGTAAGAAGAAGATACAAAATGGGTAGAGCCTCCAAATGCCCCTATTTTACAGGGACAGTCCCGGATTTACAGAAGCCGCCCCGGTTTCTGATTTGATCCCGGAACGTCTTTCTTTTCCCTTAGGACATCCCTATTTGTTTTCATCAGAGAAATTTTGGAGGGTATGGAGTTATGCAGACACACACACCCCGAGCCAAGGGGTTAGGTCACTATACAACCTTTAGAAGACATCTGAAAGCAGCCCTGTCTAGGGAAGTTTTTTTCATTTTTTAATGTTTTATTATGTTTTTATATGTGGTGGAAGCCTCCCACAATGGCTGCGGCAACCCAGTCAGATGGGTGGGGTATAATTAATAAAATTATTAGTATTATATAGGATGTCCCTATTTTCAACCTAGCAGTTCGAAAGCATGTCAAAGTGCAAGTAGATAAATAGGTACCACTCTGGCGGGAAGGTAAACGGCGTTTCCGTATGCTGCTCTGGTTCGCCAGAAGTGGCTTAGTCATGCTGGCCACATGACGCGGAAGCTGTACGCCTGCTGCCTCGGCCAATAAAGCGAGATGAGTGCCGCAACCCCAGAGTCGGTCACCACAACTGGACCTAATGGTCAGGGGTCCTTTTATCTTTATTTTCATCAGATAAATGTTGGAGGGTGTTATATGTTCAGGGTATGTATGCACCGCACACCAACACCCAGAAAGTTCTCTATCCGTGAAAGCTGGTAGAAGGGACATTTTGCCATCACTGAAATAGCGGCCTTCTCTGCATGTGTGAGAGGTTTGAGCAGTAGAATGTGGTTGTGGCAGAAAGGACTGCACCACTTGAAGTTGTTGCGGGGGGGTATACTCTGGTTCAGAATGCTCCTCCGCATTATTTATTATAATTAATTCATTTATTAATTACTTCCTACAAAATACATTGAAGTGCTTTCACAATGAAAACATCAACACTAAAAACAGCCCCATGTTAAAACAGTTAAAAGCAATCCCATACATAAAACACTTCCCAGCTATACCCTTAAAAAATGGTACGGCTGGCATAGTGAACAGGCGTTCGCAACCTTGCAACATTTTCTTGAAGGCCCCACTTTTACCTCTGGATGGTACCTCTGGATGCGAACGGGATCCGTTCCAGAGCCCCGTTCGCATCTAGAAGCGAACGCAATCCGCGAACGCAACCCGCGTCTGCGTGGGTCGCAATTCGCCGCTTCTGCACATGCGCATGATGTCATTTTGACCGTCTGCGCATGCGCAAGCGACAAAACCCGGATATAACGCGCTCCATTACTTCCGGGTCGCCGCAGTGTGCAACCCGAAAATATTTATCCCGAAGCTACTTCAACCTGAGGTATTTCTATTGATTTCAAGTCCATGAAAAAAACCCTCAAAGCATAAACACAGCATAATGTGGCCAATGCATGAAATAATTCAAACACTGAAGCTTTTGCTGTGAATATTTTACATTAATGAATAAATATTTATGAACGGATACATTTATGCATAGCTCACTGAAGCTGCCTAGCAAAGCACACATCATTTTTTACCGACACTCCTCATTCTGCCAAGCAGAAGGTCATTCTCTGCTCTGAAGGGGACCTCTGGCGTTCTCTGCAAGCTCAGGCTGGCTTTAGAGATGTCATCAGCCACATAGACAATGCTGCTCGGAGGATTTCAGAATGCGAGAGCATGGAACAGAATTCGCCCCGATGAATACTTAACCCTTGCAGGAGTATTAGTTACAGGGTCTGCCGACGGCGGTTGTGAGAATGGCACTCAGGATTTCTAAGAAGGCCCAAAGCTATTAACTAATTAACCTTCAGTGCTCTGTAGGAAAGAGAGGGTAATGATCCTATAAGGATCTTCGCACAAGGTCGCAAGGCCAGTCTCTAGAGGGGCAGAACTCCTGATTGCCTTTTTCTTTTGTTCATCTGCCAACAGGGCTGCCCAAAATACTGATTCCCTGCTCCCTCGAACACCCTACTTTCCAGAACCCTCTCAAATATATTGTTGCACACAACTCTAATCTCCCAGCGGCGAGAAACTCTAGGGGCTCCTGCGCTTACCCAGAGTGTGGTTTCCTTGGAATGAAGGCCAGTGGATACTGTATCATCTTTATTTAGGGATTGGCCTCTTGTTCTCTATCCTAAGACAATGTGGCATCTAGCCAAGTCAGGTGAGAAAAAGTCAATCCATTTTTTCCAAAGGCACCAGAGCATTTTATTTGGACATGTAAATGAGGGTACTTAACTGGCTAGCTAAGGCCATCACCTTCACAAAAGGAACAGCTTGCCTGGTTTCCTTTTAGAGATTCTAACCTCACAGATACAGGATCACAGGTTTGGAAGGGATCCACAGGTATCATTCAAACTGACCCCCACCCCAAAAAGACCTATAATAATATCCTCATTTGCCCTTCTACTGTCACAAGCACTACATGTCATCATATATGTCTGTCTCTTCCATACAACAGTCACCATAAGGCATGGATTGCCAACATGGTGCCCGTGAGTGCTATGCTACTGGTGAAAGGTCTCTGTAAATATCCCCTCAAAAATCCATACTGCATAAGAGAATGCTTGCTCTTTCTCCTCATTTCCTCTTTAGACAGTGGCTCAGCCCCTCCTGCATTGAATATGGCCTCTTGTTTAATGTCTACATTTAATTGGATACCAGGATTGGACACCCAGCTTTGTTATGAACAAGAGTTATGCAAAGAGCTTCTGTCTGTGACTGAGCATGATGGTGGCGGCTGGTGTAGGTGCCTTTTCCCTCATAGATGGCGGAGCCAGGCACTGTCTATTTTTCTGCTCTTCTGGCTGTGGCAGCCATTTTGTTATGTTACATCCCCAAAGCAGCCATTTTGTATGACTGGTGCCCATGGCACTTTCTTAAAATTCCAAGTGTGCCCACCAGCCCCCAAGACTTGGCAATAATCCCTGCTCTAAGGGACATTTGGTGAGCAAACGGGAAAACCGGATGCACGCAGCAATTCTGACTGGAACCCTAAGCTACCTCCTAATCTCTTGTTTAGGGTTGCCAGCTGATCAGGGAGAAATGGGTTGTATTCTTTGTGCTTTTAACAATAGCTTGATCTGCAGAGATCAGATGAAGCTTTTCATAGGATGGTAACAAAAGAAGTGCTGTGTAGATCAAACCACTGTTAATAGTATTGCCTCTTTAGCAGTAGGCAGCCCTTCTGTCGGCAGATCTCAAGCATGCATGAAACCATGACCTTAGTTCCAGATGTTTTAAAGCCTTCTGTGTTTATTCAATGGTGTAGGGAAAGAGAGAAGCTGTAGCTTAGCTCTCACATACACCAGACATCTAAAGCACAGCTCTTTTTCCCAACGAATCCTAGTTCACCCCTCATAAAGTTACAAATCTTAGCATCCTTAACAAACTACAATCCTCAGGATTTTTTGGGGGGGGGGGTGTTGTTGTTTAGTCATTTTGTTGTGTCCGACTCTTCTTGAACTCATGGACCAGAGCACGCCAGGCACTCCTGTCTTCCACTGCCTCCCGCAGTTTGGTCAAACTCATGCTGGTAGCTTCGAGACCACTGTCCAACCATCTTGTCCTCTGGCGTCCCCTTCTCCTTGTGCCCTCCATCTTTCCCAACATCAGGGTCTTTTCCAGGGAGTCTTCTCTTCTCATGAGGTGGCCAAAGTATTGGAGCCTCAGCTTCAGGATCTGTCCTTCCAGTGAGCACTCAGGGCTGATTTCCTTCAGGATGGAGAGGTTTGATCTTCTTGCAGTCCATGGGTCTCTCAAGAGTCTCCTCCAGCACCATAATTCAAAAGCATCAATTCTTCGGTGATCAGCCTTCTTTATGTTCCAGCTCTCATTTCCATACATCACTACTGGCAAAACCATAGCTTTCACTATACGGACCTTTGTTGGCAAGGTGATGTCTCTGCTTTTTAAGATACTGTCTAGGTTTGTTGGGGGGGGGTAGACCTGCATTTTAAATGCATGGTGTAGATGTGATCTTATAGTGAAAGAATCAACTCTCATCTGTTGCTCATTGAAGCTGTCTACATGCGATAGCAGCCACACCCTCTGAGTGGCTTTGACTGGCTGGCTAAGCCAGAAGAGAGTAGCTGATGGGTCTCAAACCTTGGTTAGGTACTTCACCTGCATGCAAAGGCAGGCTCTGGTGGATTGAGTGGATGAGACCAATATTGGGTCCAATGGACAGGAAGGCGGTTTCTACACATGCTGTAGAGGGAAGTGAGGGGCCGGTGGGACTCTTCAACCTGGGAAGATAGCCCATCTAAGAAAAGGAAAACTTGTGACTCTAAACCTCCACTGCCTTGCGGAATATCTTCAGAAGAAGAAAAGGTTAAGGAGTAAACCCTACACAAAATTGGAGTGGAGTCCCTAAGATGGTTGGATGGTGCCTTGTGCGCCTCCTTCTGACACCTCCTGCAGCCAAACTGGTGCCAAATGCTCTGCCTTCCTTTGGACCACATCAGTGAGGGCAAGAAGCAGGGTCTTGTTGTCTAAGCGGTCCTGGACCTCAATACACACTGCCCACGTGCGCCCCGGGGAGGTCATTTTGGTGCTGCTGTCTCTCTTGAGACGAATGCCAACAACAATAGTGAGAGTATCATGGCTTGCATGCAGAAGGTCCCCAGCATCACCTGCGAAAAGGAATCAGGTGGCGAGCAATGCTTAGAGAGACCTTGATGTGCCTGACATCTTGGAGAGTATCTACCAGTTGAGAGTAGAGAAGCTAGTCCAGTAAGGCTAATGGGGTACTGCACTACCAACCTCATTCTGCCTTCAGCTAGCCCTCACCCTTCCTTCTTACAGCCAATCATGGGAATAGAACTGCCTGCCAGCTTCTTCCTCGTCAGTTTGGGGAAGTTTTTAATGTTTGAAGTTTTATTCTGTCTTTAGTCTTCTTTTGGGTTAGGGTTAGGGCTGCCCAGGGTGCCTGGGGAAACCCAGCCAGATGGGCAAGGTATTATTATTATTAATAATAATAATAATAATAATAGTAGTCTATGTTGCCCTTGCAGAACTCAACAGGCAGGAGAATGATGAAACTAAAATTGTTTGGCTCTACCTGTTTTTGTCTGTGGCTCTGTTTATTGTTGGGCTTCCTGCCTTCTGCCCCACAAGTACCCTTGAGCACTGACCATCACTGAGTCCAATCTTGACACAAGGCAGCTTTACATATAAATATATTCTTTTTTTTAAAAAAGAATAATAATACAGTGGTACCTCGGGTTAAGAACTTAATTCATTCTGGAGGTCCGTTCTTAACCTGAAACTGTTCTTAACCTGAGGTACCACTTTAGCTAATGGGGCCTCCCGTTGTTGCCGCTGTGCGATTTCTGTTCTCATCCTGAAGCAAAGTTCTTAACCCGAGGTACTATTTCTGGGTTAGTGGCGTCTGAAACCCAAGGTACCACTGTATTATGCATTTTTTGGATTATATTTTACGTACATTCATCATTTTGTCATAAGTGAGTCTGACAGCCAAAAGATGAAATATGGGGGCGGGGGGGAGAGGACAAGAAGCGAGTGGATATGCCTTGAAGAATATTAAGAGAGCCAGTGTGGTGTAGTGGTTAAGAGCGGTAGTCTCGTAATCTGGGGAACCGGGTTCGCTTCCCCGCTCCTCCACATGCAGCTGCTGGGTGACCTTGGGCTAGTCACACTTCTCTGAAGTCTCTCAGCCCCACTCACCTAACAGAGTGTTTGTTGTGGGGGAGGAAAGGAAAGGAGAATGTTAGTCGCTTTGAGACTCCTTCAGGTAGTGATATTGCAGGATATCAAATCCAAACTCCTCCTCCTCTTCTTCTTAAAGAAAGATGGCATTAAGGTAAACTGGCAATAGGATGAGCCTATGATCAGCAAAAGACAAGACAAATGATGGGAAAGGAAAGGAAAGGTAGCAAAACAAAGAATGTGAAATACGATGTTAGGGAAGGATAGGTTAGGAAGTCCATATATATAAATATATTCTACACATGCTCTGGGGCACTCTTATTATTACTGAGCTGCGTGCAATTGTATTGTTCCGAGCTGCTGTAACAGTGAAATGCTGCAATCTGTGACATTGTTGTCTCACTGGTACAGGAAGCCTCACACATGATCAAGCCTAAGGAAACTAGATTATTCTAGCCATGCTAATGCCGGCTATTTCTGGGTTTGGATAGCCTAGCTGGAAATGTAACCTCTGCAGGGAACGGCTGATATTATACAACGAATCTGATCTGGTTTGTTAAAGTGAAAATAGATGGCGAGGCTGGAGAAAGAGTTGAATTGGGATTTTCAAGGAGTGAACTGGGCATTCCTAACTGAATTTTATTAACACATGCCTTTCCAAGCTTATTTTTCCATAGAGGAAAAGCAGAGTGGTTCTAGCTTACTTACCTCTGTCTGAAATTTCCTGGGCATAGAGAAGGATCAGCAAAACCATGAGGATAAAATGCAGTCACCAGCTCTGGACACTGTATACCCCGGGCAGATGATGACTCTTTTGTTCGTTGCTGAGCTCATGCATAAGACTGAGCTAAGACAATTGAGAAATCTATATACGTAACGATAATACAGCAAAATCTAAGTGTCTGAGAAAAGACAAACTAATCCAGACCAATGATGTCTACATTTGTAGGGAAGGCTTCTGTAAAGCAGTGTTTAATTGACTTGAACAAATTAGCATCTCAGCCTTTACTTCAAAGAGCTCAGGGCTACTATACACATGTATTCCTCCCATTTTAACTTCATAACAACCTAGCAAAAAGGGATAATAATCACTAACTCTATGAGTGAATACCATACACCATAGTAAATCTGAAACCAACATTTAATTCCCTCCTCTGAGACATCTCTGACAACTTATCCAATCACCGATGATACAATGTTCTGTATCTCTCCCCCTTCCAAGCCATCACTGATTAATGTTTTGGTAATCCTTATGACATCCTGGAAGGAGGGCTATTAATCTTAGATCCATTTTACAGATTTGCATGGGGATGCTGAGAATGAGGTGAACTGTAACTTATGCCAGCTAGTGAATTTGTGACTGAAGTGAGATTTGAACCTGGAACCTAAGAATTGAGTAGTATTAGTTTCACTGGATTAAAGCAGTGGTGTGTGATCTTTTGCAGCTGAAAAGCACGCTGTACTAAAACGACTAATGTTCCAAAAGCAATGAGACTAGATACTCAATTTTCTTGGCATGGAAATGAGTAAGGAGTAACTCCTTCAATTTCCTTTGTTTGGCCTAGTATTTTGCATCAATTGTCCTCTTAGCAATTTCTCCTCCCCTCCAAAATTATTGCTGTGAAGGTCTGTGCTTTCAGCATAATTTAGGAAATAAGCTGTTCCAAGTTGCATACTGGTGTAGAGGAATGGGGGTGGGGATACCAAAGATGAATTAGAAAATGTTTGCTTACTATGCAAAGAAAGCCAAGCTAAAGGAACAGCAACCACCTACAGGCAGAATCTGCTAATATGATAGCACAGAGACTCAGAGTGTACATTTGGAAGAACAACATCCAATCATCCATGAAAGCAAAGCAATCGGGGACAAGAATGTCACATTCCTTTTGCTAATATTGACAGGGGCTTGACAATAATCTCTATTATCTAGGTGTATCTGCTCCAATTCGTTTTGGGTCATTGGTTTTTTTGAAATATTGGGAATATGCACCCCGTATCAGTTAAAACATAAGAAGAGTTCTGCTGGGTCAAACCAAAGGCCCATTTATTCCAGAAACTTGTTCTCACCAGGATCAACCTGATGCATGCAAACAGGACCCGAGTGCAACAATATACTTCCCACCTGAGATTTCCAGCAATGGGTATGCAGTGACATATTGTTTTCAACCATGGAGGCAGAGCATAGGTATATCCGCCAACCTGAGGGGGACAAATTTCGTAGTTTTCACTATGAGCTCTGTGAAGTACTTTCTTTTGCCTGTCCCAATTTTTCCAAAATCCAGCTTCACAACATTGGTTTTCAGAACGGTGCTATATTGAGTTTTCATTTTGATCCCTTTCCTAGTGATCCCTAACATGGAATTTGCCTTTTCCCCAGCTGTTGCACGCTGGGGTTGACATCTTCACTGAGCTATCCACTAAAACCCCGAGGTCTCATTCCTGCGCAGTCACTGCCCGTACAGACCTCATTAGTGTTCACATGAAATTAGGATTTTTTGCCCCAATGTGCATCGCTTTACGCTTGCTTGCGCTGAATTTTCATTTACCATTTTACTGCTAATTCACTCAGTTTGGAGAGATCCATTGGGAGCTCTTCACGGTCTCTTTTTGTTTTAACCACCCTGGACAATTTGGGATCATCAGTAAACTTGTCTATTTCACTGTTGCCCTCCAGCTCTAGACCATTTATGAACAAGTTAAAAAGCGCAGGTCGCAATACCAATCCTTGGCGGGGACGAGACAACACTTTCTACATCCCTCTATGGGAAGAACTGCCCATTCCTACTTTCTGCTTCTTGTTTCTTAACCAGGATCTGTAAGAGACCTCTCCTTTTATCCCATTATTTGATTGCTAAGCTTACTCAGGATGAGTGTTGGTGAGGTAGTTTGTCAAAAGCCTTTTAGAAGTCTACATACACGTTGTTGACCAGATCACCTCTAACGTTTGCTGGCATTCTCAGAGAACTCTAAAGGGTCAGTGAAACAAGACGGTACCGTATTTTTCGCTCTATAAGACACACTTTTTCCCTCCTAAAAAGTAAGGGGAAATGTGTGTGCGTCTTATGGAGCGAATACAGGCTGTGCAGCTATCCCAGAAGCCAGAACAGCAAGAGGGATTGCTGCTTTCACTGCGCAGCGATCCCTCTTGCTGTTCTGGCTTCTGGGATAGCTGCGCAAAGCCTCCTCAGGGCAGTGGGAGGAACGTTCCCCCTGCCCTGAAAAGGCTTTGCGTTGCTTTCGAAAAAGCCAGAACAGCAAGAGGGATCACTGCGCAGCGAAAGCAGTGATCCCTCTTGCTGTTCTGGCTTCTGGCATTCAGAATATTTTTTTTCTTGTTTTCCTCCTCCAAAAACTAGGTGCGTCTTATGGTCTGGTATGTCTTATAGAGCGAAAAATACGGTACTTCCCGAATGGCCATTTGCCTCCAGGATTCTTCGTATGGAGATTAGTAACTAAGCAGGTACCAACTATTGCAATGTCTTTCGTTTCTTTATAATATGAACTTTCTGATAGGCCCTTCTCCCTCCCAATAATGTTTTCAGCAATGTTATCAGTGAAACCAAACAAAAGCAAAACAACGTATGCCAAAGAACAGTTCGTGATCCCAAGAGGATGCAGCTCATGTAGAGAAGGAACTGTGTGAATAGCATCACAGGCATAATCCAAAGCAAAAATGTAAAGTTAGCACAGAGGGGTAGTAAAGAACTTCACATTCAACTTTTATGATTCACATTTATTTTTATTCCTACACTAGCAAAACATTCGAGACCTCAGTTAATTCCCTTCTCTCTCTTAAAAAAAGAAAAAGCAAAGGAACAGTTTTACTATCTTGAAATATGGCAATCTAATGGAAACAGGTGACTTTATCCCGTGTGTCTTGTTGGGTACACTGAGACAACAAACCTACGCTTCATGTTTGTAAAGGATGGGCTGTCATACCCGGAATAGAAAGAGAAGAGTTTTGTGCCTTCTAAGTGGCCCAAAACAAATGTGCTTTAAATAAAAAGAAATCACAGAACTATGCGAGTGTGTGGTTGCACACACACCACACAGAATGCCGAGAACTGTAGCTTGTTAAAAGTGTTGGAAATGGAAGCTCTGTGAGGAGTGAACTACAGTTCTCTGGATTCTTGGGGAGGTGTGTTGTGATTTTAGGTAAAAAGTAGCAAATGGCCCTTCCAAGCGATCACCTTGGCTTTCCTTTTCATACCAATCAAGCATCCACTCGTTTTCCAAGCCTCTCTCATTCAGAAATTTGGCTCCCCACACCCTTTCAGTACAACTTCATTCGGGGGAAAGCCCAGGGCTCCGGGGTGGACTGTCCCAACAGATGGCCTTGCAAGGCACAGTCAGGGGAGTTCCTGTTCTCTAGAGCCTCGGAGGGGGGGAAATACGACATAGGCAGCTGCTGGAAAAACTGCAGCTGCTGCTGGGCTTCTTCCATTTGAAGCAGCCGCTTCAGATCACGAGTCTGGCTCCCGGATCTGGAGCACCCTTTGTCTCTGTTTCTTTGCATTCTTTCGGAGGCCTCTGCCAGTCCGCAGAAGTGGTAACTATTTGATGTTCTCCCTTGCTCTACAGAGACTTTCTGGCAGAAGGCTCTGGGTTTTGCCAGTACAGAGAACCCAGTCCCGTGTGATGGGTGTTTGCTGAGCATATATTTGTCTTGCTGAGGGTTTTGCCTGTAGGAAGAGCAGTGCTGCTGAGGGACGATACTGTACAGCTGAAGAAACTCATTTGGCTGCCCTTGTTCCGCGTTCAGCTCTCTGGAAGTGGCTGGCTGGTGAGCCAGACAAGGGTAGCCCAGAGCTTGGGACACGGGGAGTTTGGCTCCCTTACTGGGCACTTTAGGGCTCCAGATGCTTCTTAAGACATCAAAGGACGTCTGAGACTCAGAGGCAGCTCTCTCCGTGGGCCTGAGCCCCAAATCCAGAGGCTGGCAACTGCACGGCTCCTGCGAAGGATGCGGGCTGTGGAATGGAGCCGGCTCCATCTCTAGTAAATTCCATTGATCTGGGCTTAATTCATAGACACAGGAATGTTGCTGGGAATCAGTCAAGAAGTAATGGCTGGTGCCTTTGCCATCCACGCTCAGATTGACTGAACCGAAGGAATCATAGGTAGCAAAAGGCAGGCAATGCCTTTTGGAAGCACTCTTCTTTGGGTGTAGTCTACTACCTACTTCAGACCTCTCTTGCCTGCTTCTGGACTCACAGAAGGCTTCCCCTAGTCCTTGCTCCCAACGCCGAGCAGTTCTGAATAAAGCATCATGCAAAAGATGTTGTTCCTCTGCAGCAAAGGAGCTCCTGGCTAAATTCACATGCTGGGAAGGTGCAGATGAAAGATGGGAGTGTGGCTGAACTGCTGTCAAGGGAAAGCTGTGCTGGCTAAATGCCTGTGGCTCAACAAAGGATCTGAAGTCTTCTCTTTGGGTGGTCTTCTCTTCTGCCTGCATAGGGAAACAACAAGAAGTAGGCAAGATAAAGGAAAGAGCATGATTAGATAGGGACAGATTATCTCTGCTTCTCAGTGGAATGTATATACTTCTGACATGCTCTTACAAATGTTCCATTTCAACTTCTAAGGCTAATTTTGATTCATCCCACGCTAAGCCAATTCTAAAGGCTTCTGGGATAAGTAAAAAAACAGCAACAACAGATCAAGGCTAGATCGACATCTTCCTGATGGTGGGTTGGAACCCAGTAGAGCTTTGGGGCTCTTGTACTTTGAGGTTGGTAGCTAGCAAGAATATTGCTGCATAAAAGGAGCCAAACAGAGTAGAATCTCTGGATCAGAAGATGAAAATGACCTGCTGTGGGGCCCCCAAATAAAAACTACTGATGCGATGTGACCTTTTGTAAATGCCTGGGAACAACTGGATGAAATCGGCTTAGGTATTTGGCAAGTTTTGAAGTTAATCTCGGTACCATTAACCTCCCATCCTAGAACAAATAGTGCTCATAACAGCCTGGTGGTCTGACATGCAATGTTCTTTGGCAAAGGATTTGGTGAGAGGGCAACTGAGCATCCTCCTTGGGTTTGTCTACTGTCAATGGATTTATTTGTAATCGCACTCCTAGGACAATCAGCCCAAAGTGCTTAAGGGAATGTGATGTTTCCAGCTGTCCGCTTGCGGCAACCTGAGGGCTGCTTCACACACTGCATGTTCACATGGGCATGTGGTCTTGAAGCCATTCTTAAATGGACACTTAAACCTGGAACTCAGAGTGTGGTCTGAAGGCACAAGAGGCCACCATCCTCCTGGGGACAAGCAGGTTTGAGTGACTTGATATTGATACCAGGAATGGTCCAAGAACAGAAAAATTAAAGTCAGTCTGTGAGCACTTAGAAAAGGATGCCGTGATTACTAAGACCTAGTATGGGTTTCTCAAAAACAAATCATGCCAGATGAATTTAATTTCTTTTATTCTGATAGAGTTACAAGCTTTGGGGATCAAGGGAATGGTGTGGAAGTAGTGTATCTTGATTTCAGTAAGGCTTTTGACAAAGTCCCCCATGATATTCTTGCAGAGAAGCTGGTAAAATATGGGCTGGATGGTGACCAAGATGATAAAGGGAAACCAAGCCTTATGAGGAACAGTGGAGGGAATTGGGTATGTTTAGCCTGGTAAATAATATGATAGCTATCCTCAAATATCTAAAGGGCTGTCACATGGAGAATGGAGCGAGCTTGTTCTCTCCCACTCTGGAGGGTAGGATTCAAACCAATGGCCTCAAGTTCCAAGAAAGGAGATTCTGATTAAACATTAGGAAGAACTTTCTGACAGTAAGAGCTGTTTGACAGGTCCACCAAGGGCAGTGGACTCTCCTCCCTTGAAGGTTAGTAAACAGAGGTTGGATGGCCATCTGTCATGAATGATCTACTCTAGATTCCTACATTGCAGGACTAGATGACCCTTGAGGTACCTTCCAACTCTACAATTCTATAATTACTACATGTATACTACCTTTGTTTCCTTCCTTCCACAGAAGGAAGGCAGGATATACAGGGTGAGTCCTTTAAAAGAGGCCCCGTGGATACAGAGTACACATGTTCCACGGTGCCTCTTTTAAAAGACTCACCCTGTATATGTAAGAAAATAAATAAAAATATTTTTTTACAGCTCAAATACATCTATAATGTGGGATGTTTTAATGTATTTCCCCCACTTGCTTTCAATGTATTTATGCGGGTTTGGTTTTGTGTCTTTCTGGGAGTCACCTTGAATTGCCGTGGCAGAGAAAAACTGACAATAAATTTAATAGTAATAATCATGATGACGATAATACTAATACCTTCCCAGTGTTTAAACACATTCTTTTCAAACCAACCTGACCTTTCAAAGTATCCTAACACATTCTGATGCTCACCATTCTTACAACTGTATGTACAGGACAGGGAGAAAAGCTACTGGGGAAGAACTGTGCTTGTCCTCTCCGCTTTTTCAGAGAAATCTCCTGGTCAGAGTTTCTGCTGTCATTGCTAGACATCTGTCCCAATAGCAACTCCTTCTGGTCCCTGTCAGGTGGGCTCTTGAAATCTGAAAGAGGACAGAACAAATGAACACACAAAATCCCATGTGGAATCAAAAGCTTACAAATGTGAGTAAGGGCAAAGTTAATTTGTCCTTCGGGAGGGTGACATACAAGTCCATTATGCTGTGCAAAGCAACACAGCAGGGTAGGGAGAGGTGGAAAGTAAAACAAGACAAGTCCCTGCAGCAAGAAGCTTACTGTCTATATTTTGACAGTGAGGGAGAAGAGGTAGAAATCCAGGGGACAAATGAACTTTGGAGTGGCTGAGGGTAGTGGTGAAACGATGGTCTCAGGCAAGGATATATCAGGAAGTAAAAGCAAAAAGGGATAAAGGATGGAGCAATGCTAGGATTCGCCCCACGGTTCTTAAAATTGATTTATTGACAAAATACAACGTAGTAAGTAAACCAAGTACGTTCCAAGGATTTTCAGTGACTGTAGCCTAATCCCCCACAAAATACCAGAAATGAGGTTCAAGCGAACCAGCTCCCACCACAGTGTAACATGGGATGGTGTTGGGGGGGGGGGCTGACAAGTTGTAAGTTTCTATTGACATAGCTGAGAAAGGGAAACCTCACTTTCTCAAAATGATCTTTTTTTCATTATGCCCCTACTACTCTAGTACGTTGCGCAATGTGTTTTGATAATGCACAAAGATCCAGTGAACCTTTTCAAGTACAGTGGTACCTCTGGTTAAGAACTTAATTCGTTCTGGAGGTCCGTTCTTAACCTGAAACTGTTCTTAACTTGAGGTACCAGTTTAGCTAATGGGGCCTCCTGCTGCCACCGCGTGATTTCTGTTCTCATCCTAAAGCAAAGTTCTTATCCCGAGGTACTATTTCTGGGTTAGAGGAGTCTGTAACCTGAAGTCTCTGTAACCCGAGGTACCACTGTAAAGTGAGACCCAGATTTCCAGAGCAACACTATTCCCCTGTGTGGCACTGCCAATAATGCTGCAAAATATATAAAAAAATTGTCCAGTAGCACCTTAGAGATCAACTAAGTTTGTTCTTGGTATAAGCTTTCGTGTGCATGCACACTTCTTTGGATACACTGAAACAGAAGTCACCAAACCCTTATATATAGTGGGAGGGTGGGGGTGAGATCCTGTAACGGCAAAGGATAAATGGATATAAATCTGACATCAGGAATTACAAGACAGAGAAGCCAGTCTCTCAATCTCCCAGGACATTCAATACAGGATCTCAAAGCAACTGTCTTATTACAAAAGAATTTCAGAAACAGACTTGAAAGAGAAGTTGCTGAATTACAACTTATCACCAAACTGAAAACTACGGAGAGACCTGGTCTTAATAGAGATATTGGATTCCTGTCTCATTACATATGCTAATCATCTGCATACTATCCCTTGCTTTTTCCTCTAGGACTAATTGCAGTTGTTAACAGTCGTCAACAGGTTTACCATACCCATTGAGTCAATCACCCATCTCCTACTACCCTCCAGAAAAAACCCCACCCCACCCTCCCACTATACATAAGGGTTTGGTGACTTCTGTTTCAGTGTATCTGAAGAAGTGTGCATGCACACGAAAGCTTATACAGTGGTGCCTCGGGTTACAGACTCTTCAGGTTACAGACTCAGCTAACCCAGAAATAGTACCTCTGATTAAGAACTTTACTTCAGGATGAAAACAGAAATCGTGCAGCGGCGGCGCTGCGGCAGCAGCGGGAGGCCGTTAGCTAAAGTGGTACCTTGGGTCAAGAACAGCTTCAGGTTAAGAATGGACCTAAGGAACGAATTAAGTATGTAACCCGAGGTACCACTGTACCAAGAACAAACTTAGTTGGTCTCTAGGGTGCTACTGGACAATTTTTTTTATTTTTTTATACATTTAAACTGTGTCAGACCAACACGGCTACCTACCTGAATCTAGAATAATGCTGCAGTTAGCTCCCTGAACAGTAAAGGAGGGTTCAGGTTGCCTTTAGCAGTGAAGGTGGTCAGGCCACCATGAAAAGTTTTAAAGCTGGCTGTGGCCTAATTTAGTGCAGCCTTCTGCAACTATCAGTTGAGGCCTCGTTAGTGTCTGTTCAACCCTGTGCTAATGGAGGTGGAGGGATAAACAGGAAAAAGCCCAAACAAATGGGAGAGATTGGGCAAAGAGAAGGAAAGTGTGCTATGCAATCCTACAATGTGCTCAGTTTGGGTTCAGATTTCTACCATCATAGTATCCGACCCCATCCACCATCAGTTGTCCCCGCCATCTAACCTTTTCCAAGTGAAATAAGCCCTTAATAGGAAAAAGCTCCCCAGCCCAGCCCCGAATATGAAAGATGAGGAGAAGCCCATGAAGGAAAACATCTGAGAAAGTGCAGGATTTTTTAAAAAGTCCATTCATCACTTGCTTGCATGGTCATTAAAGAATGGTGGCCAAAAGCAAAAGCAGGACTTCTACACTTCTTGTTTTCACTATTGCAATATTTCACAAAACTGCTTGTTTTCAGTATTTATGGCAAATGCTGCATGCCAAACAGCTGCTTAGCTTCAGCCAAGCTGCTTGACACAGTTCATACTTATGCTGCAGCCTCAACAAGCCCCTTACCTGCATGGGCCGTGTCAGTGTTACAACCACCTGCAGACTTCTTGAGCAGTGCCAAGGCAGATAAATCTGGGAGTGTTTTCTTCTGTTCCAGCAGGATATTGATAACAGCCTGACGTGTTTCCCTGATTAAGTTACGCCCAGGGAATATTGCCTTGAGGTCCAAGAGTTTTTGCAGGTCCTGGGCTAATTCCCTTACTGGAGATTTGCCTTTGCCTGACTCTGTTTCTGCTGTGGGGACAGGAGGGACGTTTTCCTTTTCATTCAAGTCCATCAAGGCATTGCCCTGAAAAGGCTCAGTTTCCAAATCCTCTTGATTGAACTCCACAACCGCAGGTGCAGCTAAAGGCTGGGATGCACCTGGAGTGGCCACAGGATGCTGTGTAATCGATGTAGAGTCCTTATTTCCTCCACGTGGGTTCTTTCCACTGCATCTCAACTGATCGCCGGGAATAGATTTCTGATCAGCGTCACAGGACTGGATCTCTTCTTCCAGCAACATCTCCATGCCACTGTCTCTTTGTATAGGAGTGATCTCCAGGACCTCTTGCTCAGCTCTGGGGCTCAACAATCTCTCTATGTTAAGTGATTTCACCTCCCTGTTAAACATGCCAAAGGGCTGAGAGAGTCTGTTCTGCGTTATAATCAGAGGTTTGGCAACACAGCTGCCTTTGATGGGTCTGATGGGAGTCGACTTAGGACAGGTGTTAAACTGGGAGCTCCAGAAAGGGGGCAGCGTCTTCTGTAGCGTCCTGCGGTTGGGCCTTTGTTCTGGGATCCTACCGGTAACATTTCTGCCAAACTTGACATAGTTGCGCTCTCGTCTTGTTCGGCGGCGTTTGACCCTGGTAGATTTCTCCTCGATGCTATGCTGCTCTGTTGGGGATGCTCTCAGGTGATGGGAAGAACAGGGTAAGCCAGAGCTGGCTGAAGTCTCCTTTCTTTCTTCTCCCTTGCCACAAGGATTCATACTGAAAGGAGCTCCTGAGAATAAGCAGATACAATGGGAAACAGCACCCAAGATGCTAGGTTTAGATTCTTATTCTCACCTGGGAAAGTAACAGACATGAAACTGAGGCTAAAGCTGCTGTCCCAGCAGTCCTACATCCCTTGGTTTTTGTCTGTGGGCTGGCATAGGTTTGTATGTTATTATACACACATGCACAGGGTAGGGCCATAGTTCAGGGGTAGAGCAACTGCTTTGCATGCAGAAAGTTCCATACATCTCCAGACAGGGCAGGGAATGTTCTCATCTGAAATACTGGAGAGCCATGGCCAGTCAGTGTTTAGAGAGCTAAGTGGACCAATGGGTCTAACTCAGTACCAGGTAGATTCGTATGTTCCTATATCCCACAGAAGTGATGGTATGCATAAATCACATATTTGATGAAGTAGACTCTAATCCACAAAAACTTAACACAATAAAGCTGCTAGCCTTTAAGATGCTACAAAATCCTTTGCAGTTTTAATCAAACACCACATACTAACCAGCCCTCCCAGTGTCAAAAATAAATTCAGAGTAAGATAATTCCAGGCAGAGAGGACTTCGAACAAATCATGGTGTGTTGGTCATTCTGCTGTACCCTTGGGTGGGTGGTTTTTGTTTTCTTTTTTTTTCTTGGCAAACTATTAATATATTTTTGTCCATCTCAACTTCAGTACCAGGCATATGCAATTTTAAATATGTACACAATTGCAGCAATAGCCAGCAGATTTTTTTTTCTATAAAAAAACCTAACACCTACCAACTGTAGGGTTTCAGAACTGAACATGGGCTCATTGGAATGCAGCCGTAGAGTATGTGGGCCGTGTCCAGTGTTAGACCTACTTCGGAGCAGACCCACTGCAATTAATGGACAAAAGTTGGGGCCGCTCATCTCAATGAACACAATGTTGGGTAGAACTTTGTCGGCTGCAACCACCCAAAGCCCTTTCTTTTTTTAAAAAATGAGGAATAACAAGAGTGCCTCTGAGAACGTACAATGCCCTTTTTACTCACCAGTGGGGATGATCAGGGGCCCTGCTGCAACTCAACAAGGGAAACGGATAATAGCGAAGCGAGACCTCTCCTCTTATGGCATCTCCCCCTCCCCACACTTTAAACCCTGATTTTTCCAACCCTCCATCTTGCCCCCAACAACCTCTTTCCTCCAACCGCCTAACAGCCTCACTCACGCCTCCCTCGCGGGAGCTGGATGGGCGGAGCAAGCACCCTGCCTCCCCTCGTGCAGAGGCGGTTGTCCCGATGCGGCTGCCCGAAGCGCGAGAAGCGCCCAGGCGACTCTCAGCCTCTTTTCCCGCGCTTCCCGAGCTGCTACGGAAGCCCACGTTCCACTCCCGCCCTTGGGTTTAGTCGCGCCCCGCCCCGCTTGGCGTGGATTGGTCGTGAAGCGGCACAGTTCTGTGCTGATTGGCTGCAGGAAGCTATCGGTCGCTACGCTACTGTACCACCTGGGTGGGACAGGTGAAGATGCTCTTTTGAGGGGCCGGGAGCGCCTTGGCAAAGCGCTGTTCTGCAATTATTAGGCGCTCATTTTCAGTCACCCAAATGGCTCACCTTGTTGCTACCCACCTCCTCCTCAAAAGCAAATAAATCAAATTATCCAGATACTGTTATGTATTGTAATTATTTGTACGGTATATGTTTAGCTTTACACTTTTATTCTTAACGATGCCCCCCCCCCCCCCGCCATGCATTTAGCAGTTCTCATTTTTACATCATTTTCCCCATCAGGGAAAAAAGGCAGGATACAAATAAATAATAATAATAAATGCAGACTAAAATCAGAGCCCCCATGGGCGTAGCCAGGATTTTTGTTAGGAGCGGCAGGACTTTCGCTAGGGGGGCAGAACCGACGTGATTGGTCAGTCAGTTAAATATTTCTATTGTTTTATTTTATCTGGGGGGGAGCAGCTGCCCCCCTTGGCTACGCCTATGAGAGCCCCTTCCCTTATTTTTTTTTTAAGCGCTTTTTTTTGCCAAGTGACAAAACAAACCATTTCTCGAACTTGATTCACAATGCACCAAGCCTCATTATCACTCTGCCTCGTGAAATTAATATTGACAAGCAAACCAGGACGTGGCCTCTCTGTTCCATAAACAATGGGAATTTAAATAGGTACAGCTTCCCCCCTCCTAGTTGTGCATCTTCTGATATACCCTCTTTGCACTGTAATTTTGCTGGGGGCATGTAGCAGTCTGCCCCCTTTCTCTAAGCTTTTCTTTTTTTAAATAATAAAAAACGGGTTGAGAGACCCATGCTGAAGACTTCAACTCATGGTTAGAGATTACATGTGGAGAAAAGTGTGCAGGCAGTAGTCTGCCCAACTGCTCGCTAAGCAGTAAACCTCTTTGCACCATTTAGTTTTCTGCCCACTGAATGGCAAAGTACTGAATAACTGGCAAGCACTGCAAATCATGAGCGTAGCCAGGATTTTTGTTGAGGGGGGCAGGATTTTTGTTGGGGGGCAGAACCAATGTGATTGGTCAGTTAGCTATTTCTATTGTTTTACTTGATCGGGGGGGGGGGCAGCTGCCCCCCCTGCCTACACCCATGCTGCAAATATTTTATTAATACAGTTAAATAACTTTGCATATACTAGACTCTCCTATCTATGCTTACATTCTAGCTCAGGTAGGGAACCTGGGGTAAAATGCAGCCTCTCACTCCCAAGCATCTGTCTGGCCCTTGGGACTGTCCCCAGGCCACACACACCCTGCCCAGATCACAACCCTCACCAGCTCTGCTTTACATCTCTGAGTATTTTTGCCTGGCTAGAATTTGTTTTTGCACTCTGGTGATGCTCCTTGCTTGTCTGGATGGAGGACAGAGAGAGGGGTATGTGAGTGTGTGCAGAAATAAGCTTGCTGTAAAAATGTAAAATTTACATACAGTCATTGCTTTTCCACTTTGGCTTTTGGCCTGACCCACCAGTGGCATGTGGGGATGCGGGTGGCGCTGTGGGTTAAACCACAGAGCCTAGGACTTGCCGATCAGAAGGTCGGCGGTTCGAATCCCCGTGACGGGGTGAGCTCCTGTTGCTCGGTCCCTGCTCCTGCCAACCTAGCAGTTCGAAAGCACGTCAAAAGTGCAAGTAGATAAATAGGTACCGCTCTGGCGGGAAGGTAAACGGCATTTCCATGTGCTGCTCTGGTTCTCCAGAAGCGGCTTTGTCATGCTGGCCACATGACCTGGAAGCTGTCTGCGGACAAATGGCGGCTCCCTCGGCCTATAGAGCGAGATGAGCGCACAACCCCAGAGTCGGTCACGACTGGACCTAATGGTCAGGGGTACCTTTACCTTTACCAGTGGCATGTAGCCCGTGGAATTTGCCCCAGAAAGGAAGGTATGAAAATACTTCCCCACTAAGAAAAGGTTGGGAATTTGATCTAAGGTGTGGCAAAGGATGAGATTTCTTAAAACACTTTCCCTGTGTCCTGTGAACCATATTTTTTGTCCGTGTTGCTTTTTTACTTGCAGTGTGCATTACAATCTTGTACACATGCACATAGATAGCAGGTGAGAGAGGCTAAAAGGTGCTTTTGGAGCAGTTTGTGAAAGCACCCTAATTCAAATGCAATCACCTGGAAAAAGTCATTCCAGAGCACATATTATTCTTGCTCGTAGTGAACTGAAAGAGAGGCAGAGAAGGAAAATTACTTAGGTTATCAGACTGTGAAAATATGGGCTCTTGTGTTGCTGTTACCCTTACTGTTACAGCACAATTATGTTTGGATTGGCAAGATGGAAATATTTATAATAAACTGTTTTGTTTTTTAAAAAAACCTCCTTGGTTTATGATGCATCTCATATTGGAATGCAGGACACTGGAAGCAGGGTTTGAGCCAATCCATTATCTGATTTTGCAACAATCACTGTTTAATAATTTTTTTTAAATCTAGGCCAGTGTATATCATAGTATTGAAAAAGTTTTTAGTATTTAGGGTTTTGATAATTCCTCATACCGGATATGTATACTCCTTAATAATTTATTTCCAGAATGATCTGAACTTTAAAAAAAAAATGTTTCATGCTTGGCTGTTGCTAAGATGAGTTGTCCAACTATACTAATAAAATTGAACATCGCTGTCTAGTGGGTTTAATCTTTAGATATCAATATTTGAACAATGGAAGCCTTGTTTACATATAATGATGAATGTAATTTATTATCACTATAGTAATAAAAACTCAGAGCCTCCATCCAGGGTATTTAATAAATATTTTATTCAAGAGACCACAAAGGGTTATAATGCTGAGATTAATTTTCAGACCCATTAATATTTCAGTGGGTCTGTTTAGCTTTTGTTCTTTCCCTTTTTATGGCCATAGCTCAGTCTTTGCCTGATAATGCTCCAAACCAATTTCTGAAATCACAGTGCCCTCATCAGTTCCTTCTTACAGACGATCATGCAGTATTACATTAGCAATGTCCTTTAAACATTTAATGGCTTATTTCCAAAAGTACTGCGATTATTTCAATGAATTCATTTGGGGTCTAGCCTTAGAAAAAGTTCAGATTTTGCAAAGCTTTGTTGACCGCTAGAAGCAGCTTTATGGGCCAGATGTAGCCTTCAGCTTTGCTATCCCACCCTAAAGCATACAAAGTCATAAGGAAATCATGTTTTCATGAACACCCCCTTCTTCCTTCTATCTTCCTTCACCCCAACAGCTGAGGTGTTGAAATCACTCCCCATTATGCTCACTGCACTGAGTTGAATAGTTTATCTGTGATCATTTGCAATTAACCCCCTTCCATAACACTGTCTTTATTGCCCCCTTGCCATGCTCACTGTCACAGTTTCTAAAGGGAGGTTTTAAGATTTTTATTCCTTATGTATAAGGGTGACAGTGACCTTGAAAATTGCACCCTGAAAAACAGAAAATATTGCGAGGCAGGTGGCTTGGCTTCAGATCACTACTGTTTTTGAGCAATACCGATTTAAAAATGCAACTACCCATAAATATTCCTATTCTTAAAAGGGGGGATCTAGTTATTTTAACCGGAGGTAGTCATGTCACAAATTAAAACTTGTTCTTGTTGTTGTTAGTTCTGTAATTGGTAGAGGAGGCAAACCAGTTCCATTAAGTAGGATGTACTGGTCATTGCAAATTGCTGGATGAATGCTATATCAGTGCTGCAACTGAAGTCATTAGTTGGTTTTCACTACAAACTGGTGACTTTAAAAAGCACCTTGGAAGGGGACTTTTTCCTACCCATCTTTGGATGGGCCACAGATGAACGGAAAACCTTCCTCAACTGTTTCCTCTGTTTGGTCGGTGGAGCTACAATGGCACCCAGTGGCCTTTTGAGATAATGCTAAAGGTTTCCATCTCACGCTTCTGGAAATATGTGCCTTTAAGAGTTGTGTGATGGAGGGGAATTTCAGCTGGTCCAGATGGTCACTTCATGATGCCGCAGGCTTGAGCAGCCTTGCACCTGCTGAAGCTTTTCCTTCTACCTAACCTAAAGACAGAAGAGCCATGTGTTTTTATTGGCCTCCTATCAAAGAGTGCTTCAGTCATTACAACTCCTTGCTCCTGTTCTGAAAAAAGGCGGGGAAAGCAAAGCACATGGGTCGTAGCTTCAATCTAGGCTTGTCATATGTCAGGAAAATTCCTGACATGTCCTGGTTTCCAGGTGTAAAAATGGCGTTGGATGTATGGCAACGCAATGGAAAAAGCAGCGCAACCTTTTTTTTTTGTTTCAAACACTTCCGATTTTGGGAGGAATGAAATGTTTTCAGGAATGGAAAAAGGAGCTAGCCAGATTTGTCTGGAATGGCAATAAGCTGAGAATCAAACACCAGGTATTAATAGATAAAAGAGAAAGAGGTGGATTTGGATTACCGGATTTAGAATTATACCATGCCGCAGCTGGCTAGTTTGGTTAAAGAAATGGATTACACTAAAAGATACAAATGTATTAGATCTTGAGGGGCACGACAACCGGTTTGGGTGGCATGCCTATCTGATATATGAAAAGGTGAAAGTGCACAAAGGTTTCTTGGGCCATGTAGTAAGAAGATCACTCTATAAAATCTGGAGTAAATACAGAGGAATTTTGGAACCCAATATACCTTTGTGTACGTCACCAGTAGAAGCGATAGCAATCAAAAGGAAAAACATGAAGGGAGACTGGCCCACTTACAGGATGTTATTAGAACCAAACAAAGAAATGCCAATCCTAAAAAAATATGAGGATATTAAACATCACCTGTCTGGTTGGCTACAGTAATTCCAACTAAACCAAAAACTGAGCACAGATAAAAGAGAAGGTCTTGCCAAAGAAACTTCCGCCTTTGAAAAAGAGTTAATATATAACAAGGGAAAATATATATCAAGAATGTATGAACATCTTTTAGAGTGGGAAGTGAAAGAGGAGCAGGTTAAAACATCTGTGATAAAATGGGCGCAGGACTTTGGCTACAATATTAATATGGAACAGTGGGGAATGCTATGGCAGCAAGACATTAAATTTACCTCATGTTATAATTTGAGAGAAAATACCATGAAGATGCTTTATCGATGGCACCACACCCTGGCAAAACTTGCCAAAATGTATAAGGGAAGTTCACCAATATGTTGGCGTTGTAAAAAGGAAATAGGATCGTACTATTATATGTTGTGGACTTGTATGGTTATAAGCAAGTTTTGCAATAAAATATATGATGAATTTTAGAAATTATTTAAACTTATTTTTTTAAAAAGGCCAGAGATTTTCCTTCTAGGAATACTGCCAATAGAGAAAAGCAAAATACAAGACCACTGCTTATGTATTCAATTACAGCTGCAAGAATACTGATAGCCAGAAGTTGGAAATGTGAAACAACAACTACAATAATAGATTGGCAATCACTCATGCTAGAGTACTTTCAATTAGCAAAGCTGACCGGAAAAGTCAGAGGAGCCCCAAATAAAAAAAAATTCAGAGAATAGAGACTATTCAAAGAATATATAAGATTATATTGTAATAATGATGTTATCCTAGCAGAACTCAATGATACTTGTATATAATAAACAAATGGAATAAATATACTAGATGAATATACAGGAAGTTGTAAAACAAACTGTGCGATAAAATTAAGACAATAGAAAAAGTACGACGAGAACGATTGGAAGTTTCTTTCAGAAGACTTTATTAGAAAAGACAGGATGTTATAACCAATATTCATTTCTTATTGTTAACTCTTTTTTGCTTTTTATTTTTATTTCCTTTATCTTCTTTCTATTATATTTTTTGTTTAATTTTGATGTAACTATTTGTAATATATACGTAAGATGATATTTTAAATCAATAAAGACGAATTTTAAAAAAAGAGAGGAAGAAACAGCGGAAACGGCTCCAAAAGCTTAAAATCAATCACATCATTGAAGTCCTTTTTCCTGCCCACTTTCCCTGTTCCCCTCATAGTCAGGGGAATATAGTATTCCTGTGGAACACCTTCCCATTAGATGTCAAAGAGATAAACAACCATGGGACTTCCTACAGACATCTGGAAAAAGCCCTGTATGGGGAAGTTTTTAAATGTCTGATGTTTCTATGTGTTTTTATATTTTGTTGGAAGCTGCCCAAAGGGGCTGGGGCAACCCAGTCCGATGGATGGGGTTCAAGCCATTATTATTATTATTATTTATTCCAGCTTTTCCTCAGTCCCAGATGTGTGGGGCGCTGCCTGTGGTGGCTACTTAATGGCAAGGGGGAAAGGTACTTTGCACGTGCTCAGAGGCATGCCATCCTTTGTGACAAGTTCCCTTCAAACTCTGGTTTTCCTCCACCAGCTCTTTCTGAAGACCACCCTCCTCCTCCAGTACTACTGCGACTGGTATTCATTCCCCATGAAATCGTGGATTCCCTTCCTTGCAAGGAAACATTTTCCTCAGGATAGAAGATTCCCCGCTTTTCTACACTTGCCCCTCCCCCCACACCCTCTTGCCTGAGGTAAAACAAAAAACCCACCACCAACGAACGCAGCACCCTGGCGGTGAGACACCTGTAAAAAAGGAGAGAGAAATTTCCCGCGCTGCCCGATGATTGGCTGCAGCTCACCAGCTCCTGCCGCTCATTGGCTCGCGCGATTTTTGGCGCCTTTTCCCTCGCGCTGAGGGAAGGAGATGATTCTGTGGGGCTGAGCGAAAAGCCTCGGCTGTGGCGGGGAGGATTTCAGAGAGGGGCGAAGTTTAAACAGTTCCCTCGCTGCGTGTAGAGCAGGGAAGCCCAAAGTCTAGGGCTGAATCCCCTCCCCAAGATTAAAGGAGGAAATGCCCAGTTTGGGCTGAGGGAGAAAAGGGGAGAAAGAAAATTGGCTTGGATGGATGGATGGATGGAGACTGAGGAGGGAGAGATGATTAAACTGGGCTGAAATTTGAGAACTGAGGGAGGGGAATGGCATCTGGGACAGAAGCCCAGGAAAGAGGGCAGAAAATGCCAGCTGGGGCAGGAGCCCAGGGAATGTGGGAAGAAATACCTCCTGGGGCAGAAGCTCAGGGGTTGGGGCAAGAGATGCTCAGGGATGATGAATGCCAAGGGCAGGAGGGCAGGGGCGGTTCCAGCAGGGGAGAAGCCGGAGGGATGAGGAGAGAGGCATCTGACAAGAACGAAACTCCAGGGAAGAGGGCAACTGAGGCTGAATGGCCTGTTCCCAGTGGGGGAGATCTCATGGAGAATGATCCCAGGGATCTGAGAGGAGAGCCCATGGAGAAAGGAGCCACCGGGGCACCACCTCCTTCTGATTCTCTTCTTACAAAAAGTGTTGAGGCGGGGAGGACGGGGTCAGGTAGCCCAAAAAACAGTTGCTTAGACAGGGGTTCTACAGAGAGGGTCAAAAAGCCGAGCCATAAGAAAAAGGGGCAGAAGCCTAAGGTGAGGAATTTGGAGTAAGCAAATATCCCGTAAAGAGACCTTCCATCCTAAAATGTGGCAAGCTTCTGCAAGTGGAGACTTGCTGCTTTTAGCAATTTTGCAGGCTTGGGGAAGTCACACACAAATGTTTTAATTAAATAAAAATAATGGGGAAATAATATATAATTTAAGAGGTGTAAATAATAAGATTTCACATGTAGCTCAGTTATTGCTGGAGAGGCCCATAAAGATGGGAACCTTGACAATCATGCTACAGTCACATGACACTTTATCTGTAGTTGCCAATGCCTGATAACATGCAGCAATCATTCAAAGTTGGCAAAGTAGTGTAGAATTTCCATGCAATTTGGAAACTTTGGGTGCAGACTGGACAGGAAAGCCATAGCTAAATTTTGTTTTAAATAGATCTGGTTCAGGGACATGGTAAAGTATGGCAGCTGCTCAGCTTGTACAACAACTGGACTTTCAAGAGCAGTCCCAGCAACTTAGCTTGTTGTTAGACCCATCAATTAATTGGTGTGCAAATTTAAAAGTGTGTAATTTCACTGATTGATTTCACTTTACTTTTAAAGTGCTTGTTTCTAAGTAAAACACATGATATTATGTGTCTGTACCCACTTTCTTCCTGTGTACTAGGCTGAAGATACTTTTAAAGGGCTGGCCATCTACTTCCCTAAAGAGCAATGGGCTGAAATGGGAGAATGGGAAAAAATTCGTTATAAGAATATGAAAGAGAACTATGAGTTTATGACTCAATTAGGTGAGAGAAATTACTGAAAAGTAAGCAAGGAGTATGGATTATTTAGCTGCAATAAGATCTCTGAGTTGAAGAACAATTGAAGAATTGTTCACTCTTGCACCTTATTTTACCTTTATCAAATAGTAACATTCAAAGGGTTCATCTATGTGACATGTTAAAGTTAGCAAAGCATATATTTTAGTGTGTATTTAAAAGTTTAACTGTCAGGCTTCCAAGGGCTCTCAATGATTACAGCCTGAAGCTCAGCTCAATTGCACCATATATTAACTATGTTTGTAAAAAGGTTAAAATTTAGAACTCTGTAGGCAGAATTAGGACCAGTAGAGAAGGCAAAGAGAGATTAATGAAAGAAGTATGGAACTAGAAATAATGCTGAAATTGTACCTGGGAGGTCTGGATTCAAATTCTTTTCCAAGCATGGCTTCACTTTATATGCTTGGTTAAGTTACTGGGTTGAATCAGTTAAGTTGCACATTGGCTGCAATCTAATCCACTTTCCTGGTTGTAGACCCCAATTGAAAGCAATAGGGCTTACTTTTGAGTTTCTTAGTATTGCTCTGTAAGATAGCATTGAAACATTTGTCTCCTTTCGCCACTCCTCTCCCATGTTGTGGACTGCAGAGGATAGATTGGTCTTTCACTGATACAGTACTTTTTCTTTTTAACAAAACCTTTTGGCTAGGTATACTATGTGGCAAGTGATCTGAAGCCTTTCACATTGGATACAGATTCTGGGTGGTGGGAAGGGCCTAGTTTTCCCATAGCACAATATTGATTATTTTGTCTTTTATTGGCATTTGACATCAGTTGAACAGAGACAAATTTCTGGAAGCATTCTTTCAATAAGATGTTTGCAGACAACAACTTTTATAGTATCTTATACCTGATATTTTTTATTAGGTCTTCCTACACCTAAACCAACATTTATGTATCATGCACGGCAACCTCCCAAAACTACAAATGAGTCCTCTGAGTCTGATGAGGAATGGACACCACAATCTATAGGTAAATGATTATTATAGTCATTCCTGAATACATGCAGCCCTCCAGGCTTCTGTATACGGGCCATAGAACTCTTTGCAGGCCATACCCCTCACCAGCAGTAAAGTCTAAGAAAAATTCTGCTGGAACAGACCATCCTGTTTCCCACAGTGCCTAGCCAGATACTTCTGGGAAGCCCATAAGCAGGGCATGAAGGCAATGCTCCCCCTTTCTGTTGTCCCTTCAATCAACCTAGCATATATCTGAACATGGGCATTCCATTTAGCCATCATAGCTAATTGAAAGATAAATGCTCTATGATTGACTGCATTTGTCTCTTTCTGGTGAATGACATATCTATTACTTTAGTTACATTAATTTTGTGAGATGCAGCTGATGAATGTAACAAAATGTAGTTTATGTGATGTCACCCAACTCATCTACATTGGTTCATTTTGCTCGTCACTACTAATAGCCCTTATGTCTCATACTTGATTTTCCTTTGCTCTACCTATATGAATATTCTGTTGCAATGATGGGGAATGAGTGGCCCTCCAGATATGACTCCTGTAATCCTTCACCATTAGCCATGCTGGCTGGGACTAATGGGAGATGGAGTTCAACAACAACTGGAGGGGCACTGGTTCCCCACCTCTGTTCTGTTGCTATACTGTGTACTCTAGTGCATAGATCAGGTTGCAATTTTGCTGTATTCTTTTTATTGAATATTAATCTTTTGCATTAGAATGGTTTTATATTCATTCTAAAGCTAAGCATCTAATGGTGTTTCATTAATTCAATACTGTATCAGCAATGAGGTTTATTGTCATATTGTCCCTATATTCCCATTCATTCCATGTATATACAATCATATAAGGAAAGTCTGGAGCTCAGTGGTACAGCATGTGTTTTGCACAGAAAAACTCTCAGGTTTAGTCACTGGCATTTCCAGGTAGAGCTGGGAAAGACTTGTGTCAGGACCCCTGGAGGGCCACTGCTGGACCGTGTCAACAATACTGAGATGGATGGACCAATGGTCTGACTTAGTATATAGCAGTTTCCTATGTTCATTCCTTTTTCTTGGCAACACAATGTGTAATATCATGGGATACATTCCTGTGATGATGCATTCATAGTCATAATAAAAGTGAAGATGCAGAGAAAATATTTTAAACATCAATCAATCAAGAGACATTTATTGAGGCATTATTGTTTTTATCATTCCATAAACTGAAGGAGAACCACCTGCCTGTTCAGTTTCTATTTATTTAAATTCATGCTACCAAATGTCTTTCTACTGGTGAAACAGTGGCTGGGGAAACCCAGCCAGATGGGCGGGGTATAAATAATATTTTTTTATTATTATAACAACACATTTTTGCAAATATACTCCTGGAAATTACCATGGAGAACTGGCTGGCAGGTACTGGAGAAATTTAGTGGATGGTTTGGAGCTATAGCTTTCTCCAAATGATTGACTGGTATAAATACCAAAGTTTGTGTATATATTGCACAATACACCCTTTATCCCCCCCCCTCTCTCTCGGGTTTATATATTCAGTGATAATATTTTAATTTTTAAAATATTAGTTTGCTTCTTATTTCCAGTAAAATCTTTTAGGACACCATGTAACCTGAATAGCTGGAAAGAGGAAAAGAAAAAAAAGTACCCTCTTGATCAAGTAAGATAGTTTTGGATATTTCAAGTGATTTGCAATTTCTGTTTTTTTGTTTGTCTGATGATTCTAGCAAACATCGAATCAAAATAGTTTGGAGAAACATTTCATGTGTTTGCCCTGATATGGAAATAAAGATATTAATAAAAGCAGGGTTTGATGGGGCATACTTTTTATTTGAGTGGAAATTTATTGTTTACAATCATTAGCTTTTAGAGAAACAATTTGACTTTTGTAGTCAGTGATCATAACATTACACTTTCAAACAAAGGAAGAACCAAAACAAACAGCTGAAACAAAGAAACAAACTCTGAAATCAACACAAACTCTGGAATCAAATGTGTAGGAGACTGAGGATAAGCTACCCATCTGACAGGGTGACCTGTAGTTCACAAAACCCACACTATTTGCTGACACACTGAAAGACTGTGAAAAATATTTTCTTTCTTTTTTTAAGTATGTGGAAACACTAATTGAAGGAAGGGGAACAGAACACAGCTGGACACTAGCTTGCACATTATCAGTGTATACAGCCAATATAGTTAGTAGCTGCTGCTTTAGATTATGGTATCACATGAAGGTGTGTACTGCTGTACACAAGAAACTGCTATGTATGAAAGCACACTGTGAAATAGTAGCCCATGTGTGTTTCAAAAGCTTCATGTGGACACAGCCTAATAGACCAGCCTTCACCAGTCAGGGGTAGTCAACCGTTTTATACCTACTGCCCACTAATGCATCTTTCTTAATGGGAAAATTTCCTTACCACCCACCAGTGTTCGATGGAAGGATGATTCAGCTTGTGCTGTAGAACCCCCTACCGCCCACCTAGAATCCTGAAACGCCCACTAGTGGGCAGTAGGGACCAGGTTGACAACCCTTCTCCAGGTGTTTTGAATTCTAGTCAGCCCCAGACAACACAACCTTTTCGACATGAGGACACTATGTAGCTATTTCATTGGGTTGAAAGTCAAATATATAATATGTTCATACATTTAAGTCATGATTGCTGCAGCAATTCATTTTCTGTTCATGTTTGAAGGTCTTTCTGGGTGTTAGCAATAATAGTCACATGTTCAAAGTTATTTCCATGTACCATACTTTTGCTAAACATTGTACTGTACTCTATAGCCAAAGGAGAGATTCCTGAGAAAAATAAATAATTAAGTATGGCTTGGGACTGTCTCGTAACTGAATTTACTAACTGGTAATTTGTCTAAATGATAACTGCCATTGTGGAAATATTTAAGAAGATCTAAATTAATATGATCACTTTTAACACCCAGTAAATACACATGATTCACAAGCCCCCTCTTAATTCTTTATGAGTGTTATTTGAGATAATAATAATAATAATAATAATAATAATAATAATAATAATAATAATAATAATAATAATAATAATAATAATAATAATTTATTATTTGTACCCCGCCCATCTGGCTGGGTTTCCCCAGCCACTCTGGGCAGCTTCCACAAAGACCAAAATATGTTAAGATTTAATAGAAAACAACTTTTTGTTGCAGAATAAGCAAATAAACACTATGGGACTTACTTCCAAAGACCAAGAACATATAAAGAAAACTGACAAAAATACATGTGCAGATGTTCATACTACAGACATTGCAGCAGAATCAAAGACTGGTAAGTGCTTGGTAGAGAGCCATTTATTTATTTTCTTAATATTTTAAAATATTAATTACTCTGCCCACTGTGTTCTTTACAGCTTTTTGACATTTAATTGTAAAGGGCACTCTCCAAAACTGGAACTGGAAGTTTTTCTAATGATCTGATCTTATGATCTGTGTAAGACAAATTTTTTTGATGTAATTGTATATAAGAGCAAAAACAAAGTTGCATGTTGTTTTCAAGTCCAGTGCAGCAAAATGACAGAGAGCTTACACTGTGCAGCTGCTCAAGCAGTTCAAATCCACCTAGCCAATTACACTGTGAAAGACTTTACATGAGTCAAATATGGAAGGAGATGGGGCATGAAAGGGACAGGGTGTGTTAATAGTGATGTTTAAGTGTGAGCTTATCCATGTTAACAGGACCAGGCATTCCTGCAACCATGAAATATGAAAATTGACTCAGAATTAAATTTCTAACATTGATAAGCTGCACTTAAATGCAGACATGTCCATGTTAAAAGATATTCTCTGTGCTTAATGAAAGTTGGGGATTTTTTAGGTGGTTTTGTCTCATTCTGAAAAGGGCTATGGTTTAGTATGGTATTTCTAGGTCGGAGCAAGATTGGTTAATATTTTGCTGCCTGTGAGCCACATTGTCACATATCCAGGCTCTCAGCCAATCTAGGTAATTAAGCATCGCTAGTAAAGAGCATAACTAATTCTGTTTAGATGCCTAGTGAAACGTTTTGGAGCACAGCCAAGCAAAATCTTCAGGAGGAAATAGGGAACATTTTAATTCTCAGCACACTGTATCTGTCACTTCATGTCCAGTGTGGTATGTTCATCCTATGTTTTTTACCATCTGCTATTCTTATGTGACTTGTTAGAAATGCTGAAACTATAGAATATTTTATTATAAGGAGACAATGCCATTTCAGAATAGAATATCCCACAGTGTTCTACACACATCTTGCAGAAACAAAAGTAGATATATTCAGGCATTCTGCTTATATGTAAATCCTACACATGAGCAAGGCAAGCAGGGACTAATGTGAACACCTAAACATACCTAATGTGATTCAAGTTCTTGTATTCCATGTACTTTTGCTTTCCATGAGTTTATGCGTTACAAAATTAGATTATATACTTCAGATATTGAGAAGAAAGCTTTGTCGGGGAAAGCAAAGAATAAGAAAAGAGATCAGGAGAAAGAAGTTAGTACATACAGTTTGCGGAAGAGGGAGAGAAAAACATATATGGAAATAAATGAGCCAAATGATGATGATTACTTGTGTAAGTTTATAATCAGCATTTTCCATCTTCAATTCTTATGTTGCCTTGGAAAAATATTTATAAAACAGTGCTTTTAGATATTCTATTACATATTTTTCAGGTTCAGGTTTATTCATAATTCTAATGCTAATAATGCTAAGAAACTCTCCCTTTATGCTTATATTTTAAAAAGTGCTTAATCAAAATTATGTTAATTAAAATGCCTGTATCAGGCTTGTAACAATTGTCCAAAATTGGAGAAGGAAGAGCAATTCTATACTGGCACTATTAAACTCTCTTTTTGTGACACTACTCCATTTTGTAAGAAAGTACATCAGACTTTCATATAAAAAGTTCCTGAGCTATAATCAGTATTCCCAATCGCATTTTAAAAAGAAAATAAATTTCCTATAAATTTGCCATGGGCCATTTATTCACAATAGACTCGCAATTTGATTATATTCACGGATGATGGGTGATGTACAGAAGGTCTGCAGTTACCCTAGCCCTTCTCTAAACAGGAGGTGTCAGAATCTGTACAAGTAATCTGTGGCAGTTGAACTGAACTAATGCTGTTCTTGATTTGTCAGAAACTGGCAGATTGTGATAAAGGGTTAAAGCCAATGCAAGGCTTACTTAGTTTAGACCCATTGTAATTAATTTAATATTACTAAATTAGATCATTTGATTTGAAAAGGACTTCTCTGTGTAAGAATTAACTGGACACAACACAGAGGTTTTTGAAAGGACTACGTATGCTATAGAAGTGCCAACAACAAACACATATTTCATACTCATAGAGATGAAAGTATCCAAAGACTATGTAGACCAATCCCATAGAATAAGAATAGACTGTCCATCTACCCATAACCACTCCTAGAGTGCAGCTGTCATCTGTGGACCACAGTGTGCCACACGGAGTTAGCAGATACAGTCAGTAATAGCTTGAGGGAATTTGTGCAATTAAAGTATGGTTACACACTATAAGAAAAGGAAAACCAACCAACCAAATGTTAGCGGCTAAACTAGTTTAGGGGGGAAATCCTTCCTTCTTCAAAGAGAATCCAATGGGAAACACGTCAATACCACTCAATATTCTGATAGGGAATGCCAAGGTTGCATAGCACGGGAAATAATCCTTCTTAACATTTATGGGCGACGACAGACATAAGAAATAACGAAACATTTCCCTGAATTCATCCAACTGTACCATGAAGCCTTGGAGCACCCTATGGTGCTAGAACTATTGTTAAATGGAACTATCAGGGTTCGTAAAACTATCCCACACACCATCACCCCTCCCCTACTTTCCCCATCTTTTCTTCCCAACCTCATACTGTTTGCAACACTAACGTCTCACAACAAATGAAACTGATCTGTAGAAAACACAACTTGAAAAAAGAGACAATGCACATATTTTTGTATACTGATAAATATTTAATAAATATTATTTTAAAACAACAACTATCAGGCTGACTATGCCTAGAACCAGACAGAATTCTGTCTGCTGCAATTAGATTATCTGCTGATCACATGCTATGTCTAAGGTGGGGCTTAGCAGGCTCATGAAAAAATGTATTCAGTCCTTGGGGAAGTTTCTTGGAACAACTTCCATTAACCAGCTTCTTGGTGCTCTGTGCTGCCTTGCTGAGAACCTGTGTTCTTTTTGTTTGTGACTTTGGCCTGTGACTGGACTTTGCTTCTCTTATTGACCACCCCCTCAATGTGACCTTAGGTTGTGAACCCAACCTTGCTCTCTGGACTGCCCCATAAGTAGACTCCCACCCCTGGCATCCTTATCCCCTGAAGCAGTACAATAGCCCTGTCCATATCACCATTCCCCAAGACCAGAGCTTCAGTTGGAGAGCCGACCACAAAATTCATTGTAATAATTATTGCACATTGACACAAATCCCCCACGTTTTACAACTTCAAATATTTATATAGATTGCCAATCATAACTGTAGATATTTGAAAAAACTCATTGATGGAAAAAACGTCCTGCAGCATCATGTCTCAATTATCTTTCTTTCCCTTCCTAGTTTGTGAATACTGCCTGCTATTCTTTATTGATGAATGTTCAGTTCATGGTTCTCCAGTTTTCATCAAGGATACAGCAGTAGAAATAGGACTGGAAGAGAGGGCCACCCTCACTTTACCTCCAGGTTTGAGAATTGGCCCATCAGGTATCCCCAAAGCTGGCTTTGGAGTCTGGAATGAAGGAGAAATTCTGCCTCCAGGAATTCATTTTGGGCCCTATGAAGGGAAAATCACAGAGGAAGAAGAAGCAGCCAACAGTGGTTATTCTTGGCTGGTATGATTTACTCACAGCACTTTTATTTTAAAAAAATTCCATGTAGAGTACCGCCTTGCTGAATGAACAAACCCCACCCTCCAGGCAGAGTCAAACGACTTTGTTCAGTGCTCCTTCCCTTTACAATGTCAAGCTTGTGAGTACAGGAAGTAGAACCTTCTTCCTGATGGAGCCACAGTGTTGGAACTCCCTCCTTAGAGAAGTCTTGTTCCTTCATCCTTTTAAGTTTTATGAAAGTGGTCAAGAAAGTTTCTGCCTTTTCTGTTTAATAATCCTCTGTTTTTAAGTATGATTTGATGGAATATCAATTATGAATAAACTTCATTGAATGTTGTAGAAGTGGGCTAAAAATTATATGTTAAAATGCATTTAATGAAAGAAAATTTGAAACAATAACTCAGAATGGTGAACTTTTTCATTTTAGTGTATCAGAACTCAAATGTTAATGAATACAAGCAATCCTATTGTTGTCTGTCACCACCCAATGTTGAAACACAATTTGAATTGCAGCAAGATCATAGATGGTTCAATGCAGAATTGTCAGGGCCTTGCAGGACATAGACAAATGTGCACTGGGGTAGCGGGGCTGGACTTGGGAGAGGGGATCTGTTGTGGCAACCTGTACCAGCCAGGGGGCAAGAGTCAGACAGGGGAAGCTTCAGAGCTGGAGGTTGGAGCACAGGATGTGTTGGAGGCAGAGGGGAAAGAGGCAGGTCAGGCAAGGGAAGAGTTGGGTTCTTCCCCATACTCTCCTGCACCACTGTCTCCTAAAACCAGGAGGGGATTGAAGAAGGAAGAGCAGAGACAGCTTCCATGCAGGTGTAGCCACTGGCTGTGTTCCTGTGGCCCATCAATGAGAGGTACATAAACTAGTGGAGGGGGGTGGCTCCCCTTGTTGCTGCAACTGCTCCACAGAGCACAGGCCTGGGAATTAGGCAGTGTGGTTATTTGGAGCTATAGAACTACTTTCTAGATGCTATAAAACTACTTTCTAGGCAAGTCCCTTCGACTCTATTCTGCCCCTGCCCTGTTCTGCTCCCTTGCTGCACCAAAAACGGCATGTGTATGTTGCTGCATGCAACTAGAATGTGCACAAGTGGGCAGTTGTTTGTACTGTAAGTGTTTGCTTGGGACAATAATGAATTAACTATCTGCTGTGTGCATCCTGGGGAGTATCTTTAACAAAAATGATTATAACTTTAAAAGCAGAAAGTACCCATCTTGACTATGGAGTCTAGCCAGATAACAGACATGCACAGATAATATACCTATGCAATGGTGAGACATATACCTTAAGCAAAAAAGCCAGGGAAGTTCTTGAAATGTATTTCTTACCCAAACCAATATTTTGTTGCTTCTGCTTATTTGTTTATTCAAAGTGAATTGTCTTATTAAAATAAAAAGTACCGTATAGTTCACCATTTAGACCATTCTAAATTATTTAAACACAAAGTTTTAAAACTCCAGGAAAACTCCTTGAAAGAAAATGATGAGAATCCAGAAAACAAGCCTGCCAGGAAACAGAGCTACAGAATAGGTGGGGAGGGTGGCTTCATAATTAGGCAAAAGGTGAAAAGGGTTCTTAGTAGTTGCAATATGTGGGAAGAGGAAGATGCAGGATATTACCATGGGGGTGGTTTTTGTGCCTGTTGGGGTTGCACAAAAGAAGGGGAAGACATGGAGGTGAAGGTGAAAACGGGTGCAAAGCAGGGCTGCAGAAACGAGAGTAGTGCTTTCAAACATAGGGTTGAGAGGGTGAAAAGGGGGCTTAGTAGTTGCATGCAGTGGGAAGGGGAAACTCTAAGGGGGTTAATAGGGGGAGAGGGCTGATGACCAAAGCAAGCAGGGGAGCAGAGCCCTTAACATCCTACATATTGTTGTAGTGTTACCATATTGATGTGTGTGTTTCGTGTCTATCTTAATTACAGATTACTAGAGGGCAAAACTGCTATGTTTACATTGATGGAAAGGATGAAACTAATTCCAACTGGATGAGGTAAACATCCTTGATCAAACTAAATGAAGAGAGACTTTTAAAACAAGGGTCTTCATACACCTGGAAAGGCCAATAGAACAGAATAACTTAAATGTCATTCTGGGTGCCTACAGGTTACCCGTCCGTACTCTTAATACAGTGGTACCTCGGGTTACATACGCTTCAGGTTACAGACTCCGCTAACCCAGAAATAGTGCCTCGGGTTAAGAACTTTGCTTCAGGATGAGAACACAAATTGGGCAGTGGCAGCGCTGCAGGACCCATTGGTTAAAGTGGTGCTTCAGGTTAAGAACAGTTTCAGGTTAAGAACAGACCTCCAGAACGAATTAAGTACGTAACCAGAGGTACCACTGTATCTTTTAACTGTTGGGAGTAAAGCACAACATTTGCAATAACCAGCTTGAACTGTGGTGAGGAATAGACAGAAATGCAACCTGTTCTTCCTTCTTCACTGATTCCTTCTCTTTTAGTAAATGCTTGTCGGTAAAGTAGATCACTTCCTTTCAGGCCTTAATTCTTTTCTGCTTCTCCAAGTAGTCAGTATGAGTTAGCTTGTGCTAGTGGCTGCATCTTGGCCACATGTAAAATCTATACATAGAATGGTTCCTCCTCCAAGACTAATAAATGTTAAGTTTTCTTTATCCTTTCAACAGCAGTCTTACCAGGGTATTTTTTCTGCATACTGCTTTGCAAATTGCACACTATTTACCAAAGTCCAGTAGTGCCAGTACTAGAGAGAGAAGTGGCACCTTTCAAAGGTAAAAAGAATATCTTGGTTTGGAAAGAGAGTGGTGGGCCACTAAACTGCTTAGTGGGATCAGTCAAAGCTATGGGTTCATCATTCCTAGTAGAGCAAATGCCTGGTGGTCTGCATAAGTCTTGCTTCTGAAATGAATGGGAGGAGCAACCCAGACAAATATATTCTTCTACCACCATAAAAAAAGAAAGTGAAGTTACCACAGGTAAGAAGACCAAAGTTTATTTTACAAAATTCTGTTGTGTGTTGTAACCTCCAGTGTATAATATGCCCAGTGTTCAACAAATTTAAAATATTTCAGCTGTACATTTCATTACTTGAATAATAGAAGAAAGTAATGCAATTGTTATGCTTCATAGTACTTCTCTAATTTCCAGCTTCCCTGACTGAGTACTTTTAGTTACCCTCTTAACAATGAACTTTCAGGTATGTTAACTGTGCCCGGAATGAGGAAGAGCAAAATCTTGTTGCCTTCCAGTATCATGGGAAAATCTACTACAGAGCATGTAAAATAATCCTTATTCATTCTGAGCTTCTGGTTTGGTATGGAGAAGAATATGGAAAGGAGCTTGGCATCAAGTGGGGCTCTAGATGGAAATCAAGAAAAGGTATAATAATCATGCATTGTTTTAAATCTTCCCTAACACTGAAGTCTGTTATTGCTTCTTTTGTTTGTCTTAGACAGCATTCTCCTAGATACATCTAATATATCTTCATATTTCTATGCATTATATACGGTAAATCTAAAGGACTAGTTCATAGAACCATAGAATTGTAGAGCTAGAAGGGTGGTTGAGGTAAGAGAAATGTAGGACAGCTGGGGGAAAGCTTTCATGTTGCAGAGAAATGCACAAGGATTAGGATCAATTTCGCATGGTGAATATGTGGCCTGAAAAGACTGGTGCTGCGTTTTTGACATAGTGGTAGTGCTTGTATGACTTTTGAACATGACTCCAGTTCTTAAGTCTTCTCATATGTAGAGCATGGGAGCGGTGCCAGCCTTGAGCAGGCTGGCACAAGTCATATTGCTGCCTGCTGCAGGAAAGTGAAGTAACAACACACCTGCCAGTAATATGAGACATAGTCCACCAGGATATTATTCTGTGCCTGTCTCTTTGAAAGGAATGGAGGCGTCATACAAATATTGTTATGCCTCTCCTATTTATTTCAATGGGAACTTGTGCAGTACAACATCCCAGTGGATTGTCCCACATTGGTTAAATCTGGCTTTCCCCCTCAGTCAAAATCCATCAGCTGGGAGGTTGTCACACCTTGGCTCATGGTGGACCCCCTCACATAGCATGCCAATATATTGTTGAACATCACCCCACTCTCTGAGCGGTGTGAAATTCCAGAGATTCTAGGAATGAGGGACATCAGAGTCTGTGGTATCTTTAAGATTTTTTTTTTTTTATACAAATATACAACCTGAGCTTGTGATGGAGGGACTGACAGAATCAACACCCCAAAATATATTGCTTCTTCCATAGTCACAGCCTTTGATTCAAATAGAAATCAAGTATGTTTCTCACTTTCTGGCTTCTGCTTGCTTCTAGCCCAGGTGTCACACACAACTGGCTATTGTCCTTCTAACTACCAGTCAGGTGAGAGGGGGCACCCATTTGTCCTCTGGCACAGAACAACTTGCTTTGTTATATTATTGACCATACTTAGGGCCATTAACTCGCCAAGGAATTTGCCTGGCTAGTTCAACAATGGAATTAGAAGAGACTCCAGCATCATACAGGCTGACACACACACACCCCGCCAAGGTCACAACAATACTACAGTTGTTGTAATATTAGGAAGAATTTCATCATATACAGTAGTTGTCTCTTGTGCAAATATCTAATTTCCCCTGTATGCAGGTGTTATCTTAAAAAATAAGAAATGCATTTGGCATAGAAGAAATTCTCTCTCAGAACTATTTTAATATAGTTAAAGCACCAAAATTTAGACTTTATTTGCATTCAATAGTATTGCAGTATTTTAACACACCTCCAGATTTTGGGTCATTCCACGCCAAATTACCTGGTGCCATATGCTCTCATGACTCAGATTTTCTTCAATTTTTTAAATGTGTAGATACTTATGAGATAACCTCAAATTAATTTTTAAAGATTTTTTGCTCCAAAATTGGGAGCAGGAGAATTTTTTGAAAATTTCGTTTTTCACGCAATTTAGGCTTATGCAATTTCTGCGTCAGTTTAGAAAAAAACCTCAAATTAATTTTTAAAGATTTTTTCATCCAAAATTGTGCATAGGAGAATTTTTTGAAAATTTTGATTTCTGCGCGATTTAGGCTAATGCAATTTCTGCGTCAGTTTAGAAAAAAAACTACTGTTTGTTTTTGTTTTTTCAACCAGTTGGGCTTATTTTGGTATCAAAATAAAGCTAAATGTGGTCTCTTTCGAAATAAGGTATAAAAATGGTATTAAGAAAAGGGTCACTGACTATTCAAAGTGAATTTTTGTCATTTTATTCCTGGTAGGTTCGATAAGCCATAGCGCGCAAACCACAACTAACACTTGTATCATCCTTTTGTTGTAGAATGGGGTAACTATGTACTTGTTATGTTTTAAAAATAAGGAGGGTGTTTTTTGTGGTTATAAAATAAATTGATTTTTAAGTAATTTTTTTACAAAAAAAATATTGCTTTTTTGGACAGGTTTAAGGTCTCTTTGAGCCTGAAATAACTCACACATTTGTGAGAATAGTTAAAATTAAGTTTAATTTATTACTTAATAAAAACAAAATATATCTTAGAGCCCTTGTTCATTTTATTGTGTAAAACACTTCTGCAATGACATGGTCAAAGCTATTTTGTTTCCCATACATGTAATATAGTCAGTGATGCTGTTTTGACCACTGTATGCAATATGACCTTTCTGAATGCTGTGGCCAGCCTTGGTCTTCTTACTGCTGCTTGCTCCTTCAGGACAACCCTCTGTTTTGGCATGTGTCTTTTTCCTTGGCTCTCAGTGAGCTTGTTGGGTCCTGTAGTTTCCTAAATAATGTAGTCCCATATGCCCATTTGTCATGCATGGTTGAAAATAGCTACTAAAACTCAAATCTTGTTTGTTCTCAAATAGTACACAGGCAGAATTCACGTTTGATACAGGAGCGAGGTATCACCTGTCATCAGTGTCCCTGCTGCAAATTGGCTTTCACTTTCAAAGATTACCTTCACAGACATATGAAATGGAGGCATTCAGGATATGGAGTACAGCCTGAAGTACCTGAAAATGTCCTAGCAGAGAAATCTCTATTCAAAATCACAAATAGTGCTTCAAACAGAACTATGCTGCAGCACCTAGTGCCAAGTTGTGTTTACAAAGATAAAGATGAGGAGACACTGTTTTTAAAAGATATAAACAAAGAGACACAGAGCAGAACTCAGGTTTCTAGATGCAATGAAAGTGGGACAACTTTAAAGCAGCTGTCACACCCAGCCCAACAATTATGTATAGGAGAGAGACCATGTTCATTTAGAAAGTGTGGGAGAAGTTTCAGCTACTCATCAGTGCTAGTCACTCCCATGCAAACACACACAAGAGAGAAGCCATATTCATGTAGGGAGTGTGGGAAAAGCGTTAGCCAGTCAGGCGTCCTGGCCAGCCACAAGCGAACGCACACAGGAGAGAAGCCATATTCATGTGGAGAGTGTGGGAAAAGCTTCAGCTGGTCAGGACACCTGGCTGTCCACAAGCGAATGCACACAGGAGAGAAGCCATATTCATGTGGAGAGTGTGGGAAAAGCTTCAGTCAGTCAGGACACCTGGCCAGACACAAGCGAACGCACACAGGAGAGAAGCCATATTCATGTGGAGAGTGTGGGAAAAGCTTCAGCCAGTCAGGAGACCTGGCCAGTCACAAGCGAACGCACACAGGAGAGAAGCCATATTCATGTGGAGAGTGTGGGAAAAGCTTCAGCCGGTCAGGACTCCTGGCCAGCCACACACGAACGCACGCAGGAGAGAAGCCATATTCATGTGGAGAGTGTGGGAAAAGCTTCAGCTGGTCAGGAGACCTGGCCAGCCACAAGCGAATGCACACAGGAGAGAAGCCATATTCATGTGGAGAGTGTGGGAAAAGCTTCAGCTGGTCAGGACACCTGGCTGTCCACAAGCGAATGCACACAGGAGAGAAGCCATATTCATGTGGAGAGTGTGGGAAAAGCTTCAGTCAGTCAGGACACCTGGCCAGACACAAGCGAACGCACACAGGAGAGAAGCCATATTCATGTGGAGAGTGTGGGAAAAGCTTCAGCCAGTCAGGAGACCTGGCCAGTCACAAGCGAACGCACACAGGAGAGAAGCCATATTCATGTGGAGAGTGTGGGAAAAGCTTCAGCCGGTCAGGACTCCTGGCCAGCCACACACGAACGCACGCAGGAGAGAAGCCATATTCATGTGGAGAGTGTGGGAAAAGCTTCAGCTGGTCAGGAAACCTGGCTGTCCACAAGCGAACGCACACAGGAGAGAAGCCATATTCATGTGGAGAGTGTGGGAAAAGCTTCAGCTTGTCAGGAAACCTGGCTGTCCACAAGCGAATGCACACAGGGGAGAAGCCATATTCATGTGGAGAGTGTGGGAAAAGCTTCAGCTTGTCAGGAAACCTGGCTGTCCACAAGCGAATGCACACAGGAGAGAAGCCATATTCATGTGGAGAGTTTGGGAAAGCTTCAGCTGGTCAGGAGACCTGGCCAGTCACAAGCGAATGCACACAGGAGAGAAGCCACCTTAATGTAACATAGTGGATAGAGCTACCAGTTCCAGTATAGAGTATGGTGCTGTATTTTGAATGTTTTTAGTCATAAAGTAAGCAGCTCTGCATTTCTGCTCATCTAGCAGTTTTGGTGCATTTCCCCATCTGCTGTAATAAGCAGGGCTCTAATCATTTGCTGTCTACTCTGTAGGAAACTTCATCACGTGACTTTTTCTAAAGCCAGCACCACTGCTCATACCACCTCATTGTTTAGAGCTCTTAAAGACACAATTTTGGGTATATGACCCTAGAAGTGAGTTTTTTTGTGGCAAGCCCTAGAAGTTTATTTGGTGAACATTTTTTCACCCTTATGCTTTTTAATGCTCCACAAACTGATTAAAAATGAAAGAAGTGCCTATGTTTTAAATGTTGAAGTTTTGTAATAAGCATTTCTTCTTGAGGGCCAATATGAAAAAGCATAGGGTGCTATACTACTTGTGGAGTTACCTGATGTAATTTATAAAGCTACATTTACATTATCTCCTGCTAGCATCTTTTTATGTTTTGCTGAAACTGTTTTCTGATGCTATACCTGATGAATCTTCACTAACCGCCTTAAAGATTATTTCCAAAATGAGCCAATGTTACAGTGAGGTTCAGGAGCTCCAATTTGAAGAAAAAGATTCAACCCTGACTACTAGACTCTGCCACATTTCCATCTAACAATGAAATCCCAAGATTCCATAATTCAGTTGAACAGTGCTTGCAGCTCTTAGGCTTTATTTCAATGGTCAATCATATTCTGCCCATGTTATCTTAATAAATGGCTTCTTCAAAAGTGACTGCTGTTACTGTCATAAATTAAGAAATAGTTTTCAATGTAACTGTCATATACTTTTTACATTAATCTGAAACTCTGGTCCAAATAACATACTGTATGTAAACACATATTATGAAATGTGATGCCTGCTTCTTCTAGCCAAAGTAGTTTTGTGAGGGAAACAGTCAGAAATGGAAGCAGGAGGGGAGTAAGATGTTTAATTCTTTATTTAGCTTTTCTTTTCTTCCACAGCTTTGCCTCAAGCCACTCTCCTCCAGGGGTGCCTGTTAAACTTGCAAAATACATTATTTGGAACCTTGCAAGGAGAAAAGTAGCTTCAGGAGGAGTTAGTTGGGAAATGCCATGCAGATGTCTGTGCACAAGGATGAAATGCCTTCCTCTCCCCCCTCCCCCATTTCAGATTTCAACCACCAAAGCTTCTTTGCCTAAAACAAACAACCACATGGATTTGTATTACACGCTTTTGCATGCCAAGTATGTGTTAGCCTTGCAACTTCTCTCTTTTTTTTATAATAATATTTATTAAGGTTTCAAAGAAAAGAATTACATAAATAAAAAGAAAGAAAAAAAATACAAAGATAAAAATGAAAGGAAAATACAAAATACAGAAAAAAGATAACAAACAGTTAAAAAAATATATATCAGTCTTTCCTTGCCTTACATTCATTTCCTTGCTTCCCGGACCTCTTCACACCTCCCTTTTTTGTATTCCAATTCAGTTACCGTAGTTAATTCAGCAATTTATTTCCCTCTTTGTTTTTATCTTAATCCTTTAACTTAATATTTTATAACTTTGGATTCTCACCTGTTAACAGTCCAGTTTTACATACACCTTTATAACATTACTGCTTAAACCACTTAAGTTCATTCTGACATCATTCTAACATTCATTAATTTTGCAATATTTCTGTAAATAGTCTTTAAATTTCTTCCAATCTTCTTCCACCGACTCTTCTCCCTGGTCTCGGATTCTGCCAGTCATTTCCGCCAATTCCATGTAGTCCATCACCTTCATCTGCCATTCTTCCAGAGTGGGTAAATCTTGTGTCTTCCAATACTTTGCAATAAGTATTCTTGCTGCTGTTGTGGCGTACATAAAGAAAGTTCTGTCCTTCTTTGGCACCGTTTGGCTGACCATGCCCAGGAGAAAGGCCTCTGGTTTCTTCAGAAAGGTATATTTATATACCCTTTTCATTTCATTATAAATCATCTCCCAAAAAGCCTTAATCCTTGTGCACGTCCACCAAAGGTGAAAAAATGAACCTTCAGTTTCTTTACATTTCCAACATTTATTATTGGGCAAATGATAGATTTTTGCAAGCTTGACTGGTGTCATGTACCACCTGTATATCATTTTCATAATATTCTCTCTTAAGGCATTACATGCCGTAAACTTCATACCTGTGGTCCATAACTGTTCCCAGTCAGCCATCATTATGTTATGTCCAACATCTTGTGCCCATTTAATCATAGCAGATTTCACCGTTTCATCCTGTGTATTCCATTTCAACAGCAAGTTATACATCTTTGACAAAATCTTAGTATTGGGTTCTAGCAGTTCTGTTTCTAATTTTGATTTTTCCACCTGGAAGCCAATTTTCTTATCCAAATTATATGCCTCCATTATCTGATAATAATGAAGCCAGTCTCGCACTTTGTTTTTTAATTTCTCAAAACTCTGCAGTTTCAGTCTATCTCCCTCTTGTTCCAAAATTTCCCAATATTTCGGCCATTTGACCTCCATATTGAGCTTTTTCTGAGCTTTTGCTTCCATCGGTGACAGCCACCTTGGGGTTTTATTTTCCAATAGGTCCTTATATCTTATCCAGACATTAAACAATGCTTTCCTGACAATATGGTTTTTAAATGCTTTATGTGCTTTGACCTTATCATACCACAAATATGCATGCCATCCAAATACGTTATTAAAACCTTCTAAATCCAAAATGTCTGTGTTTTCAAGAAGCAACTGTCAGGGAACTGCCATCGGAAGGAAGGGAGGTGAAAGGGCTCACACAGGTTGGGAGAGACTCAGCAGCTGAAGAGGGAACCAGTAGGGGGAGAGGAGCTGAGCTGAGGGAAAGTGAGCTGGAGGGATGGCTCAGAGACACTTCCAGCGAAAACAGTGGGGAGGTTTCAGGACCTCCTGTAGGGACACCCACTCCTCGCCGGAAACTGTCACGCAGAGAGTCCAGAAGACGTGTTTCCGTTAAGGAGCTTTTATGTTGGAAGAAATTCCGAAGCAACCACTGTCGGAATCTGCCAGTGACTAGAGGAGCCATGTCTGAGGGGCTCCGTCACAGACAGAGGTTTGTGGACTTGAACAAACTCTGAAGGGATACGGTTTTACGCACAAGCAGCTCATCATCCCATCACAGCATTCCGACAGTCTTTGAAAGCAGCTTGTGCAGGAGAAGGCATCATGAGCAACCCAGCCGGAACCGGAGAAGCAGGAGCTGGAGCGGGTCCAAGCCTGGAAGAAAGGTACCGGGTGTTGGAGGTCCAGCTAGCGCTGCAGACGGCGAGGCTTGAGGAGAGGAGGGCTCAGGATGCAGACAACAAGGGGAAAGCCACCCAGCTCGCCAGAAAGGTACCAGGATTGGTGCAGAAGTTTGGGGGGGAGCCCAAAGACTATCATGGCTTTCGGACAGAGATGCAATATGCTCTCAATCTGCAGTTTGATGAATTCCCTGACGAGGAATCACGAGTGGCTTTCGTGATTGGGCATCTTGAAAAGGGGGCGAGAGACTGGGTTAGACCCCTGATGGCAGCGAATAGTGACCTCCTAAAGGACACGATGAAGTTCTTTCGCGCCATGGATCTGATGTTTTCCAGCGATATTGAACAGGAGTGGTGCGCAGACAGTTAATGGCTTGCAAACAGGGGAGCCGATCTGTCCGTGAGTACTGGACTGAGTTCACCATGCTGGTTCACAGATTGGGGTGGGACTTATCGGCGGAACCCATTCAAATGCTCTTTGAAGAAGGGCTTTCTTCGGCTGTGAAAGACGAACTTTCCCGGGCGCCCAGGGCGGAGTCTATGGACCAGCTGACCAAATCAGCGCTGACCATAGGAGCGCGCCAGGAGGCGAGAGCATTGGAGAGGCGGGAAGGGAAGGGGGAACGTTGGAAGGAGTTACGCATTCCAGACATTCCAGAGCCAACTTTCCCGCCGGCAGAGCCGATGGAAATCGGAACAGCGCGCGCGCGCAGTTTCAAAGCCCAGTGAGGGGGGAAAGAAGGAGCGAAAAGGCGCCCGGAAATGCTATCTCTGCCAACAGCCAGGTCACTTTGCCAGAGTCTGCCCCCAGAGGAAGGAATGGCAAGGGATGGTAGGAGCTGTGGAGGGAAGAGAGGAAGAAATACCGGAGCAAGTAAAGCCAACGCCTGGCTGCCACCGTCGGGGCACAGCAGCCAGGCCAAAGAGCAGTGAGAGTGCCCACGCCAGAACCTCCTAAACCCGCCCTAGTGATAGAAGTGGCGCTAGAGCTGCCAAACGGACACCCTCTAAAGATAAAGGCACTGTTGGACTCAGGCAGCTCCTGCAATTTCATGAGCAAAGAGTTTGCAGCTGAACACCAGATACAGACGATCCCTTAAGCAACCCCCTGCAGGTGACCACGATCGATGGCAGGGAGCTGTTGGGAGGAGAAGTCAGCTTGCAGACCGTCCCAATGATAATGAAGGTGGCAAGGCACACCGAACTGATAGCGTTTAATGTGGCCACCTTGGGAGGAGCTCCCATTATATTGGGGATGAGCTGGCTAGCGTTACATGATCCGCTGGTGGGCTGGCATCAGAGAGTGGTTTCTTTTGGTTCAGCACATTGCTTAGAACATTGCAAAGAGGGAAAGGGTTTGGCAGGGGCCCAAGCCACCCTAGCAGGGACTGAAGTAACGGAGAACGTGAAGGTACCACGACAATACGCAGATCTCCGCGATGTCTTCAGCGAAAGGGAAGCTGACCAACTACCCCCGCATAGACCCTTTGACTGTCAAATCAATTTACTCCCTGGGGCACAGCTCCCTGTAGGCAAGCTGTACGCCATGTCAGACAGAGAGATGCAGGAGCTAAGAGAGTTCATTGACAAGAACCTGAAGAGAGGGTTCATCAGAGAGTCCAGGGCGGTGGGGGCAGCCCAGTGTTTTTTGTGGATAAAAACACGAACAAGCCGAGGCTGGTGTGTGACTTCAGGGCCTTAAATGCAGT